ACACTAACGGTTGTCATACAGCACGCCCTTTGGCGTCTGTTAGGTAGACAAACCCCCGCCCAAAAACTTTGGCGTCTGTTAGATGGACGAACCCCCCCCCCCCCCCCCCCGCCCCAAAAACTGTGGCGTCTGTTAGGTAGACAAAACCCCGCCGCAAAAACAAAGATCCAAGAAATAGAGCGCCGACTTTTAAATATCGCAGTTTGGCAAAAGATCACACGTCTAAAAATACCAATTGGTAACGCGTTGCTAATACCAGCATATAAAGTTGGGTCAGTTTGGTGTGGAGCACTTGTTTCGATAAAATATTACAAATACAAGAATTCACCTAGCCAGGCCGGACCCCTGGCTTGGTTAAGTCACCTCGTGTAGTTGTTGCGTCAATAGTGGATCATCTGTGTGTGTGTGGGGGGGGGGGGGGCGGACATCATATACGGATGACATCTAACACCAGCACTACTTGAGGCTACCTAGTTATAACCTAATGAAGTATAGTAGGCGCACACACCTATCATGATAATCAGGTTCTCACACAGTTAGGTTTGTAGTGATGCCTTGTTGAGACTTGACAGACAGACGGCTAAGGAAGTTTGTAGTGATGACTTGTTGAGACTTGACAGACAGACGGTTAATGAAGTTTGTAGTGATGCCTTGTTGAGACTTAACAGACAGACGGCTAAGGAAGTTTGTAGTGATGCCTTGTTGAGACTTGACAGACAGACGGTTAATGAAGTTTGTAGTGATGCCTTGTTGAGACTTGACAGACAGACGGCTAAGGAAGTTTGTAGTGATGCCTTGTTGAGACTAGAAAGACAGACGGCTAAGGAAGTTTGTAGTGATGCCTTGTTGAGACTTGACAGACAGACGGTTAATGAAGTTTGTAGTGATGCCGTGTTGAGACTTGACAGACAGACGGCTAAGGAAGTTTGTAGTGATGCCTTGTTGAGACTTGACAGACAGACGGTTAATGAAGTTTGTAGTGATGCCTTGTTGAGACTTGACAGACAGACGGTTAATGAAGTTTGTAGTGATGCCGTGTTGAGACTTGACAGACAGACGGTTAATGAAGTTTGTAGTGATGCCTTGTTGAGACTTGACAGACAGACGGTTAAGGAAGTTTGTAGTGATGCCTTGTTGAGACTTGACAGACAGACGGTTAATGAAGTTTGTAGTGATGCCTTGTTGAGACTTGACAGACAGACGGCTAAGGAAGTTTGTAGTGATGCCTTGTTGAGACTTGACAGACAGACGGCTAAGGAAGTTTGTAGTGATCTCTTGTTGAGACTTGACAGACAGACGGCTAAGGAAGTTTGTAGTGATGCCTTGTTGAGACTTGACAGACAGACGGCTAAGGAAGTTTGTAGTGATACCTTGTTGAGACTTGACAGACAGACGGCTAAGGAAGTTTGTAGTGATGCCTTGGTGAGACTTGACAGACAGACGGCTAAGGAAGTTTGTAGTGATGCCTTGTTGAGACTTGACAGACAGACGGTTAATGAAGTTTGTAGTGATGCCTTGTTGAGACTTGACAGACAGACGGCTAAGGAAGTTTGTAGTGATCTCTTGTTGAGACTTGACAGACAGACGGCGCATTCTATGTACCAATGTGCCTCTCTTCAATTATATGTGCCCCTCCCTCCACCTTGCCTCGGCATAGAAAAGACGCAAATAATACCAGATTGTCGTTTGGGAGCCTGTTTGATATTTGAAGTTGAGTCCATCGGTGTCCATGGAACCTAGTTCGAGCAGTCATCACTCAGATACAACACTAATAATTGTCTCTGGTATTTCCGAAGCATTCCATGCCATGCTTGCACCTGTTCCACTTTGGCAGGTCGCCGCCTGTCTTTATCAGGCAGCCTCCACTAGTCGACTAGACTAGCTCTTCTTATGTGGAGTTGGTCTTGGTGACCACTGCAAGTTTCCAACAAACATCGCGCCTCAAGAACTCCTAACACGGCTCTAATGTAGACCAGCTGCTTACCTTTCCATTGCTTTTTGTTGCTGACCTGCACGATATACGCGGTCGGTGCTTTGGCCTATTGTACCGTAAAACATCCCAGGCATCCAAATATCTACAAACACTTGACGCCTTGGCCTATTGTACCGTAAAACATTCGAGGCATCCAAATATCTTTAAACACTTGACGCCTTGGCGTATTGTACCGTAAATCATTCGAGGCATTGTACTCACACCTCACATTCTTCCCTCCCACACCTCACATTCTTCCCCCCACACCTAACATTCTTCCCCCTCACACCTCACATTCTTCCCTCCCACACCTCACATTCTTCCCCCCACACCTAACATTCTTCCCCCTCACACCTCACATTCTTCCCTCCCACACCTCACATTCTTCCCCCCACACCTAACATTCTTCCCCCTCACACCTCACATTCTTCCCCCCTCACACCTCACATTCTTCCCTCCCACACCTCACATTCTTCCCCCCACACCTCACATTCTTCCCTCCCACACCTCACATTCTTCCCCCTCACACCTCACATTCTTCCCTCCCACACCTCACATTCTTCCCCCCACACCTAACATTCTTCCCCCTCACACCTCACATTCTTCCCCCCTCACACCTCACATTCTTCCCTCCCACACCTCACATTCTTCCCCCACACCTCACATTCTTCCCCCCACACCTAACATTCTTCCCCCTCACACCTCACATTCTTCCCCCCTCACACCTCACATTCTTCCCTCCCACACCTCACATTCTTCCCCCCACACCTCACATTCAACCCACACATCCTCGCCCCCCCCCCCCTCCCAAACCACACCCGTTTCCCCCACACTTCACATTCTTCCCCCTCACACCTCACATTCTTCCCCCTCACACCTCACATTCTTCCCTCCCACACCTCACATTCTTCCCCCTCACACCTCACATACTTCCCCACACTTCACATTCTTCCCTCCCACACCTCACATTCTTCCCCCTCACACCTCACATTCTTCCCCCTCACACCTCACATTCTTCCCCCTCACACCTCACATTCTTCCCTCCCACACCTCACATTCTTCCCCCCTCACACCTCACATTCTTCCCTCCCACACCTCACATTCTTCCCCCCACACCTAACATTCTTCCCCCTCACACCTCACATTCTTCCCCCCTCACACCTCACATTCTTCCCCTCCCACACCTCACATTCTTCCCCCCACACCTCACATTCAACCCACACATCCTCGCCCACCCCCCTCCCAAACCACACCCGTTTCCCCCACACTTCACATTCTTCCCCCTCACACCTCACATTCTTCCCCCTCACACCTCACATTCTTCCCCCCTCACACCTCACATTCTTCCCTCCCACACCTCACATTCTTCCCCCCACACCTAACATTCTTCCCCCTCACACCTCACATTCTTCCCTCACACACCTCACATTCTTCCCCCCACACCTAACATTCTTCCCCCTCACACCTCACATTCTTCCCCCCTCACACCTCACATTCTTCCCCTCCCACACCTCACATTCTTCCCCCCACACCTCACATTCAACGCACACATCCTCGCCCACCCCCCTCCCAAACCACACCCGTTTCCCCCACACTTCACATTCTTCCCCCACACACCTCACATTCTTCCCCCTCACACCTCACATTCTTCCCTCCCACACCTCACATTCTTCCCCCTCACACCTCACATACTTCCCCACACTTCACATTCTTCCCTCCCACACCTCACATTCTTCCCCCTCACACCTCACATTCTTCCCCCTCACACCTCACATTCTTCCCTCCCACACCTCACATTCTTCCCCCTCACACCTCACATTCTTCCCTTCCACACCTCACATTCTTCCCCCCACACCTAACATTCTTCCCCCTCACACCTCACATTCTTCCCTCCCACACCTCACATTCTTCCCCCCACACCTAACATTCTTCCCCCTCACACCTCACATTCTTCCCCCCTCACACCTCACATTCTTCCCTCCCACACCTCACATTCTTCCCCCCACACCTCACATTCTTCCCCCCACACCTAACATTCAACCCACACATCCTCGCCCCCCCTCCCAAACCACACCCGTTTCCCCCACACTTCACATTCTTCCCCCTCACACCTCACATTCTTCCCCCTCACACCTCACATTCTTCCCTCCCACACCTCACATTCTTCCCCCTCACACCTCACATACTTCCCCACACTTCACATTCTTCCCTCCCACACCTCACATTCTTCCCCCTCACACCTCACATTCTTCCCCCCTCACACCTCACATTCTTCCCTCCCACACCTCACATTCTTCCCCCCTCACACCTCACATTCTTCCCTCCCACACCTCACATTCTTCCCCCCACACCTAACATTCTTCCCCCTCACACCTCACATTCTTCCCTCCCACACCTCACATTCTTCCCTCCCACACCTCACATTCTTCCCCCCACACCTAACATTCAACCCACACATCCTCGCCCCCCCCTCCCAAACCACACCCGTTTCCCCCACACCTCACATTCTTCCCTCCCACACTTCACATTCTTCCCCCTCACACCTCACATTCTTCCCCCTCACACCTCACATTCTTCCCTCCCACACCTCACATTCTTCCCCCTCACACCTCACATACTTCCCCACACTTCACATTCTTCCCCCTCACACCTCACATTCTTCCCTCCCACACCTCACATTCTTCCCTCCCACACCTCACATTCTTCCCTCCCACACCTCACATTCTTCCCCCCACACCTAACATTCAACCCACACATCCTCGCCCCCCCCCTCCCAAACCACACCCGTTTCCCTGACAGCTGATGTACGTGTATATGACTCCGACTGTAGCTAGCCCTCCCAAACCACACCCGTTTCCCTCACAGCTGATGTACGTGTATATGACTCCGACTGTAGCTAGCCCTCCCAAACCACACCCGTTTCCCTGACAGCTGATGTACGTGTATATGACTCCGACTGTAGCTAGCCTATGATCGGCCTCACCTACAGTTCCCATCTAGCCACGACACACCGAGCCTGCTGTGTGCTGTGTCGGGCTGCCTGTACACGTGAACATATTCCACTCACTAGACGTGCTGGCACAAGCCAACTGTGCTGCTCAACTCTTTCATGGATACTCTATACAACTAATGGATTATACCGGCTCATTCAGTTTACCTGCTAGAGTTTGTTTTTTCTACTGAAATCACCACCAGTGAGTTCGCATTTACCCTACTGTTTGCTCATATATATATATATATATATATATATATATATATATATATATATATATATATATATATATATACATACATACACACACACACACAGCCCTAACCCATAGGCTAGACCCTACGATCGGGTATCCTCTGGTCTAATCCCACCTCCACACGTATGTACCCTTTGTTGACTAAAACTACCTCCGTGATATGGAAAGAAAACTTCCCTTCCAACAACCTTTGTTCATACAATTTTCATTTCTTCCTGCACATTCCAAGCCCCTAGCGCATTCCTTTAGGTGCTGTCCTGGGTCAAAGGTCGCTATGGTCTTATATGTGTAGCTTGCGCTAGATTGAGTGAAATGTCCGCCAGTACAAACCTTGACCTACCTGGGTGAGTGATTCTATTGTGGACTCCTGTGGTAGTAAACTAAGACACGTTTTTCTCTACCAGAACCATCAGCAGTGGTCATCTGTCATCAGCTTCATTTAGAGAGATGGCTGCACGTCCAAAGTCAGCCGTTTCTGTAAGTACTTGCCAAACTAGCACTAGTTGAAGAGAGCCTGGTTTTAAGTTGAGATAGCGAGATGGTACCAGGGATAATTTATCAACTGATGAAACAATGGTATCGTCCTCTGTAGCCAGTTGAAGTCTCTAAACCTTCTAGTAGTTGTAGCCTAGGATCATTCAGAAGTCACTGGCTAACTTATCCAAACTCAACAGTAGTTGTAGCCTAGGATCATTCAGAAGTCACTGGCTAACTTATCCAAACTCAACAGTAGTTGTAGCCTAGGATCATTCAGAAGTCACTGGCTAACTTATCCAAACTCAACAGTAGTTGTAGCCTAGGATCATTCAGAAGTCACTGGCTAACTTATCCAAACTCAACAGTAGTTGTAGCCTAGGATCATTCAGAAGTCACTGGCTAACTTATCCAAACTCAACAGTAGTTGTAGCCTAGGATCATTCAGAAGTCACTAGTTAACTTATCCAAACTCAACAGTAGTTGTAGCCTAGGATCATTCAGAAGTCACTGGCTAACTTATCCAAACTCAACAGTAGTTGTAGCCTAGGATCATTCAGAAGTCACTAGTTAACTTATCCAAACTCAACAGGCTGACACTGATGTCAACCTTGACTTTCTCACTAAAGAGGAAAAAGAAGCTCTTCTCTCCAAGAAAATGGATATGATACGCCAAAGGAATAAAGCCATAACAGAGAGACATAAGGTAGACCAACTCAGAAAGGTTTAGTCTAATCTGTTGAATCGGAGCTTAGTCTAATCTGTTGAGTGAGAGATTTAGTCTCATCTGTTGAGTGAGAGATTTAGTCTCATCTGTTGAGTGAGAGATTTAGTCTCATCTGTTGAATGAGAGATTTAGTCTAATCTGTTAAGTGAGAGATTAAGTCTAATCTGTTGAATGAGAGATTTAGTCTAATCTGTTAAGTGAGAGATTTAGTCTAATCTGTTGAGTGAGAGATTTAGTCTAATCTGTTGAGTGAGAGATTTAGTCTCATCTGTTGAGTGACAGATTTAGTCTAATCTGTTGAGTGAGAGATTTGATACTTTTTGTTCCAGCTTATTGAGGCAGATAGAAGAAAAGCTGAGGAGTCTGGCCAAGCTGTTAAACCTGCAGTAGACAGTCAGGTAATACCACACACCCTCACAGTCAGGTAATAGTTCACACACACACACACCCTCACAGCCAGGTAATACCACACACCCTCACAGCCAGGTAATACCACACACCCTCACAGCCAGGTAATACCACACACACACACCCTCACAGTCAGGTAATACCACACACACACACCCTCACAGTCAGGTAATAGTTCACACACACACACACCCTCACAGCCAGGTAATACCACACACCCTCACAGTCAGGTAATACCACACCCTCACAGTCAGGTAATAGTTCACACACACACACACCCTCACAGCCAGGTAATACCACACACCCTCACAGCCAGGTAATACCACACACCCTCACAGCCAGGTAATACCACACACCCTCACAGCCAGGTAATACCACACACCCTCACAGCCAGGTAATACCACACACTCACAGCCAGGCAATACCACACACCCTCACAGCCAGGTAATAGTTCACACACACCCTCACAGCCAGGTAATAGTTCACACAGCCTCACAGCCAGGTAATACCACACACCCTCACAGCCAGGTAATACCACACACCCTCACAGCCAGGTAATACCACACACCCTCACAGCCAGGTAATAGTTCACACACCCTCACAGCCAGGTAATACCACACACCCTCACAGCCAGGTAATGGTTCACACACACACACACCCTCACAGCCAGGTAATACCACACACCCTCACAGTCAGGTAATACCACACACCCTCACAGCCAGGTAATAGTTCACACACACCCTCACAGTCAGGTAATACCACACACCCTCACAATCAGGTAATACCACACACCCTCACAGCCAGGTAATAGTTCACACACACCCTCACAGCCAGGTAATACCACACACCCTCACAGTCAGGTAATAGTTCACACACCCTCACAGCCAGGTAATAGTTCACACACCCTCACAGCCAGGTAATAGTTCACACACACACACACACCCTCACAGTCAGGTAATACCACACACCCTCACAGCCAGGTAATAGTTCACACACACCCTCACAGCCAGGTAATAGTTCACACACCCTCACAGCCAGGTAATAGTTCACACACACACACACACCCTCACAGTCAGATAATACCACACACCCTCACAGCCAGGTAATAGTTTACACACACCCTCACAGCCAGGTAATACCACACACCCTCACAGTCAGGTAATAGTTCACACACCCTCACAGCCAGGTAATAGTTCACACACCCTCACAGCCAGGTAATAGTTCACACACACACACACCCTCACAGTCAGGTAATACCACACACCCTCACAGCCAGGTAATAGTTCACACACACCCTCACAGCCAGGTAATAGTTCACACACCCTCACAGCCAGGTAATAGTTAACACACACCCTCACACCCAGGTAATACCACACACCCTCACAGCCAGGTAATACCACACACCCTCACAGCCAGGTAATACCACACACCCTCACAGCCAGGTAACACCACACACCCTCACAGCCAGGTAATAGTTCACACACACACACACCCTCACAGTCAGGTAATACCACACACCCCTAACTCAAGATAGTATTGATATATACACATTCCAGTGATATAATAAAACATGTAGACCCCCACTCAGCATATAATAAAACATGTAGACCCCCACTCAGCATATAATAAAACATATAGACCCCCACTCAGCATAAAACATGTAGACCCCCACTCAGCATATAATAAAACATGTAGACCCCCACTCAGCATAAAACATGTAGACCCCCACTCAGCATAAAACATGTAGACCCCCACTCAGCATAAAACATGTAGACCCCCACTCAGCATAAAACATGTAGACCCCCCCCCCCCCTGAGCTTATTGTCCAGCTTTTGATCCTGTTTTTCCAGAGCCTGCCAGCTGAAGGGGCCTTAAAACCTCGTGCACGTGGCAGAGGACAGGTCAATTCTAAAGATTCCTACAGACCTGGTAGAGAGAGGCCAAAGTCTTCAGGGGTAAATTGTTGATTCAAACATTTAGCTCTTAACATCTGTTTGTTTTCAATACCTTGACCACATTTTAACTCATTTCTAATGGGATAATTTCTATCAAATGTATCATAGAAGTGCAGACATGCCTACCATCTTGCCAAGAGCAAAATTGTTCCGCTTTTTTGCAAAAAAAATGTTTAGCCATTCTGCTTTTGTTGAAGTATGTTCCGCTTCTTCAAAAAAATAATTATTAAACTAAACTAAGAAATTTTAATTGAATTGACAAAAAGGGCAAGGAAAAGCAATTATCTCCCTTGTTTCCTTATTGACAATATTTACAAGTATAAGTATAATCTAAAAATGGATAATATGTATAAGCTAGGTTATGAACATTGTTTTTTAGTTTTTGCAATTGAATTGTAGATTTAAATTATGCCTTAAATCACATGTAGGCAGAAAAAAAACAATAAAATCATGACTATCTAACTAGGACTTTTAATTGAATAGGTAGGCCTTAACTCTTAACTTAAAATTGTATTACATACGAAGCTTTCAGCATTTGTTGTTCATATGACCTAGAATATACCAAGTCAGGAATAATCAAATCAATAATATTATGTTAAAGCTATGGTTTTATTAAAGGGGGGGGGGGGGGTGGTCAGGTTACTTTTTTTTTTGTTGAGAATACCCCTGGAAGGTATCTTTGAAAAAAAATATTTCAAATTTGCATCGGTGGCGCCCAGACAGGGCGTGATTTGATTCTTCTCTTTATGCAGTATATATATATTAAAAAAATGTTGATTGCAGTTTGACACAGTTCATACATGGAGTTCATGGAGTCGATAAGAACACAAAATTCTGATGTGGTTCATGCGAGTGCCAGGAATCTTTGGAAAGCAGATGAGAATACTCCAGAGAACATTTCTGCGCTGAAAAATTCTTTCCCGTAGCACTTTGTATCTGTAAATTGGGCGTCCTGCATAGCCAGAAAGGGGTATTACTATATTAAGCTGTAAAACTGCAACAGACACAGCCCCCTTCGCCCCTGTGATTGCTTGTCCCCGGGCGCCCCTGTGAGCACTATGCCGCCTATGTTTGTTTTAAAAAAAGTCTATAATTATAAAACTAAAGACACGCTGGGCAACAATAATTGTTGACTATATCAAATCATACGTGTCCTCCGGCAATTTGGGCCCCTGGGCTTTCCTGTGAGCGTAATAACACCTAATTTTAAACAGTTCAATAGACAATGTATGTCGCTCACCAAATTGAATAATGCGCATTTGCCTGCGCCCCGGCTGGGTGCAATTAGGGACACCGGGCTACCCCGTTAGGGCTATAATGCCTACATTTGTTTTAAACAGTGCCATAAGATGGGGTTTTAGAGCTGTTTACTAAACATAGTGACATGTTCGCCAGCACACCGGCATGGTGCCATTTGGCGCCCTGCTCTATCCTGTTAGCACTATAGGAACACCCTACAATATTGACACAGTGGCACACGACATTCAATTATTAAACCTGCGGTAGTGTAACTCTATTACCCTGACACCTGGACGGTCAATGAAGTGTGTTCTACCTCACTATTACGGAGAACGATTAACGTACACTCAAGGTTTTCATCATCACGCAAATGTTATCCAAGAAATATAGTGCAGGCATTGTTTACATTTAAATAACTCTGTTTTAGAAAACAAGATCACACGTCTAAGAATAAAGAATTGGTAACGCATTGATAGAACCCTCTTAAAATATTTCGTCAGACTTTCTTCTAACCCTGTGGCAATGCACGGGGACGGGCACGCTAGTTATATATGCACCAGCGCATATGTTCCTCTTTGTGACTTCAAATTCCTCTTTTAGGTATGACTGTTCCTACTTTTGGTTGACAGGGGTAGGCATGTTGTAAGTACATCTCTCATGAGAATGCATAATCATCTACATTTTAATCTAAAGTTTGTAAATTAGCTATAAGAATAAATTTAAAGAATATTTTTGGCCATTACCAAAGGGGACACAATTAAGTGGTAGCCATCTACTAAGAGGACATAATTGGGTGGTAGCAGTCTACAAAGGGGACATAATTAGGTGGTAGCAGTCTTTAAAGGGAATATAATTAGGTGATAGCAGTCTACAAAGGGGACAATTAGGTGGTAGAAGTCTACAAAGGGGACATAATTAGGTGGTAGCAGTCTTTAAAGGGAATATTATTAGGTGATAGCAGTCTATAAAGGGAATATAATTAGGTGATAGCAGTCTATATAGGGGACATAATTAGGTGGTAGCAGTCTACAAAGGGGACATAATTAGGTGGCAGCAGTCTACAAAGGGGACATAATTAGGTGGTAGCAGTCTTTAAAGGGGACATAATTAGGTGGTAGCAGTCTACAAAGGGGACATAATTAGGTGGTAGCGGTCTACAAAGGGGACATAATTAGGTGGTAGCAGTCTATATAGGGAATATAATTAGGTGATAGCAGTCTACAAAGGGGACATAATTAGGTGGCAGCAGTCTACAAAGGGGACATAATTAGGTGGTAGCAGTCTACAAAGGGGACATAATTAAGTAGCAGCAGTCTCTTCATCAGTCAGTGAGCTGGAGATGAAAACTGGTCATCTCATTAGCAACTGTGTACATAGTCATGTTAGAAAACTGGTCATCTCATTAGCAACTGTGTACATAGTCATGTTAGAAAACTGGTCATCTCATTAGCAACTGTGTACATAGTCATGTTAGAAAACTGGTCATCTCATTAGCAACTGTGTACATTGTCATGTTAGAAAAGTTGACCAGTATTTACAAGCTTTTATTGAACTTGCTTCCTCTGACTATCTGTTGTGCTCATAGGTTGAAACTGCCAAACAAAATTTGGCCTCTTCTAATGGACCTATTGGGTACTTAATTAATTTTTAAAGAATTAATTAAAATTGACTATATAATCAACAATTTTATGCAATATTATACCCACATTATTCATGTTTCTTTGGGGCAGGATAGTTTTTAATCATACAACTCTATTGTATTAAAAATGTTAAAGTACTGATATTTTTTTACCAAACATGTTTTAATAACAAGTGTTATATAATAATGTTAAAGTACTGATATTTTTTTACCAAACTTGTTTTAATAACAAGTGTTATATAATAATGTTAAAGTACTGATATTTTTTTACCAAACTTGTTTTAATAACAAGTGTTATATAATAATGTTAAAGTACTGATATTTTTTTACCAAACTTGTTTTAATAACAAGTGTTATATAATAATGTTAAAGTACTGATATTTTTTTACCAAACTTGTTTTAATAACAAGTGTTATATAATAATGTTAAAGTACTGATATTTTTTTACCAAACATGTTTTAATAACAAGTGTTATATAATAATGCATAATGATAAAGGAGAAAATAAATTATTTTCTTTCTCTGCACTACTAATAAAATAAGTATAAAGAAAAGTGTGGGTGACTATATTATCTGTTGAATACCTTTACTAAAATTTAGGAAGCTTCCCACAATTTTTTTATATCTTTATAGTCATTTAAATAGTAGTGTATAATTATATATTTAAGAAAATCATTTTCTTCATTTTAGTGCATAAGTATATAATAGATTGTTAGTAAAAAGTTTTTTTAGGAATTTTTCAAATATTTTCTTTGATTAGGACTTTCGTGATTCAAGTAGCTATGAACCCATAGTTGACACGTCAGATCTAGCTAACTATAAACATGATCACAAGGGAAGAGGGAGGGGAAACCGCTCAGAGCTTGATGGGACATCTGGCACACCCAAAAACAAACGTAAACCTGCTGCAAAAGAAGAGGTGAGTTAGCTCTTGTATGTCATCACATTGCATCGTGTTCATTGGGTCAGCTAGAAAGGGCATCTTGTGTAGATTGTATCAGGGCATCGTGTTCATTGGGTCAGCTAGAAAGGGCATCTTGTGTAGATTGTATCAGGGCATCGTGTTCATTGGGTCAGCTAGAAAGGGCATCTTATGTAGATTGTATCAGGGCATCGTGTTCATTGGGTCAGCTAGAAAGGGCATCTTATGTAGATTGTATCAGGGCATCGTGTTCATTGGGTCAGCTAGAAAGGGCATCTTATGTAGATTGTTTCAGGGCATCGTGTTCATTGGGTCAGCTAGAAAGGGCATCTTATGTAGATTGTATCAGGGCATCGTGTTCATTGGGTCAGCTAGAAAGGGCATCTTATGTAGATTGTTTCAGGGCATCGTGTTCATTGGGTCAGCTAGAAAGGGCATCTTGTGTAGATTGTTTCAGGGCATCATGTTCATTGGATCAGCTAGAAAGGGCATCTTGTGTAGATTGTATCAGGGCATCGTGTTCATTGGGTCAGCTAGAAAGGGCATCTTGTATTGTATCAGGGCATTGTGTTCATTGGGTCAGCTAGAAAGGGCATCTTGTGTAGATTGTATCAGGGCATCATGTTCATTTATGACAATATCTGAGAGCATCTTGTACAGTTGTGTCAATTCTGTGAAAGCATCCTGGATATTTGTGTCAGTACATTGTGTATGCTAATCTAATTGCTATCCCAGGGAATCCTCTCATAGTGTAACCCTTGTTCTGAATGCACGTACCTGACAGCACATTAGATGCCGCAGGCTCAGCAGGTTGTTTGAACCATTGATGGCACTTAGCCATGAATAGAATCACTCTCTGATCTGTCACAGGTTTGAACCATTGATGGCACTTAGCCATGAATAGAATCACTCTCTGATCTGTCACAGGTTTGAACCATTGATGGCACTTAGCCATGAATAGAATCACTCTCTGATCTGTCACAGGTTTGAACCATTGATGGAACTTAGCCATGAATAGAATCACTCTCTGATCTGTCACAGGTTTGAACCATTGATGGCACTTAGCCATGAATAGAATCACTCTCTGATCTGTCACAGGGTTGAACCATTGATGGCACTTAGCCATGAATAGAATCACTCTCTGATCTGTCACAGGTTTTCCTGTTGGACTGGAACAGCAAATGGCTCGATTACCATTTATTGCTGTCCAGTATAAAAGCATGGGTCAAAGTGCAGTTCATCATCATTCAGTTTTTCATGCCCATGAACATTTTGCCCCATCCTTAAGTAATGTAACTGCTGTGTGCAGGAGAGGATTGAGCACAAGTTTGAATATGAACCCATCATAGATATTAAAGATCTGGATCAGAGATTTTCTCAAGTCTGGGATGCTCAAGTGAGTGTCTTCTTCTTTGGGGCATTCCAACATCATATGCATGAGTTCATCAAGTCAATGTCTTCTTCTTTGGGGCATGCCAACATCATATGCATTAGGTCATCAAGTCAATGTCTTCATCTTTGGGGCATTCCAACATCATATGCATGAAGTCATCAAGTCAATGTCTTTTTCTTTGGGGCATTCCCACGTCATATGCATGAGGTTATCAAGTCAATGTCTTCTTCTTTGGGGCATTCCAACATCATATGCATGAGGTCATCAAGTCAATGTCTTCTTCTTTGGGGCATTCCAACATCATATGCATGAGGTCATCAAGTCAATGTCTTCTTCTTTGGGGCATTCCAACATCATATGCATGAAGTCATTATTATTTGCTTCTTATGTAGCCATGTTACAAATCTTCAATATCAACTAATTTACTAAAAAAATAACAATACATGATCTTAACCATTAATGTCCCGTAACGCCCGCTGCCGCCCGACACCGTTAATGTCCCGTAACGCCCGCTGCCGCCCGCTTACAATACGCATAGAAAAATTAAATTTGTTTCATTAAAATTTGGCCTACAAATCCTAATTTTTAACTAAACAGGAAGTCTGATAGTTTCAGCATCCTTTTCCGGTCTTCTAATTTCAATGGCGCTTTTGAAAGATAAAAAATAATAGTTTCTTTCCATCTCGAAATTTTAGACTCATCTGTCCAATTTTTAGTTGATTTAATATTAAAAATAAAATAAAATAATGCCTCTAAACGTATCTAGGCATGTATTTTATGAATTATATATCTTAAAGATAATCAAATTGATATTTAACTGTTAAATTCGATGCATAGTTGTTTAGACAAAAATAAATAAAGTTGACTACCGAAAATGACCTGTTTTGAATTTTCTCCGACATTTTTAATTTTTACTAGAATACCCGTCATCCGTTGGATAACTGTGGGTTTCGGGGGTCATCCATTAAAAAATATCACGTCTGTCACTCAGAGGCATAGCGTAGCGACCCTTCCCGGCGCCCGGGGACAAAGTTTTCGATTTTAACCCCCCCCCCCCCCCCCCCCCCCCCCAAGATTTCGATTTTCAACCCCCCCCCCTCAAACTTTTGATGTGCACCCCCCCCCCCCCCCCCCACTCAAACTTTCGATTTGAACCCCCCTCAACCTTTCAATTTATTTTTCCAAACCATTTTGGCGCCCCAACATATGTCCCCCCGCCCCCCCCCCCCCTCCACCTCCCCCCGCCTCCCCTTCCCCTCCCCCCCCCCCCCACCTCCCCTCCCGCCCCCCCCCCCCCTCCTCGCTACGCTACTGCAGTGTCACTTATCGTCACAAAAACAGACCCCACATTCAAAAATATGTTTCTTATCTTTTAAAAACACCGAAAACACCGATTTCAGACTATCCCTTCATATACTGACGTCACATGTGACCTACTCAACTCTACTTCACCTGCCCAGTGTCCCGCCAAGTCTCAGACAACATGTTTTTATCGTTTAAAAAACGATTCCAGCCGAGCTTGTCTCTGACCACACTATCCTTTCATATGCTTAGGACAAAGAAACAGATGAACTCTACTTCACCTGCCCTGTATCCTGCCAAGTTCAGATAGGCAACTTTATCATTCACATCTAAAAAAAAAAAAAATTGAAAAAAAATATCATTGACATATTGGTCTAGAACCTGTACCACCCGCATGAGAGCGGACTACGCTACAAACTTAGCTATTTACTCGTGACGTCACAAATGAATTTTTATACTATACTTTTGAGTCTCCGCGCATAGATCTAGATCTAAGTCTAGTAGTAGAATCTAGTAACTTTCAAATTAAATTTTATCTTAAATTAGCCAAACAAAGATTTATATAAAATAATTAAGGCCTGAAATAGATTCTAGATGTATTAAGGCCTGAAATAGATTCTAGATCTAGAATTTACATTGAGTCTAGTGACCTAGATCTAGATCTAGGCTAGATTCATAACTTTCCTTCGACAGCTGATCTTTAGATCTAGAGAAATTTATTGTAAAACTAAATGAAAAAAGACAGTTTAAAATTGATATAAGTGTTGGAACGTAATAAATACAGCAAACGGACGTATTGTTAAAGTTATGACCGACAGAAAATTAGATTTAGAACGCGTTAAACTTTTGAATGGGAACACAATTTTCTTCGGTAGACGCCGCCATTTTATTGTACTAAAGAGTAAACAAAAAACTGTGACGTCACGGTCCCGCCGAGTGTAGTGGTCGTTCTAAACTTTTTAAAAAAAATGGGTTACTCTGCGTATGAATAAATCAATAAATTAATTAACGTCTTTAAATAAATGTGTGATTAACAGTCTGTCTTAAAACAAAAATTTTTCTCTACCTACATACTATTTTACAGCTTTCCACGATGAGTGCAACCATGCGAGATAGTCAATCAGGCAAACAAACAAACAAAAAAACAAATAAATATTCAAACATATAAACAAACTTGACTTTTAGTAGTATATAGATTCTGTACTTGTACCGAATATAATATATTCTATTTAATACTGTTGGAAAGCCAGGTTTATTCCCAACATTAAGCAGTAGTTTTTATCTTAATTTTCAATTTCATTTAGACAAAAACAAATATTTTGTGAAACTATTCACTTGATCATACAGAGTTATGCTCCTTACATTGGGCCGTCATGGGTGGAGTTTTGGTAGAATGAATGGGACATTAATGGTTAACCCAGCTTTTTCTAAACATTTTATTGATAACATTTATTATGCCTCAGTATTGTAGCTTATTTTGTGGATGTGGTTGTCAGTGTGGATGTTGTTGTCAGTGTGGATGTGGTTGTCAGTGTGGATGTTGTCAGTGTGGATGTTGTCAGTGTGGATGTTGTCAGTGTGGATGTTGTTGTCAGTGTGGATGTTGTTGCCAGTGCAGATGTTGTTGTCAGTGTGGATGTTGTTGTCAGTGTGGATGTTGTCAGTGTGGATGTTGTTGTCAGTGTGGATGTTGTTGCCAGTGCGGATGTTGTTGTCAGTGTGGATGTTGTTGTCAGTGTGGATGTTGTCAGTGTGGATGTTGTTGCCAGTGCAGATGTTGTTGCCAGTGCAGATGTTGTTGCCAGTGCAGATGTTGTTGTCAGTGTGGATGTTGTTGTCAGTGTGGATGTTGTTGTCAGTGTGGATGTTGTCAGTGTGGATGTTGTTGCCAGTGCGGATGTTGTTGTCAGTGTGGATGTTGTTGTCAGTGTGGATGTTGTTGTCAGTGTGGATGTTGTTGTCAGTGTGGATGTTGTTGCCAGTGTGGATGTTGTTGTCAGTGTGGATGTTGTTGTCAGTGTGGATGTTGTTGTCAGTGTGGATGTTGTTGTCAGTGTGGATGTTGTTGTCAGTGTGGATGTTGTTGTCAGTGTGGATGTTGTTGTCAGTGTGGATGTTGTTGTCAGTGTGGATGTTGTTGCCAGTGTGGATGTTGTTGTCAGTGTGGATGTTGTTGTCAGTGTGGATGTTGTTGTCAGTGTGGATGTTGTTGTCAGTGTGGATGTTGTCAGTGTGGATGTTGTTGTCAGTGTGGATGTTGTTGTCAGTGTGGATGTTGTTGTCAGTGTGGATGTTGTTGTCAGTGTGGATGTTGTTGTCAGTGTGGATGTTGTTGCCAGTGCAGATTTTGTTGTCAGTGTGGATGTTGTCATTGTGGATGTTGTCGTCAGTGTGAATGTTGTCGTCACTGCTGATGCATGTCCCTAGACTTGAATGCCTGTCCTGTGAGTTTGTGCATGTTCCCTTACTAACAGTGTGTTGTTCTCTCCATGCTGACATAGTCTGATGGGCAGGGCAAAGTTTACAAAGGCCGACTGAAGGATGACCAAGTAAGTTGTTGACCAGTTCTCTCTGCTTGACTCTCTGTCTCCATGGCTGGCTAACATGACATGTGTGTTGTTGACCAGTTCTCTCTGCTTGACTCTCTGTCTCCATGGCTAACATGACATGTGTGTTGTTGACCAGTTCTCTCTGCTTGACTCTCTGTCTCCATGGCTAACATGACATGTGTGTTGTTGACCAGTTCTCTCTGCTTGACTCTCTGTCTCCATGGCTAACATCACATGTGTGTTGTTGACCAGTTTTCTCTGCTTGACTCTCTGTCTCCATGGCTAACATGACATGTGTTGATTAGGATTTATAAGATTTTATTTCCTCTTGTGCATACAGGGTCCACCTCCAGATCCATCCTTCAATCCTTTAGCTGACCGCAGGCGCAGTGAGAAGAAGGAGGAAGGGACTGATCACCGCAGGCATCCAAGGAACTATGGGGGAGGTGCAGATCTGACCAGAGTTAAACAGACAATGAAAAATCTGAGAGAAAAGGTGCTAATCTCTTCTTGCCTAACAAGATCTTTAAAAATTGAGGATAACTGTCAAATGGGGCAAGATTAAAATATGCCCTTGTCTAATGGGACAGGATAAAAAATATGCCCTTGTCTAATGGAGCAGGATAAAAATATGCCGTTGTCTAATAGGGCAGTATAAAAAATATGGTCTTTTATTTGCTAGGAGAAAGAAAGGCCAACTGTAAACAAACCACTAGAAATAATCATGACAGGGAAAGAAAGAAGAAACCATGAAGAATGGAAGGCAGAGAGGGAACGGTATGACCAGGAGAGAATCCAGCGCCAGATGAACTCTGTTGGCAGCTGGAAGAGAGCATGGGATGCTGAAAAAGTTAATCCAGAGTAAGTGGTCTCACCATTTACACCACCATCTCTAAGTGATCTCACCATTTACACCACCATCTCTAAGTGGTCTCACCATTTACACCACCATCTCTAAGTGATCTCACCATTTACACCACCATCTCTGAGTGATCTCACCATGTACACCACCATCTCTAAGTGATCTCACCATTTACACCACCATCTCTAAGTGATCTCACCATTTACACCACCCTCTCTGAGTGATCTCACCATTTACACCACCATCTCTGAGTGGTCTCACCATTTACACCACCATCTCTAAGTGATCTCACCATTAACACCACCATCTGTGAGTGGTCTCACCATGTACACCACCATCTCTGAGTGGTCTCACCATGTACACCACCATCTCTAAGTGATCTCACCATTTACATCACCATCTCTAAACGATCTCACCATTTACACCACCTTCTCTGAGTAGTCTCACCATGTACACCACCATCCCTAAGTGGTCTCACCATTTACGCCACCATCTCTAAGTGATCTCATCATTTACACCACCATCTCTAAGTGGTCTCACCATTTACACCACCATCTCTGAGTGATCTCATCATTTACACCACCATCTCTAAGTGATCTCACCATTTACACCTCCATCTCTAAGTTGTCTCACCATTTACACCACCATCTCTGAGTGATCTCATCATTTACACCACCATCTCTAAGTGATCTCACCATTTACACCACCATCTCTGAGTGATCTCACCATTTACACCACCCTCTCTGAGTGATCTCACCATTTACACCACCATCTCTGAGTGGTCTCACCATTTACACCACCATCTCAAAGTGATCTCACCATTAACACCACCATCTGTGAGTGGTCTCACCATGTACACCACCATCTCTGAGTGGTCTCACCATGTACACCACCATCTCTAAGTGATCTCACCATGTACATCACCATCTCTAAGTGATCTCACCATTTACACCACCTTCTCTGAGTAGTCTCACCATGTACACCACCATCCCTAAGTGTTCTCGCCATTTACGCCACCATCTCTAAGTGATCTCATCATTTACACCACCATCTCTAAGTGATCTCATCATTTACACCACCATCTCTAAGTGATCTCACCATTTACACCACCATCTCTGAGTGATCTCATCATTTACACCACCCTCTCTGAGTGGTCTCACCATGTACACCACCATCTCTAAGTGATCTCACCATGTACATCACCCTCTCTGAGTGATCTCACCATTTACACCACCATCTCTAAGTGGTCTCACCATTTACACCACCATCTCTAAGTTGTCTCACCATTTACACCACCATCTCTAAGTGATCTCACCATTTAAACCACCATCTCTAAGTGGTCTCACCATTTACACCACCATCTCTAAGTGATCTCACCATTTACACCACCATCTCTGAGTGGTCTCACCATGTACACCACCATCTCTGAGTGATCTCACCATGTACACCACCATCTCTAAGTGATCTCACCATTAACACCACCATCTCTAAGTGGTCTCACCATTTACACCACCATCTCTGAGTGGTCTCACCATGTACACCACCATCTCTGAGTGGTCTCACCATGTACACCACCATCTCTAAGTGGTCTCACCATTTACATCACCATCTCTAAGTGATCTCATCATTTACACCACCATCTCTAAGTGATCTCATCATTTACACCACCTTCTCTGCGTAGTCTCACCATTTACACCACCATCCCTAAGTGGTCTCACCATTTACGCCACCATCTCTAAGTGATCTCACCATTTACACCTCCATCTCTAAGCTGTCTCACCATTTACACCACCATCACTGAGTGATCTCATCATTTACACCACCATCTCTAAGTGATCTCACCATTTACACCACCATCTCTGAGTGATCTCATCATTTACACCACCATCTCTGAGTGGTCTCACCATGTACACCACCATCTCTGAGTGATCTCACCATGTACACCACCATCTCTAAGTGATCTCACCATTTACACCACCATCTCTGAGTGATCTCATCATTTACACCACCATCTCTGAGTGGTCTCACCATTTACACCACCATCTCTAAGTGATCTCACCATTTACATCACCATCTCTAAGTGGTCTCATCATTTACACCATCTTCTCTAATTGGTCACTAATTAGTCCATCTCTTGGAGGTCTCACCATTTACACCAGCAGCTTTAAGCTGTCTCACCATTTACACCACCATCTGTAAGTGGTCTGACCATTGACAGCAGCTGTTGTTTTTCTAAATGTATCCAATAGATCAGATGAGATGTCCCCATACAGCTCTAGACTTGAACCAGGCAAACGTCCAGGTGAGTCTCATGTCTTGTTTCATCTCTGGCTCCATTTCTCATGTCTGGTCATGTGACACCCTGACACTGGTCATGTGACAGGTCAGGTGGTACATAATGCAACTAATGGATGACTGATTATCTACAAATACCTGTGTAAATATTTGCTGGTTGAGTTCTTCTATTCCCTAGTGTTTGCTAGTTGATAGTTACCAAGTATGAAAACCCTGTATTATATGAATGTCATCAATACACCAAGCAATGTTTGACTGGTATTTTATTTTCTCATGAAATGTGTAAAGATTTAACTCTGAACAATTTACACTTGTCTGTCATTTGGTCATTATCTGTTTGAAGCTGGTCGAATTGGTAGTGGCCGCTTTGACAGGGGAGAGAGAGATGAGCGTCCTAGAAGTGCTGTCATTGGGAAAGGTATCCGGCATGTTCTGCTTGCTTGTGTCTGCTGGTGCTGTCTCCTCTAGCATGGCTTACCTCCCCTCCATAGGGGCTTGTCTCCCCTCCATAGAGGCTTGCCTCCCCTCCATAGGGGCTTGTCTCCCCTCCATAGAGGCTTGTCTCCCCTCCATAGAGGCTTGTCTCCCCTCCATAGAGGCTTGTCTCCCCTCCATAGGGGCTTGTCTCCCCTCCATATAGGCTTGTTTCCCCTCCATAGGGGCTTGTCTCCCCTCCATAGAGGCTTGTCTCCCCTCCATAGGGGCTTGTCTCCCCTCCTTAGAGGCTTGTCTCCCCTCCATAGGGGCTTGTCTCCCCTCCATAGAGGCTTGCCTCCCCTCCATAGGGGCTTGTCTCCCCTCCATAGAGGCTTGCCTCCCCTCCATAGAGGCTTGTCTCCCCTCCATAGAGGCTTGTCTCCCCTCCATAGGGGCTTGCCTCCCCTCCATAGAGGCTTGCCTCCCCTCCAGGGGGCTTGTCTCCCCTCCATAGGGGCTTGTCTCCCCTCCATAGGGGCTTGTCTCCCCTTCATAGGGGCTTCTCCCTTCCATAGGGGCTTGTCTCCCCTCCAGAGGGGCTTGGCATTGGCCCTAGGCTTAGGTTACACCATCAGCTTACAACTTGATGGATTCACCTAACTCAGTGAAGGAAAAATAGTAATCAAACAAAGCACATTTTTGCTGAAAAACATAAAAAACAAGCGCAAAAGAATGTGACTAATTCTAATGTAGTAGTTATGAAAGAAGCCACAAAGTCCTAGCTTGCATGGATTCAATATGTTTTGTGCAATACATTTTTTTTTAATTTTGTATTTGCAAAACTCAAGTGACACAGTGAAGTGGCAGGCTCTATTTTTGCTTACAAATTTTTATTTTTGATCTTATGAAACAGTGAAGTGGCAGGCTCTGTTTTTGCTTACAAATTTTTATTTTTGATCTTATGAAACAGTGAAGTGGCAGGCTCTGTTTTTGCTTACAAATTTTTATTTTTTATCTTATGAAACAGCGAAGTGGCAGGCTGCTGATGAATGGTTTGCTCATTTTTCCCAGTTTGGTTTCTAGAGTTTACTGTTGACCCTTCAGTTGCTGTTGTTTGCTTTGTTTTTCTTGTTAGCTTTTATAAGAGTTTTTTTTTTGTTGTATTTTTATATTCTGGACAGTATTTAACAAATGATTAGATAGTTACCATTTTTTATTTCAATGTACCTACTGCCACTATAAAATGATCACTATAACCCTATTATAATTGCCCCAATTCTAGCCCCCATTGGAGCAATAGGTCAGACAAATAAATGACGTCATAAATACCTTTAGACTTACAGTACACATTCATTGTAAACTAAGAAAGTTGGCTTAAAGTTAGGTGTATTTAATTCTTGCTTCATTATTTTTGTTGGATTAATTTTCCAAAAAGCTTGAATCCTTGTCACAATAATAGTTTCTTATTTCTGAGGTGGTCTTCAAGTCACAGAAAACAGTGGTACACCAGCGCGGCTGGAGCAGCCCCCCACTTCACCTCAACATCACCCTGTCACACCAGCCTCACCCCAGCATCACCCAGCTGGTGTGGACAGCAAGCCACAGCGGGGTAGAGGTCGAGGGAGGGGGAGGGGGCGTGGAGAAAAGTCCCCTCGGCCCAGAACCTGGTCAGGTGGAGATGATCGTTTTGTTGAGTGCCAGAAGGAAGTGTTGCTGGTCAAGTTTGACAACACAGCAGGAGACAACAGCGTGGAAGTAGAGTACGACGACCCCACTCAACCGCTCAGTACACCAGGCAAGGGGCCCACTGGCCGCACACCCAACCAAGCACCTAAACAACAGCGCAGACATCCACCCAAAAGAAAATCTCCCCAGAAAGAAAAAAGTGCCTCCAATCATGAGCTGACTGGCCCAGCAGCTGATCTGCCAGTGGAGCCGTGCAGCACGGAGAGTCGTGTCAGGACATCCTCCCACTCACACAGCTATGGAGACAGTGAAGAGTGGGAGGACTGCACGGAGTCCTCAGGTGCCTTGGAGGAGGAGACAGACACTGCAGGACAGGACTTGCATCTGGAATGTAGGTTAAACCCAGAGGCCCCAGAATTTCTGCCCACTTCCCCTGATTTCCTCAAGACCCCACCAGGTCATGTGAAAGTATTAAACTGGGCCAGTGATGGGAGCCCAACCTCTCCCCTCTCTCAAGGATCCTCTCCACATCTTGCACACAATCTCTCACCTAAGCTCTCTGCTCACTCCCCTCCTTCAGCTGCTTCACTGGTCAAACCATCAAAGGAGACAGAAGATACAGTGCCTGTTGCAGATGAACCGGTCAAACCATCAAAGGAGACAGAAGATACAGTGCCTGTTGCAGATGCACTGGTCAAACCATCAAAGGAGACAGAAGATACAGTGCCTGTTGCAGATGAACCGTTTATCCCAGCTGAGAATGAACACATGAGCCCAGAAGAAGAAGAAGATAATTTTCATGATACTGTGGAATCTCAAAAGGTATCACCTCTGTCAGACCACATGCTACAAAATTTCTTTAAGACCAGAATTATCTTCCCCTTCAAATTTTTCAGTATTCATAAAATAACTCAAATCTTTGAATCTGTTAATATAAAACCAACAGATCCATATATATGTAAATAAAAGTATGTCTATGGGTCTTTTATCCATACCACACTATTTATGCTATTTCCGTGCAACTTTGGGACATTTTTGAGAATACTTTGGGAAGGTTTCTGCAATTAAGAAAATTTAATTTTTTACTTTTTTTTTTGGGGGGGTGGGGGGGGGGTGCATTTTGGTGTCAAAGTTGAGTGACACCTGGGCTCCCCAATTAGCAGTATGGCATGATACAAGCCCTACACTTAAATATTCAAGTCTTAAGAAAGTTTTAAACATGGAGAAATGACTAGTACAAATAATTTGGTAAATGAATAATCAAATGAACATACCAAACATGACTGCGTCAATAATATTTTAGCATGCCATATATGATTGTAGGAAAAGTTACTGGAAAAAAATTTCACAGAAAAAAGTCACAAGAAAAAAGTGTATTTGCATGGAATTTGTTTTCAGAAATTGCAAATATACATGCAATTAATTAAAAGTAATGTAAACATTTTAGATAGATGTGCGTATATTGTATTTGTTTGTTAACACATGTAAAATATTATGGCTAAAGTATGTAGGTTTTAATTCCATTATAAAATAGAATTAAGTAGAATGCTACATCAGTTTTCATCATGGTTTTAAATAAACCGGGAGTGATCTCCCCTAAACTTTCTCGAATATTCTTATATAAAATAACAGGGGATGGGAACTCGGGCTATAGACATGATTTTTAATCCATTTTAAATACTTAAAGTTTTAAAAATAGAATAAAATCTCGTAGACAAATTAATTGCACACCAAGTAAACGCGAATAAAAAAGCGCATAATAGTGCGCAATATTATTAGTACTTTTAAAATTTACATTAGTTTTTTGAGAAATCGGAAGTAGCGTAAATAAGTACTTCCGGTCAACGAAAAATTCTCAAAATTTGACAGAAGTTAGAGAATTAGATCTTTTACTTACATATCAAATTTCATTTATCTATCTGAAATAGTACTCAAGTTATAGGCTTTTGAAAAATTCAAAGTAGAAAAAGTACCACTTCCGGTTATCCGAAATCGCTCAAAAGTTGATACGGATCTACGATTTTGATAAAATACTTGTATATGAAATTTCATCAACCTAGCTGTAACGGTACTCAAGTTATCGTGTTTACACACGGACACACACACACACACACACAGACATACGGACAAGATTGCAAAATTATGTTTTTCCGTATCAGTGAGATGTAAAACGTCGAGATTTGCAAAAATCTCGATTTTTTTTTTTTTGCATGATTACAAGACTTTCTCTATACTTCGTATATACGAGAAAGTAAAAAGAAATACACAAAACACAACTCCATGCCTGCATTTCTTTTATAATGAATGATTCTACCAGGTATTCAAATAAATGTGCACTTTTACTTGTTGTCAATATCAAATTCAGGATTATTATTAAAAACCCTAATGCTTTTAAAATTTATAAATGTCACTAAAAACAAAACTCATATTTTATAAACACTCAAAATTTTACATATCTTGCAAAGTAAATCAAAATATATCTTTAAACAAATTTGTAACTTTTTTCTGTGACTTTTTCCTAGCAAAAACGTACTTTTATTCCATTTGCTGTACATACAAATCCCACCATGACTCCGTAACAAATTTTTGTTTTGTTTTAGTCTTCCCTTCTGCCTGTGGATGAGTCACAGCAGTTCACTAACAACCTACAGAGTCAGTCAGAAAAAGATGCACAGCTGCAAGAGTCAGAGAAAAAGCTGCAGGAGTCAGAGAAACATGCACAGCTGCAGGAGCCAGAGAAAGATGCACGGCAGCAGGAGTCAGAGAAAGATACACAGCAGCAGGAGTCAGAGAAAAAGCTGCAGGAGTCAGAAAAAGATACACAGCTGCAGGAGTCAGTAAAAGATACACAGCTGCAGGAGTCAGAGAAAGATGCACAGCTGCAGGAGTCAGAGAAAGATACACAGCTGCAGGAGTCAGAGAAAGATGCACAGCTGCAGGAGTCAGAGAAAGATGCACAGCTGCAGGAGTCAGAAAAAGATGCACAGCTGCAGGAGTCAGAGAAAGATACACAGCTGCAGGAGCAAGTGGCTGAAGATGTCCCTTGTATGACTGAGAGATGTGAAGCTAATGTTTTAGGAGATGCCCCACTATGTACCCAGTCATCTATGACTGAGAGATGTGAAGCTAATGTTTTAGGAGATGCCCCACTATGTACCCAGTCATCTATGACTGAGAGATGTGAAGCTAATGTTTTAGGAGATGCCCCACTATGTACCCAGTCATCTATGACTGAGAGATGTGAAGCTAATGTTTTAGGAGATGCCCCACTGTGTACCCAGTCTTCTATGACTGAGAGATGTGAAGCTAATGTTTTAGGAGATGCCCCACTATGTACCCAGTCTTCTATCACCAAAGATCCCACTGCTGAAATGATATCATCAGGTTCCTGAGATCACTCCAGGTATGTCACATGATCCAGGTGCTGCCTCACCTGATGTTCCCTATTCTAATCAAAGTTAAGCCCTGGGCATTGAGCCAAGGGGTGGGGCACCAAAAGGGGTTAAAAAAATATTTTAAATTAAACTGCTACACACCTTTATTTACATACTGATTGAACTGCTGTTTACCTTAATTGTGTAACTGTCAAATAAAATAAATACCTTTAACTTAAAGAAACAGTGACAGGCAAAAATCACTTTCCAGCTTTTTCCTAGATGGGGGGGGAGGGGGGGGAATGGCTTTTTTGCACTAGATTGTGAGTAGCTAACTCGTTTAATACTTAAAATTGAAAAACCAGTTGTATTAAAGCTTATTGTGTAGGAGTAAAATAAGAAAAAGATGTTTGGGGGGGGGGGAGTTATTTTTTCGCCGAGGTTAATGGGAAGGATTTGCAAGTAGAGATGTACTAATTCAATGGCCAGTTGTTGTTTTTTTAGAAATGATGCGACTAGTTGTTTGTAGTTAAAGGTTGTGCAATTTTCTCAACTTCAACATGAGAGATCAAATACTCTGACTTACTTGCATTACATCTGTGTAGTTAAAGGTTGTGCAATTTTGTCAACCTCAATGTGAGAGATCAAATACTCTGACTTACTTGCATTACATCTTGTTTGGGTCAACTGTATTACAGAGAGATAAATATCTCTGATTCTTATATCGCTGTCTGATCAGTAAAGTAGCATACAGTCAGAAGGGGTGGGTGGAAGGTGTTACTCACTAGCCAAAATTTTCAGATTGTATTATATTTAATATTGGGGTCAAATACTTACTAGCCTAAATTTTCAGATTTGTATTATATTTAATATTGGGGTCAAATACTCACTAGCCTAAATTTTCAGATTGCATTATATTTAATATTGGGTCAAATACTTACTAGCCAAAATTTTCAGATTGCATTATATTTGATATTGGGTCAAATACTTACTAGCCAAAATTTTCAGATTGTATTATATTTAATATTGGGGTCAAATACTTACTAGCCTAAATTTTCAGATTTGTATTATATTTAATATTGGGGTCAAATACTCACTAGCCTAAATTTTCAGATTGTATTACATTTAATATTGGGGTCAAATACTCACTAGCCAAAATTTTCAGATTGTATTATATTTAATATTGGGGTCAAATACTTACTAGCCAAAATTTTCAGATTGTATTATATTTAATATTGGGGTCAAATAATTTTGTTCTATTCCACAGATCACAAAGAGGAATTTTTAACATTTTTTCGAAATAGAAAAAAAAAAAATTGTTTTATCTGAAATTGTGTGCAGGTATGTCAAATTGAATAAAAAATATTTGGAGAAAAAAGTGGTATAAAAGTTGCTTGACTTAAATTGTTTGAAGAAAAAAGTGGTTTAAAAGCTGCTTGACTTAAATTTTGGAGAAAAAAGTGGTATAAAAGTTGCTTGACTTCAATTGTTTGGAGAAAGTGCTACGAATATTTTTTGACTCTGTATATATACTTATTTTAGCCATGTGCAATATTTACTGTAACACCAACATAATTATTATTCATGCTAATTATTTTAAATAAATCAATAAAGTGATGGTTATTTTATTAAATCACTACATAAGTGGAATGTAGTCTTGCAGAAAAGGCGAGGTATTATGTGGTTTTTAAACCAGACAGTGGTTAATCCAAGTTTAGCCCATTTATTACAATCACTCCTTCAGTGGAACATAGCTCAATTTGTTGCAATGGTGCAATGATGATTTTAACTATTTGAACCTTTTGATACAAAAACATAGACGTTTCAATCATCAATTTGTTGCTATGGTGCAATGATGATCTTAACTATTTGAACCTTTTAATACAAAAACATAGATGTTTCAATCATCAATTTGTTGCTATGGTGCAATGATGATCTTAACTATTTGAACCTTTTAATACAAAAACATAGATGTTTCAATCATCAATTTGTTGCTATGGTGCAATGATGATCTTAACTATTTGAACCTTTTAATAGGTAGTCCAAACTGAAATTAACTATTGATTGCAGACTTCTGGAGTGACTATGTCATGAAAGAACTTTTAATTGTAAGCTCTATGCCACAAATTTTATGAAAATATCTCAATAAATAAAAAAGTTATGCGATTTTTATAAAAGCAAAATTTGGTAAAAAAAAATGATTTTCAAAAAGGGCTATTTTTGAGAACCCATATTTTCTAAACTAAATAACATAGAAGTGTAGAAATTGGTAAAGTTACTGCAAAGTTTGCAATATATATGCCCAATTTTTTTCAGTCATCTAAAATGAGTCTTTCTAAGGTAAAAAAATAATTGAAAATGACAAAAATGCGTTTTGGTCACTTTCATTTTCATACACCAAAAAAAAAAAAAATCAAATTTTTTTTTTGTTGCTTTGGACATAGAATAACTTAAAACTATTGTGTTGGTAATATTAACAGGAAGAATGTGTTCATTATTTTAAAAAATCACATGAGTTAAAATATTATTTTTAAAAATGCCACAGTTATCTAGTTCTGGAGCAACAGAATCAAAATTTATTGTAGTAATGTAATCTAATAAAGACGTGATGTCTACAAGTGATGCAGCAGTTGATGCTACATTCAAACCTATCGGGTTGATAACTGCTTTGGGGGAATAGTTTTTAAAACGACAGCTCCACATTTTTGTACGTCTTGTTTCCCTCAACCTTGATCTTGTAGAGTAATGTAGAGCATCAAGAGTAAGCGATAAGTTTTGGGAACTGTAGGGGGGGGGGGGGAGGGCTTGGCCTTCTTCCCTTGTTGTAAGGAAAGTTCTTGATAGGCCACCATAAATGTCTCCAGCTATGGAATAAATAATTGATTTAGTGATTAATAAAATATAATTAAATTTACCACTAGCTTATTGTGTAGGCCAGTGGCGTAGCCAGGATCGTCTCAAGGGGGGGGTCCAATTTTTACCCGGGGACAAACTTTCGATTTGCACCCCCCCCCTCAAACTTTCGATTTGCACCCCCCCCCCCCCCCTCAAACTTTCGATTTGCACCCCCCCCTCAAACTTTCGATTTGCACCCCCCCCCCTCAAACTTTCGATTTGCACCCCCCCCCCCTCATACTTTTTCTATATACCGAGGGGTCTATGGGGGGGGTTATGACCCCCCCTAACCCCCCCCCTGCCTACGCCACTGGTGTAGGCCTACTATTTGTCCTATGACTATAACTGGAAACATATGAAAAAGCCTGAAAACACCTTTTTGTTAAAAGTAATGTATACTTGATAGTATATTTTTAATAGTAATTCTACTGAATGAAATATTCGTAGCTTGTGCAACACTGTTTGAGATATCCAATGATGAAGATGCCATACTGTGGTTCTCAACATCCTATAGGACAACTTAACTGTCCTTCATTGTTACTATATGTATATAAATAATTAATACTAATAGTTTCGCTGTCTGTGTATCTATCTATCTGTCTGACAAGAACGCTCTACAGAAAACACAAGCATCAAAAACATGCATAGTAATTCGAAAAACGAAGTATGACGTCGTATAGTAGAAAATAATATAAAGCCGGAGAGTGCACACAGTAATATGACGTCATTGATTATCGAGTAAACATTGAATATAAAGGCAATTTTGTCTAATCTAAGTGGTTTGCGTGAAGAGTTTCTTTCATACAATTCTTCGGGTAGGGGCGAAGCCCCACACCCGCGTAAGAACGTCTGAGCCCCCCCCCCCCCTCCCCAACTCAAAAGAAATTTCTTCATCGATACTCTATAATAAAATTACCGCCTAATTTACCGGAGAGGGGTGGGGGTACTTGAAATTTTCGGGGGCGGGGGTAGAATTTTCTGGGAGGCGGCGGACACTGGAAAAAGTATATAATTATATTTCGTTGAATGGGACGGTAGACATGTTTTGGAGTGTGTGTGTGGGGGGAGGGGGGCGAAGCCCCCTCCTCCCAAGTAGAGTTGCCTGAAAGAAACTCTAAATGCGACTTTTGTCTTGAATGAGATTAGGTGCATGGTTTAGGGATATGCCTATGACTATATTTTGTATAAATTAAAGTACCGAGAAAATAGCACTATCAACCTAGCGCCCGTTGTATCCTTCCTCAACGGGCCATTTTTCTCGTTAATACTAATAGTTTCGCTGTCAGTGTATCTATCTGACAAGAACGCTATAGAGAAAACATAAGCAATTTAAAAACTTGCACAGTGAAACGAAATATGACGTCGTACGTATTGAGCATAGAGTAGACAATAATATTAAGCCGGAGAATGCACACAGTAATATGACGTCATTGATTCTCGAGTAAACATTGAATAAAAAGGCAATTTTGTCTAATCTAAATGGTTTGCTGTGAAGAGTTTCTTGCATACAATTCTTTGGATAGGGGCGAAGCCCCACCCCCGCGTAAGAACGTCTGAGCCCACCCCCCCCCCCCCCCACCCCCAACTCAAAAGAAATTTCCTCATCGATACTCTATAATAAAATTACCGCCTAATTAATGTGTCTAATCTAAAAAATGGTTTTCTCGCAATTTCTTTAATGCAATTCTTCGGGTAGTGGCTAAGCGCGACACCAGTGTTTCTTTCAGACTTTTTCCTCCCCGGAGAGGGGTGGGGAAACTTGAAATTTTCGGGGGCGGGGGTAGAATTTTCGGCGTGGGGGCGGACACTGGAAAAAGTATATAATTATATTTCGTTGAATGGGACGGTAGACATGGTTTTTTTTTTGGGGGGGGGGGGGGGGTGGGGTGGTTTTAGTTTAGAGAAAAGAGACAGCACTATCAGCCTAGCGCCCGTTGTATCCTTCCTCAACGGGCCATTTTTCTCGTGAGAAATACTACTAGTACTACTTACACTTACAACTAATATAACATTTAAAACTGTCACAACATGTAGAATCTTAATAAATTGCATCCACCATCTAAAAATTTATCTGGTACATTTTATTACGGAGACTGGCGCAGGCCATTTCACATTATTCAGCAGGGGAATCAGAATCAGATTGTGCACAACAGAAAATAAAAAAAATAATCACATTAGTCCTTAAAATTTAGTGTCTTTTGTTTTAAATAAATCGATAAAGATGTATAGTTATTATAATTATACATTTCTTTTGTGTTTCATTAATATTTTATAAGTATTTAACATTCGTTCCCTGTAAATAATTGAGTTCGTCCACATAGTAAACAGGATTGTCAGGTGGCCATTTTGAATTTGTCGATTCATAATTTTGACGTGATAGTCCAGATAAACTGTAGTAATACGACCATATCATTAATCCCATTCGATAGATTTTAAAGAATTAGTAAACACTAGCATCTAATAGTTAAGCGCATCCATATTTTAAGTCCCTAGAATGTCCTGAATTAAATAGCTTCACGTCTAAACACACCCTGTGTACAAGCGTAGTTCACACGCTAAAAACCGTGGACTAGTAGCGTTCAAATTTACATTAATAACGTTTACTAATTAAACTAAACTGACATTCAAACTTAAAATTCATTTATTAAAATGGAAATGAAACTTTAAAAATGATACAACTTGTTTGAAGGCTCTAGCAAGGGTAAAATCCGTTTAGCATCATCGGTCGTCAACCTTTATTTAAAACCGTTCGGCGAGCTACTCACTCGGGGCTGGAAATTGACTCGAGGGTTATATGTTTATTGAGGGCACGGCTTCGCGACCGTAAATCAGAAATACTTGAATTTACAACACAAAGTAGTTATAAGAGTGAACTTTACATCGGTGTAAAAATTGAAACAGAATCAGTTTGTTTTCGTGTATATAAAGTTTATAAACGGATTTTTTAAAATGAAATAAGCAAGTTATTTTTTCAATTTTTACATCAAACAATAGACTAGAATTCGCCCTTTAAAATGACATTAAGATTATGCTTCTACGATGCTTCGTTGCGAAGCCGCAACCAAATGAAACAGTGTGGGGTCGATCGGTACTCGCAAAACGGTGAAATTTGTTGACGTAACTGATACTTTTCAAACAAATATAAAACACATTCAAACATGTGTTACAGATATAAAAATACCAGATTACGACAGATAAAGACTTAAACTTTATTGACATATAATTTTTATTCTTATAGGAAAACTAGAAGTAGTGAAAAATTTTTTTGAAAACCGCAAAAACTGACCCTAAAACGCACTTTTTCGCCAGTTTGGACTACCTACTTTTAATACAAAAACATAGATGTTTCAATCATTATCATTTGCTATCACTTCTCATACAAACTATGTTGGTATACAAAACTGGATTACATGATTATATTATTTTACTAGGCTTGTATTTGTTGATATGTGAAAACTGAGACAGACTGGTATCAGGAAATTCGAATGATTCGTGCTTTGAATAAAATGCCATTACTTCTGATAACCCAGTCAATCGTTAGAAAAAATTAGAATCCAAAAGTGAATGTCCTGCACCTTTAGAGTCAGCAGTCACATCTATCCAATGGTTGCATATGTCCCCGGGTGCCAAAATGAGTTGGAAAAACAAATTGAAAGTTTGAAGGGGGGGTGCAAATCGAAAGTTTGAAGGGGGTGCAAATCGAAAGTTTGTCCCCATGCGCCTGGGTCACTAGGCCTCTGATTGGTGTTGATCCATGTGCTTTATTTAACCTTGTGTATGTACACATTCTGTATGTACACGTTCTGTATGTACACATTCTGTATGTAAGGTCAGAAACATGAACTGTTACAACCAATCTAAAGATTAAACAAAAATCTTATTTTAAAATTTTAAGATGTTTTTCCATAGAACTATTAGAACAGAAAGTAGTTATTTCTTAGTTTAAATTCCTGGTAATTTTTTTTTGCCTTGTCATCACCACCCTTAGATTCATGACATGCTTACTAGTAGCAGACTTAACTTTTTCTTTTTCTCAGGAAGTATTGCACATAATCAGGCAAAAAACATGAATTTTTACAAAAAAAGTACACATTTTCCGCTCTATTAAAATAAACACACTTTATTGCTTTCATTGCTGCATACTTCTTTTTTCTCCTTGATTCTATTTTAAAAATTGAAATATTAAAAATGTATTTTTAAAAAATAATTCAATAGTCTGATTTTGTGGGGAGTGCATACCCTTTACTATTACATAAAAAATACATAAAATTATACGAGAAAGTTTAAGGGAGATAAGACCCTCTTTATTCGTAAGAAATCCAAATTTTCATTTGGAAGAAAATCTACAAATCAGACAAGGAAATTAGTGTGGTGGCAGTCAAGTTTTCTTGTAGATTTATCATAACTTAATAGCTTCCTAGCCTACTTCTATACACTTCTAAAATTGTTGGTGTCAGTCAAGTTTTCTTGTAGATTTATCATAACTTAATAGCTTCCTAGCCTACTTCTATACACTTCTAAAATTGTTGGTGTCAGTCAAGTTTTCTTGTAGATTTATCATAACTTAATAGCTTCCTTAGCCTACTTCTATACACTTCTAAAATTGTTGGTGTCAGTCAAGTTTTCTTGTAGATTTATCATAACTTAATAGCTTCCTTAGCCTACTTCTATACACTTCTAAAATTGTTGGTGTCAGTCAAGTTTTCTTGTAGATTTATCATAACTTAAAAGCTTCCTAGACTACTTGTACAAATACTACACACATCTGGAACATATTGCCCACACCATTCAAATGATATATAAAAAGACAAGAACTGAGCTATTAATTGTTTAATTATTTTAAAGGTTATACAAATACTGGCACAATAATAGATACCCTTTTTTGATTTTTTCAGCAATGATTAAAATGCCTCCTGGTTTACACAGTAAAATAATGTCAAATGCATAGTGCTAAACCAAGGGGTTACTAAGTACATTCAACAGATAGCCAGGACAAGGGCTATCCAGCAGCCTGGTGGCTCATGGCATTCACTTCTTGGACATGAGTGTGAGACCAACTGATGACCACTGGTCTAATCTGTGAGACAAACTAATGACCAATGGTCTACACAAATCTGTGAGACTGTTGACCAATGGTCTACACAAATCTGTGAGACTGTTGACCAATGGTCTACACAAATCTGTGAGACTGTTGACCAATGGTCTACACAAATCTGTGAGACTGTTGACCAATGGTCTACACAAATCTGTGAGACTGTTGACCAATGGTCTACACAAATCTGTGAGACTGTTGACCAATGGTCTACACAAATCTGTGAGACTGTTGACCAATGGTCTACACAAATCTGTGAGACTGATGACCAATGGTCTACACAAATCTGTGAGACTGTTGACCAATGGTCTACACAAATCTGGGAGACTGTTGACCAATGGTCTACACAAATCTGTGAGACTGTTGACCAATGGTCTACACAAATCTGTGAGACTGTTGACCAATGGTCTACACAAATCTGTGAGACTGTTGACCAATGGTCTACACAAATCTGTGAGACTGTTGACCAATGGTCTACACAAATCTGTGAGACTGTTGACCAATGGTCTACACAAATCTGTGAGACTGTTGACCAATGGTCTACACAAATCTGTGAGACTGTTGACTAAATGTCCACTCCACCAGTAGTGTCTGTTTCCTTTCCCTCATTTAAAAAAGTACCCCAAAGAATTAAATAAAATTTTTAATCATACTTATTATATTATATCCATCAATATTTACCAACATAAATAAATTAAATTTTTGTTTTTAAATAACAAAATTGTGACCAATATAGAACTCAAGTGTCAGCCTTCCTTCTGTTCAAATTTTCTCTTGAGTTTTTTTTTGTGTGTTGCTTTCATCATAGTACAGGCAGAAGTGTACTGTGGTGCCACCCCACGTCAAACCTTTTCTCTAGACACAGCTAGTCCCAAGATTTATAATGTAAGGACACAGAATTAACATGCCTAGACTAAAAAAATATCCTTATTTTCATTCAAGCCTGTTTTAGACATTTTAACAGGTAAAAATTATTTGCATTCTATTCTTTTATTTGCTAAGTTAGCTGACTGTGTTCTATGAAATTAGATCCCCTCTTCATTGATTTCATGGACTTAATCATCTTAATGCTTTTCAAAATTTGGTCCAGCCAAATTTGATTTCAGAAATATTCACAAAAAATTTTTAAAACATACAAATATATATATATATATGCTGAATTGACATTGCACAGACTGTGGAGGTCACAGAAAATACATATAAAAATTTTACTGATGACAAATTTAAGTTGAAAAAAAAAAATTTCTCAGTGAATGATGGCACTGAGAAAATGTAGGGAAGTTCTCTTGTTTTGATCAACTTTGATGGAAAACATATCCCATGACCAACCATATCACTGCAAGTTTCAAAATTTAAACAAAAAAAAAAGGTGGTTACAATGTTAGGTAGACCTTATTGCACATGCCATGAAATAGTACAGAGAAGCTGTACTCTAGGTAACTAGTCTATCACAATGTTTTCTGCCCAACAAATGATTGGTCATTTCACAGTGAACAGGATGTGACTTGAACACCAGAGGAAGAGTCAAGAAAATATCCACCAATCAAAACATGTAAAAGTTTCCATCCAAGAATAAAGCTTGTGTTGATAGTGGTGGAGTTGCACCTCACTGACAAATGTCTGGGGAGAAAAAGTACAATTTATTGTAGCGTTTCTCTTTAGTTTCTTATCTATTTGCAATAGTAAATAGCGATCACATCCATAAATCTGCCTTTATTACACCGTTTCTAATAATAACGCCAACGCTATTCTGGTCTTCTAGATTAGGTATATTTTAATAGTGCAGGTTAGAAAGTAGTTGTGGTCCTCATATATCATGGTGTAATAGGCAAAATATATTTTTATTAACAATATTTGTTCTGCAATTTACAAAATTTAAAAATCAAATTTGCAAAATCTTAGACTTAGAAAATTAAAAATGGCCAAGGCTCTTGACCATATGGGTTTTTAGTTTTACTAAACTGTTGGAAATCTGATGGAATCATCCATATAACAATTTGTTTGCCTAATAAAAGACAGTGGTGTAGTCAGAGGGTGGAGGGTGGACTGTATGTAAACATATATATATATATATGTAAATCCAAGTAGGCCTAAATTAATGTTTATATATGTACATATACAAAAACATACATATATTCCAAAACTGTTTTAGGGGTGTAACTGGTTGTTTTGTGATACAGTTCAAAATGTTGCACCAATAGTGCACTGTCAACATCAAACTGTTGCACCAATAGTGGACATTTTATGGGGCAGAGGAGGGGGGGGGGGTGTAACCCATTATAACATTCCCTATGCCACTGTTAAAAGACCAAGTTAATCATGTGTAAGTTCTAAAATTATAAGGATAACATGGATTTAGTTGTTTGACTTAATCTCTAAACAACTATTTAATATTTCTAGGAGTCGCTATCTTAGCCTATGTTGTGCATGCTTTTGTACTTAAGAAAACTTAAATTTCTAATACATCATTAGTCCACTACCTCAACTTTGGTGAACATGAGAAACTTAATTAAACAAGAGCAATCAGGTTAAAACCCCACAAAACATCCACTGATACAGTTAATATGTTGACATGTTTCGACAACATTTAGCTATATTATTATTGTATATAATAGAACTCCCTGCAGCCCCAGATGAATGTTCCCTAGTGTGGGAAAGACTTGATACACCAAAGTTGTGAGGAGATGCTCTGAATGGGTCCAAGACATGACCTTCCTGTCAATATCCCCTGGCTTGAGAACACCCATCATACAAGTTAAAGGCAAAGAGTAAGATAGAAATTGTGGTTAACTTTCTCCCTAGGCATACAATGTCAACAGGAGCCAGTGGTTAACTTTCTCCCTAGGCATACAATGTCAACAGGAGCCAGTGCTTAACTTTCTCCCTAGGCATACAATGTCAACAGGAGCCAGTGGTTAACTTTCTCCCTAGGCATACAATGTCAACAGGAGCCAGCATAATGGAGAACATGTTTCTTGATTCATTTATTCCATCCCAGAAATTCTCTTATCCCTGCTCTAGCCTTACCATTACTTTATGGTGAGTGTTATGTTTGATGTTGGAACTATGGCTCAGGATCAATTTTTAATGGGGGGGGGGGGGGGGGGGGGGGTATTTGTTGGGGAAATGTTTTGGAGCAGGGGTAATTGTAGGGGAAATGTTTTGGCGCAGTGGTAATTGTTGGGGAAATGTTTTGGGGCAAGGGTAAGTGTTGGGGAAATGTTTTGGGGCAAGGGTAAGTGTTGGGGAAATGTTTTGGCGCAGTGGTAATTGTTGGGGAAATGTTTTGGGGCAAGGGTAAGTGTTGGGGAAATGTTTTGGGGCAAGGGTAAGTGTTGGGGAAATGTTTTGGCGCAGTGGTAATTGTAGGGGAAATGTTTTGGGGCAAGGGTAAGTGTTGGGGAAATGTTTTGGGGCAAGGGTAAGTGTTGGGGAAATGTTTTGGGGCAAGGGCAAGTGTTGGGGAAATGTTTTGGGGCAAGGGTAAGTGTTGGGGAAATGTTTTGGGGCAAGGGTAAGTGTTGGGGAAATGTTTTGGCGCAGGGGTAAGTGTTGGGGAAATGTTTTGGGGCAAGGGTAAGTGTTGGGGAAATGTTTTGGGGCAAGGGCAAGTGTTGGGGAAATGTTTTATTTATGCACTGGATAATGTGTGCAGCAAGAGCTAACAAGAATCACTTGATGGTTTTATAATTATATGCTGTCACAACATATCTTGTCCAAACATATGCTGTCCCAACATACTCATGATATATATAATATAATACATCCTTCCTGTAGGTATAAAATACTAAATAAACAAGTTAGTCTTCCCAAAAATGTAAAAAAAAATGATAATACCAATTGAATTCAATACAGTCACACTGTCCTCAACTGGGACTAATTATGGAGTGGAATGGTCTTATCCCTTAAGATTCCAAAGAAACAGAAAGGGACATGATCAGGGACAAAGTGTAATGAAGTACCTCAGTGGACAACATGATCAGGGACAAAGTGTAATGAAGTACCTCAGTGGACAACATGATCAGGGACAAAGTGTAATGAAGTACCTCAGTGGACAACATGATCAGACACAAAGTGTAATGAAGATAGAGTACCTCTGGGGACAACATGATCAGGGACAAAGTGTAATGAAGATAGATTACCTCAGTGGACAACATGATCAGGGACAAAGTGTAATGAAGTACCTCAGTGGACAACATGATCAGGGACAAAGTGTAATGAAGTACCTCAGTGGACAACATGATCAGGGACAAAGTGTAATGAAGATAGAGTACCTCGGTGGACAACATGATCAGGGACAAAGTGTAATGAAGATAGAGTACGTCGGTGGACAACATGATCAGGGACAAAGTGTAATGAAGATAGAGTACCTCTGGGGACAACATGATCAGGGACAAAGTGTAATGAAGTACCTCGGTGGACAACATGATCAGGGACAAAGTGTAATGAAGATAGATTACCTCAGTGGACAACATGATCAGGGACAAAGTGTAATGAAGATAGAGTACCTCAGTGGACAACATGATCAGGGACAAAGTGTAATGAAGATAGAGTACCTCAGTGGACAACATGATCAGGGACAAAGTGTAATGAAGATAGAGTACCTCAGTGGACAACATGATCAGGGACAAAGTGTAATGAAGTACCTCGGTGGACAACATGATCAGGGACAAAGTGTAATGAAGTACCTCAGTGGACAACATGATCAGGGACAAAGTGTAATGAAGTACCTCGGTGGACAACATGATCAGGGACAAAGTGTAATGAAGTACCTCAGTGGACAACATGATCAGGGACAAAGTGTAATGAAGTACCTCGGTGGACAACATGATCAGGGACAAAGTGTAAAGAAGATAGAGTACCTCAGTGGGCAACATGATCAGGGACAAAGTGTAATGAAGATAGAGTACCTCAGTGGACAACATGATCAGGGACAAAGTGTAATGAAGATAGAGTACCTCAGTGGACAACATGATCAGGGACAAAGTGTAATGAAGATAGAGTACCTCAGTGGACAACATGATCAGGGACAAAGTGTAATGAAGATAGAGTACCTCAGTGGACAACATGATCAGGGACAAAGTGTAATGAAGATAGAGTACCTCAGCGGACAACATGATCAGGGACAAAGTGTAATGAAGATAGAGTACCTCAGTGGACAACATGATCAGGGACAAAGTGTAATGAAGATAGAGTACCTCTGGGGACAACATGATCAGACACAAAGTGTAATGAAGTACCTCAGTGGACAACATGATCAGGGACAAAGTGTAATGAAGTACCTCTGGGGACAGCAGTGATGCCTTATTGAGAATTGGGATGCATGGAAAGGCTATTTTCAGCTGACATTATATATGTAACCAAAAAGAAAATACTGAAAAAACTGTTTTACTGGGGTGTTTATATCAATATTATAGAAATTCTTGATATGGTAATACCTAGTGGCACAGGCCATGGACAGTAGTGGAGGCATAGTTCATCATCAGCATATGTTGTTAGATTTATTCTATTGTGCACATTCTATTGAGATCTAATGCAGTGTAATGCCCTTTGGAAAATACCTCTATTTCCTCACATTAGCCCAGATAGAAGCCAAACAAGGCTAATGGAGAAATGATTTTCTTCCCAGCTGTCTAACAGTACCCTCATCACCATACCTAACTTCTCATCATATTATATTTATAGTAATTACTGTATTGTAATATTCAATGTAGTGTAATATTAGGATGTAAAGGGTAAAGAAATAGAAAAAGAATACATAGGCCTATTTGATTGTGGGCTGCCTAGTAATGGCACATAGTACATAGGCCATCAACTTGACATGTTCTATGTTTACAAACCTGCTACAAGGGGAGTTAACTTTGCCAGGTTTAGAGTTTGTAGTGTAGGATGCCAAGATAAACATAGGACACAGAAATTACTAATTAGGGCTAGATCTAGATTTTTGTATTGTCATGTAGATGTAGATCTAGATCTATAATATGTATTATGTAGCCTAATATTATGTATAGATCTAGTTCATTTCTAGCAGACCTTTTTAAAGATTTTCCCTACCGTAAATCCCCCCTCTCATTTATCAGACTAACACGAGTTATTTAAGAAGTTAAGAATGAAGTACTCACCTCCTGGTGTGCTACTTGCTTGATGTGCTCACATTCAATGATGATATCGTACTGGAGTTTAAACCATCAGCTGTGGGACTCACTTTCTTCAGTCGTGGTTCCCAGATCAGACTGTAGTACGTGGCCAACACTATGGCCGCTAGTGAGACCGCTAGGACATAGGCCAACACAGTGGCCAGCCGAACCCATTTCTTGTTTGTCTTGGCCGCCATTTTATTCTTGCTTTTATCTGCCGTGAAGCTCGGCCCCTTAGATCCGCTCTGTGTAGCGTTCCCTCTGTATGTCGAGTTGGGTTCCTCTTTCTCCATCATCTTATATAGTCACGGCTAATTGCCAGCACTTGCTATTTGCTCAGAAAATTGACGAAGAAAGAATTGATCCGGACAGCGTCAAGCTAATAGCTTATCTCTGTCAAGTAGGCTTTGTTTTGAACAGATTCACTACCTACTGGCTGCCGCGTCGCGCTCAAGCAGTTAGAGCCATCGACCACTTATTGAGCGCGGCCGTAGCGCGTGCGTGCAGAACATGGCCGATCGATGGAGCGAGCCATGTTTTTTTTCCAACTAGCCTAGTGTGAGTAAAATGGTTGCTGGCTAATGGCGTGTGTTTAATTCAGTGACGGAGGCAGTGCCAGTGTGTCAGTGATAAATGTCAACTTGCGTTAAATGTCATCCAGTAATCTAAACGGTTCCTGGTCGAGTAGAGGGCCTACACGAGTTAAGTAGGTCAAATATACATGCGTTAACTAGGTCAAGAACAGGCCACCTCAGTTACCTAAAACAACATTGACACCAAACACCAAATTTTGTCGTCGGGGGGGGGGGGGGGGGGGGATGGGGGTAGAGATTAAAATGATGTCAATTTAAACGTAGGTCTATATATATATATATATATATATATATATATATATATATATATATATATATATATTATTTATTTCTAACTTGGAGTAATCTTTCTTGTAAATTGGACCAAAAAACATTGTTTTGATGTGTAATGATTAAAATTAAAGGCGCAGTAAAAGACGAAAGTTTTTACAAAACGGTACTTATTACCCGCACAGGGGGGGCAAGTAGTACCACTAGCGAAGCAAAGAAGTGCTCAAGGATATAACGATTGTTTAGCATTAACGTGTTGATTTCTAAGCAGCCATTGGTCAATGTATAACCCCAAACTTTTGAGTTCTACGCAGTGGCGTCACTGGTTCCCAGAAAGATGCGCAACAGAAAAAAGCGCAAAGGAAAAAAGAGCAAACAGAAATTTGCGCAAACAGAAAAATGCTCAAACAGAAATTTGCGCACACAGAGCAATGCGCAAAGAGAAAATGCGCAAAGAGAAAAATATACAGAAAAATTCGCAAAGAGAAATTTGCACAAGCAGAAAAATGCGCACCGAGAAAAGTGCGCACACCGAAAATGCGCAAAGAGAAATTTTAGCACAAAGACATATATGGACTAGATGACACATGTATACACGATTGTTAAGGCTGCTGTGAGAGTGTCGTGTTTGACCTGACGCGATCTACTACCATTTAAAGAATGCCACTACCATGAGCATTCACATCACAACGATACAATATTCAACTACTATTCTCGTTTAAATAAACATAAAACTATCCTTGATATCCGCATTAAGCGGACTGTCTCCCTTGTCCGAACTTTCTAAAACTTCATCCTCTTTCATCCGCGTCATCAAACATGCTATAATCTTTCGCACCAACATTTATTCGCACCATACGGGTTGGTAGATGATTAAGTGGGTGGGTTTTTAGCTTGTGCACATTTCTCTTTGCTCATTTTTCTCCTGGCGCATTTTCCTGTCACCCCCCCCCCCCCCATATATATATATATATATATATATATATATATATATATATATATATATATATATATATATATATATATATATATATATATATTATTTATATATATATATATATATATATATATATATATATATATATATATATATATATATATATATATATATATATATATATATATATGTGTGTGTGTGTGTGTATGTCCACATAGACTGTGACTATAATTGTTGGTTGTGACTAAAATTGTTGACTATGATTAAATCTGTCCAGTGTGACTGAAGCTGTGCAGTGTGACTAAATCTGTCCAGTGTGACTAAAGCTGTCCAGTGTGACTAAAGCTGTCCAGTGTGACTAAAGCTGTCCAGTGTGACTAAAGCTGTCCAGTGTGACTAAAGCTGTCCAGTGTGACTAAAGCTGTCCAGTGTGACTAAAGCTGTCCAGTGTGACTAAAGCTGTGCAGTGTGACTAAAGCTGTCCAGTGTGACTAAAGCTGTTGACTTACCAAATGTTTATCAACCTATGAGAGCTGATCAGGGCGTGTCATGACGACAGCGGCTGATTATGGGACAAAAATAGTTGACATTTCCATGCTCACTCAGGGGAATTATTGATGCTGTTACACACTGGCATCATAGATTAGCACGTGAAAAGATACAGGGGCGGCGCAAAGGGGGAGGGGTAAGGGGTGTAAATGCAGACCGTACCAGGTGACACCTTTTAGGGGGGTGATACCAAGACAAAAAATGCTGTATATTTAGAGAAAAAATGTAAGCCGTTTGTATAAATTATTTTTTCTTTATTCTCTGACCTCACGAAGTTTTATTGTTTGTGGTTGATGTCTTTAAAAATGTGTTGACTCAAAATCATATAAAAAGGTGTTTACTCTCAGACAGATTTTAGGCCAGGCCGTAGTGGCTGGTCCGTATTTCTCCTACGTGACCGGCTGAATTACTGAGACACTTTCAAAAGATAAACCCCATTTAATGAGTAGAGGTACCAGAAAAACGTTTTAAAAACTTGCAGAAGATTTTTGCGAAAATGTGCTGTTTGTATAGGAAACAAGCGTGCCCGTCCCCACCAGGGCTAAAGGAAAGTCCGAGGGTAGCCCGGTGCAGATCGCACGCTACCGGGGCGTCGGCGGACGCGCCTGATTTAGTTTAGTAAACGACTGCAATGGCACATTGTATCCATAGTCTATCGCACTGCTTAAAACTGTTTGTATATATATATATATATATATATATATATATATATATATATATATATATATATATATATATATATATATATATATATATATCTAGACTAGCTGCATACCCGTGCTTCGCCACAGCAAATCTTTTTTAAATGTACCAACTTGGGAACAGAACAAAACTAAACACAACACAAACACAAAAGAAGACACAAACACAACACAACCACAAAAGAAAAAAAAACAAACACAAAGCAAACACAAACGAAAATACAAAGAAAAACACAAATGCAACACACAAACACAAAAGAAAAAAACAAACACAAATGAAAACACAAATGAAAACACCAACACAATGCAAACACAAACGCAATAAAATACAAACGAAAAAACAAACACAACCCTCATAACTTAAACACAACTTAAATGCAAACATAAGCGCATAGTGCTCACAGTTTAGCCCGTGGCGCCAAATCGCACCCTGCCCGAGCACCGACGGACGCGCCTGATTCATTGAATGACTATAAAAACCCCAGCTTGTCCGCAAACGGAAAGGTAGATTAATAATTAGAAAACAGTACGTTCAGTGTATAAAATAAATAAAAGGCTGTATTTAAAATATCCGTGTTTTACCTACCATATTGCACTATCAAGTCGTGCATTTTTTTCAGTACTTTAAATTTTAAAAATGTACAATAGAGTTTCATTACTAAAACCATTGCGCACCTAATGAACGTGATGACGCGTCTATAACAATGCGGAATAGTTTATTAAAAATTATAATTAGTAAACAGGACGTTAAGTGAATAAAATAAATAAAAGATAGCCTTTTATCAATACATGCTAATTATAATATTCCAACAATACTGTCCTCTTACAATAATGTCCACTGCAGATTTGCATTCATTCACATTTTGCTAATTATACTATTCCAACAATTATTCCCTCTTGGAGATTTTGCTTCACATTTTTGCATTAGCTTGAGTTGAATTTGTTTTTTAATTACCTCCCTTGGCAAAATTACAAAACAGTTTAATTAATTAATTAATTATTTCGACCCTACTATTATTAAAATGTATCCACTTTTTCTAGGAATCAAAACGAAAATCATATTTGACATTGATCCGTTTAATATGTTTTAGAAATGTGCGTGCATTTAACATTTTCTTTACGTTATGCGAAAGAATAAAAACTGTAGCAACTATAAAATAAATTTAAGTCGTTATATAAACAAACCTTACTCTATTCCCCCCCCCCCCCCCCAGAAGAGATGCCTTGAAGAAACTCTGATAAATACTAGCATTACTAGCACGTCAGCAGCTTACATTTGATACAATTCATTTTCAACTGTGCAGGAAGTGAATATAAATGTTTATTTATGATATGGGAATGGCACATTATAATATAGTGTATAATACAGTACATTGTAAGTAAAAAAATTAGAAAATAAATTCAAACTTGAATCAAAGAATAAATGTAAATAATAATCATTAAAAAAGTTTTAAAAAACCCACGTTTTCTGATTGAACTAAAAAGTAGAAAATAAATGCTATAGGCCCTACATCACAATAATGCAAGCGATCACTCTACTATAAGCGATGAAAAACGTGGGGCGCCGAAGTAAAAGTTATATTACTATTGATTAGATAATACTATTGACTTTTATTAGGGAGCTTGTAGAGAGTCAACAGTATTAGAAACTGTAAGAAAATCACGGCGCCCCACGTTTTTGCTCGCTTATAGTAGAGTGATCGCTTGCATTATTGTGATGTAGGGCCTATAGCATTTATTTTCTACTTTTTAGTTCAATCAGAAAACGTGGGTTTTTTAAAACTTTTTTAATGATTATTATTTTCTACTTTTTAGTCTTTGTCTGTTTGTTTGCATTAAAATCTTGCTATCGATTTTATCTTTTCACTTTTTTTGGGTAAACGAAGACAACTCGTAAAAAGACAACTCGTAAAAAGACAACTCGTAAAAAGACAACTCGTAAAAAACACGTTGTTTGAATACGTTACTGACTAGAACACATAGATTTGAACCCGTGTCGAGTGGGATAGCAATCGTGTGCCCAACCACTCGACCATATCGTCTCCCCCAAACTGGCCTACCTCCTGTAAGTTTAAACTCGGTTCAAGCTAAATTCTCTGCCCCTAAGCCTGTGGCGACATGTGATCGTTCGCTTCACTGCGCGCGAGGTACGCGTCGCTGGTTTTTTAACACGTTTTTATTAACTCAGCTTCGCGTGGATGTGTTTGTTGTTAAAATTGACATCGAAAATTAGCCCACTTCTGATTGCTCTATAGATCTGAAATTTGGCATGCAGGTTACTTTCGCCTAACAATTTCAGATGCAATCATAAAAACTAGCAATTAGAGACCGTAATTAGCTTAATTTAATTACGCCCAAAGGACCATAAAATTGAGGACATGATTTCTAAAGATACCGACAAGACTGGAGGCTTGTTGACACAGTTACTTCGGCCCCAATCGATGTGAGCGTGCTGGCCGTGATCGTATAGTGGTTAGTACTTCGCGTTGTGGCCGCGACAACCCAGGTTCGAATCCTGGTCGCTCAAGATTTTTTTAGTCCGTGTATTTATAAACACTTAGTCAATTCATACTTAATCAAGTCATTAGATAAAGTAGAAAATAAACTATATAAAAAACTTTTTTAAAAACCACGTTTTTCATGTGTAGCAACGGACTAAAAAGGAGAAAATAAAATACTTAAAAAAAACTTTTTAAAAAACCACGTTTTTCTTGTGGACTAAAAAGTAGAAAATAACTATTTACATACATTTGATGACAAAAAACGTGGGTCGGGCAGATGGGTCGGGAAATTTGATGGTGAACGTACCCACGTTTTTTGTCATCAAATGTATGTAAATAGTTATTTTCTACTTTTTAGTCCACAAGAAAAACGTGGTTTTTTAAAAAGTTTTTTTTAAGTATTTTATTTTCTAATGGCTAGCAGAGGAGAATTATATATATAGATTATATAGCGGTCTAAAATGCTCAATAAAATGTTTCCATTGATCAATTTAGTAATAATAACAATTGAATATTCAATGGTCATCCAAAAGAAAGCTTCCCTGAAAATTTCAGCGCGCTAGCTAACTGGGAAGTGCCAGAAATTTCGATCGCAAGATTTGATTGGAAAGACAAACAAATAAACACACAGAGAAAGCAAGTTAAAGAAAACGTGGGAAAAATTTCGATCGCAAGATTGGATTGGAAAGACAAACAAATAAATAAATAAACACACAGAGAAAGCAAGTTAAAGAAAACGTGGTAAAAATATGTATTAGCGTGAGAGCAGTATGGTACTGATTGGTTGGTCTTGTGTTTCTCTTAATCACTCAGCCCCCCCCCCCCCCCACCACATTCTTCTAAATCCCTGTGACTGATGACCCCTAAATCCCTGTGACTGATGACCCCTAAATCCCTGTGACTGATGACCCCTAAATCCATGTGACACCTAAATCCCTGTGACTGATGACCCCTAAATCCCTGTGACTGATGACCCCTAAATCCCTGTGACTGATGACCCCTAAATCCCTGTGACTGATGACCCCTAAATCCCTGTGACTGATGACCCCTAAATCCCTGTGACTGATGACCCCTAAATCCCTGTGGCTGATGACCCCTAAATCCCTGTGACCCCTAAATCCCTGTGACTGATGACCCCTAAATCCCTGTGGCTGATGACCCCTAAATCCCTGTGACCCATAAATCCCTGTGACTGATGACCCCTAAATCCCTGTGACTGATGACCCCTAAATCCCTGTGACCCCTAAATCCCTGTGACTGATGACCCCTAAATCCCTGTGACTGATGACCCCTAAATCCCTGTGACTGATGACCCCTAAATCCCTGTGACTGATGACCCCTAAATCCCTGTGACTGATGACCCCTAAATCCCTGTGACTGATGACCCCTAAATCCCTGTGACTGATGACCCCTAAACATCAGTCCCCGTATAGTCGACGCCCTCTGCCCCCCGTGTTGTGTGCTCGCTGGCCCCAGGTTGTCGGGGATGTTTGCCAGCAGGCCGCCTAGTGTCATGTCTGTCACTGCCATGTCTGTCACTGCCATGTCTGTCACTGCCATGTCTGTCACTGCCATGTCTGTCAGTGCCATGTCTGTCAGTGATGACGTCCTGATGCCTATCTCTCTGTGTCTTGCTGTACTGGCTTAATTCTTGGCTTTTGTCCACCACATCTCTGACGTCATCGTCATAACGATTGACGTCATCGTTCTCATCATCCTCTATGTCCACGTCATCGAAGTTGTCTGATTTGTAGACATCTGAGTACCGATCCCGTTCACTGCGGCTTTCGTCTCTTTCATCCACCTGGTCACGTGGCTAGAGATATAAATAGAAACCACCACTTGTTTTTGGAGGTGACAATAAACAAATAGGACTGGGCCTGACGCAACAACTCACACAGGACCTGCCAACTAACAACCCGCATGTACATGACAACCCGCCTGTACACGACAACCCGCCTGTACATGACAACCCGCCTGTACATGACAACCCGCCTGTACATAACAACCCGCCTGTACATGACAACCCGCCTCTACATGACAACCCGCCTGTACATGACAACCCGCCTCTACATGACAACCCGCCTGTACACGACAACCCGCCTATACATGACAACCCGCCTGTACATGACAACCCAGCTGTACATGACAATCCGCCTGTACATGACAACCCAGCTGTACATGACAACCCACCTGTACATGACAACCCGCCTGTACATGACAACCCGCCTGTACATGACAACCCGCCTGTACATGACAACCCAGCTGTACATGACAACCCGCCTGTACATGACAACCCAGCTGTACATGACAACCCGCCTGTACATGACAACCCGCCTGTACATGACAACCCGCCTCTACATGACAACCCGCCTGTACACGACAACCCGTCTGTACATGACAACCCGCCTGTACATGACAACCCAGCTGTACATGACAACCCGCCTGTACATGACAACCCAGCTGTACATGAAAACCCACCTGTACATGACAACCCGCCTGTACATGACAACCCGCCTCTACATGACAATCCAGCTGTAAATGACAACCCAGCTGTACATGACAACCCGCCTGTACATGACAACCCAGCTGTACATGACAACCCAGCTGTACATGACAACCCGCCTGTACATGACAACCCAGCTGTACATGACAACCCGCCTGTACATGACAACCCGCCTGTACATGACAACCCGCCTCTACATGACAACCCGCCTGTACACGATCCCGCCTGTACATGACAACCCGCCTGTACATGACAACCCAGCTGTACATGACAACCCGCCTGTACATGACAACCCAGCTGTACATGACAACCCGCCTGTACATGACAACCTGCCTGTACATGACAACCCGCCTCTACATGACAATCCAGCTGTACATGACAACCCGCCTGTACATGGCAACCCAGCTGTACATGACAATCCAGCTGTACATGACAACCCAGCTGTACATGACAACCCGCCTGTACATGACAACCCAGCTGTACATGACAACCCAGCTGTACATGACAACCCACCTGTACATGACAACCCGCCTGTACATGACAACCCACCTGTACATGACAACCCGCCTGTACATGACAACCCAGCTGTACATGACAACCCACCTGTACATGACAACCCAGCTGTACATGACAACCCGCCTGTACATGACAACCCAGCTGTACATGACAACCCACCTGTACATAATGACTGACATCATATTCTTCATAATCATGTTGAGAGGATACACGTCTGTCAGAGCTGTGGAAAAAACAAGGAGGTATCTAGGACAGTGATGTGTTGTGTCATGTGTAGTATCTGAGACAGTGATGTGTTGTGTCATGTGTAGTATCTGGGACAGTGATGTGTAGTATCTGGAACAGTGATGTGTTGTGTCATGTGTAGTATCTGAGACAGTGATGTGTTGTGTCATGTGTAGTATCTGGGACAGTGATGTGTAGTATCTGGAACAGTGATGTGTAGTATCTGGAACAGTGATGTGTAGTATCTGGAACAGTGATGTGTAGTATCTGGAACAGTGATGTGTAGTATCTGGAACAGTGATGTGTAGTATCTGGGACAGTGATGTGTTGTGTCATGTGTAGTATCTGGGACAGTGATGTGTAGTATCTGAGACAGTGATGTGTTGATGGGACAATGATGTGTAGTATCTGAGACAGTGATGTGTAGTATCTGGGACAGTGATGTCAAGTATCTGGGACAGTGATGTGTTGATGGGACAGTGATGTGTAGTATCTGAGACAGTGATGTATAGTATCTGGGACAGTGATGTGAAGTATCTGGGACAGTGATGTGTTGATGGGATAGTGATGTGTAGTATCTGAGACAGTGATGTGTAGTATCTGGGACAGTGATGTGTAGTATCTGGGACAGTGATGTGTAGTATCTGGGACAGTGATGTGAAGTATCTGGGACAGTGATGTGAAGTATCTGGGACAGTGATGTGTTGATGGGACAGTGATGTGTAGTATCTGAGACAGTGATGTGTAGTATCTGGGACAGTGATGTCAAGTATCTGGGACAGTGATGTGTTGATGGGACAGTGATGTGTAGTATCTGAGACAGTGATGTGTAGTATCTGGGACAGTGATGTGAAGTATCTGGGACAGTGATGTGTTGATGGGACAGTGATGTGTAGTATCTGAGACAGTGATGTGTAGTATCTGGGACAGTGATGTGAAGTATCTGGGACAGTGATGTGTTGATGAGACAGTGATGTGTAGTATCTGAGACAGTGATGTGTAGTATCTGGGACAGTGATGTCAAGTATCTGGGACAGTGATGTGTTGATGGGACAGTGATGTGTAGTATCTGAGACAGTGATGTGTAGTATCTGGGACAGTGATGTGAAGTATCTGGGACAGTGATGTGTTGATGGGACAGTGATGTGTAGTATCTGAGACAGTGATGTGTAGTATCTGGGACAGTGATGTGAAGTATCTGGGACAGTGATGTGTTGATGGGACAGTGATGTGTAGTATCTGAGACAGTGATGTGTAGTATCTGGGACAGTGATGTGAAGTATCTGGGACAGTGATGTGTTGATGGGACAGTGATGTGTAGTATCTGAGACAGTGATGTGTAGTATCTGGGACAGTGATGTGTTGTATCTGGGACAGTGATGTGTTGATGGGACAGTGATGTGAAGTATCTGGGACAGTGATGTGTTGATGGGACAGTGATGTGTTGATGGGACAGTGATGTGAAGTATCTGGGACAGTGATGTGAAGTATCTGGGACAATGATGTGTTGTATCTGGGACAGTGATGTGTTGATGGGACAGTGATGAATTACCTCATTGAGTCGCCGTCATAACTGTCTTGTCCATATGACCTAGAATGCTCATCATAGTGACCTCTACCCTCATCGTCATACATCTCCTGTCTGTCGCAGATATTTAGAGAGACATTACACACATCATGATTACACACATTATAATTACAGACATGATTACACATGTGACAACCTACCCGTCATAGATCTGGTTAATGTGACCAACTGGTGCCAGACTTTTTTCCTCCCCAGCCAGCTCCGTCACATCTGTCCAAACAAGATGGGCTTAGCTCGGTCACAAAGTTACAGGAGATGGGCTTAGCTCGGTAACAAAGTTACAGGAATTAAAGATGGGCTTAGCTCGGTAACAAAGTTACAGGAGTTAAAGATGGGCTTAGCTCGGTAACAAAGTTACAGGAGTTAAAGATGGGCTTAGCTCGGTCACAAAGTTACAGGAATTAAAGATGGGCTTAGCTCGGTAACAAAGTTACAGGAATTAAAATGCGCTTAGCTCGGTAACAAACTTACATGAATTAAAGATGGGCTTAGCTCGGTAACAAAGTTACAGGAATTAAAGATGGGCTTAGCTCGGTAACAAAGTTACAGGAATTAAAGATGGGCTTAGCTCGGTCACAAAGTTACAGGAATTAAAGATGGGCTTAGCTCGGTCACAAAGTTACAGGAATTAAAGATGGGCTTAGCTCGGTAACAAAGTTACAGGAATTAAAGATGGGCTTAGCTCGGTAACAAAGTTACAGGAATTAAAGATGGGCTTAGCTCGGTAACAAAGTTACAGGAGTTAAAGATGGGCTTAGCTCGGTAACAAAGTTACAGGAGTTAAAGATGGGCTTAGCTCGGTCACAAAGTTACAGGAATTAAAGATGGGCTTAGCTCGGTAACAAAGTTACAGGAATTAAAATGCGCTTAGCTCGGTAACAAACTTACATGAATTAAAGATGGGCTTAGCTCGGTAACAAAGTTACAGGAATTAAAGATGGGCTTAGCTCGGTAACAAAGTTACAGGAATTAAAGATGGGCTTAGCTCGGTCACAAAGTTACAGGAATTAAAGATGGGCTTAGCTCGGTCACAAAGTTACAGGAATTAAAGATGGGCTTAGCTCGGTAACAAAGTTACAGGAATTAAAGATGGGCTTAGCTCGGTAACAAAGTTACAGGAATTAAAGATGGGCTTAGCTCGGTAACAAAGTTACAGGAATTAAAGATGGGCTTAGCTCGGTAACAAAGTTACAGGAATTAAAGATGGGCTTAGCTCGGTCACAAAGTTACAGGAATTAAAGATGGGCTTAGCTCGGTCACAAAGTTACAGGAATTAAAGATGGGCTTAGCTCGGTAACAAAGTTACAGGAATTAAAGATGGGCTTAGCTCGGTCACAAAGTTACAGGAATTAAAGATGGGCTTAGCTCGGTCACAAAGTTACAGGAATTAAAGATGGGCTTAGCTCGGTAACAAAGTTACAGGAATTAAAGATGGGCTTAGCTCGGTAACAAAGTTACAGGAATTAAAGATGGGCTTCGCTCGGTAACAAAGTGATGATTGTGTTTGAAACTTTGAGAATGATGATTGTGTTTAAAACTTTGAGAATGATGATTGTGTGAACTAGATAAGACAGAGACGGGTTTCTTACAAGCAACTGTACCCGAGTGTGTCAAAACTTTGAGAATGATGATTGTGTCAACTAGAGAAGACAGAGACGGGTGTCTTACAAGCAACTAGAGAAGACAGAGACGGGTGTCTTACAAGCAACTAGAGAAGACAGAGACGGGTGTCTTACAAGCAACTAGAGAAGACAGAGACGGGTGTCTTACAAGCAACTAGAGAAGACAGAGACGGGTGTCTTACAAGCAACTAGAGAAGACAGAGACGGGTGTCTTACAAGCAACTAGAGAAGACAGAGACGGGTGTCTTACAAGCAACTAGAGAAGACAGAGACGGGTGTCTTACAAGCAACTGTACCCGAGTAGGTCTGCGGCTGCTCCTGCGTCTGGAACCGGAAGCCCCTCTTGTAGCAGACGTAGAAGCCGATGACGAGGGCCACGTGCAGCAGCAGGGAGCCAATCATTGCCAGGAACCAGCCCAGGTTGGCGCTCAGGTCGTAGGCTTTGGCTGAAGATGGAGGGGGGAGGGAGAAATCTCAGTTCCGCCCCGAGTAGGTCACTAATCACCCTCCCGCACCCACCGCACACAAGCCCCTATTGCCCTACCCAAACTCCAGCCCCCACCCCTGACGGTGACCCAAACCCAAACTCCAGCCCCCACCCCTGGCGGTGACCCAAACTCCAGCCCCCACCCCTGACGGTGACCCAAACCCAAACTCCAGCCCCCACCCCTGACCCCAACCCAAACTCCAGCCCCCACCCCTGGCGGTGACCCCAACCCAAACTCCAGCCCCCACCCCTGACGGTGACCCAAACTCCAGCCCCCACCCCTGACGGTGACCCCAACCCAAACTCCAGCCCCCACCCCTGACCCCAACCCAAACTCCACCCCCCACCCCTGGCGGTGACCCCAACCCAAACTCCAGCCCCCACCCCTGACGGTGACCCCAACCCAAACTCCAGCCCCCACCCCTGGCGGTGACCCAAACTCCAGCCCCCACCCCTGACGGTGACCCCAACCCAAACTCCAGCCCCCACCCCTGGCGGTGACCCCAACCCAAACTCCAGCCCCCACCCCTGGCGGTGACCCCAACCCAAACTCCAGCCCCCACCCCTGGCGGTGACCCCAACTGCAGCCCCCACCCCTGGCGGTGACCCCAACCCAAACTCCAGCCCCCACCCCTGGCGGTGACCCCAACCCAAACTCCAGCCCCCACCCCTGGCGGTGACCCCAGCCCAAACTCCAGCCCCCACCCCTGGCGGTGACCCCAGCCCAAACTCCAGCCCCCACCTCTTGACCCTTGACCTTACCAATCCCGTCAGTCAGCACGTCCTCTTCCTCTGAGACCCGCGTGACCGGCCCTGACGTCACGACGATGCGCACGACGTATCTGATGCCAGGCTGGAGCAAGGTCAGCCTGACCCAGTCTCTGCTAACATCCGGGCTCGTGCTCAGCCATTCTGGCCCGTCTGTAACATGTCATTTAGATGTCAGTAATGACATAAAACAGGTATCATACGGAAGTCTACATGTCATGAGTAAAGATGTCATCCATACAGATGTCAGCCATACAGATGTCAGCCATACAGATGTCAGCTATTCAGATGTCAGCTATTCAGATGTCAGCAATACAAATGTCAGCCATACAGATGTCAGCCATACAAATGTCAACCATACAGATGTCAGCCCTACAGATGTCAACCATTCAGATGACATCCATACAGATGTCAACCACTAAGAAGTCAACCACTCAGATGTCAGCCCTACAGATGTCAGCCATACAAATGTCAACCGTTCAGATGTCAGCCACGTGACATGGCTCTGCTCACCCTCCTTCTTGTACTGGACGAAGACGACACTCCCACTGCTGATGTAGGGGTCCCGCCACCACGTGACGTTGATGTAGTCCTCCCCGACCCCCGCGATGGAAAACCTGGGCAGACTGGGAGCTGCAATAGTGACATGCCAGATGTCATGACATACAGGTGTCATGACATTCAGGCGTCAAGACAGCTAGTACAAGGCAACATGAAACATAAGTGACATGCCAGATGTCATGACATACAGGTGTCATGACATTCAGGCGTTAAGACAGCTAGTACAAGGCAACATTAAACATAAGTGACATGCCAGATGTCATGACATTCAGGCGTCAAAACAGCTAGTACAAGGCAACATTAAACATAAGTGACATGCCAGATGTCATGATATGCCAGATGTCATGACACTCAGCTACTAACCTCCAGGGGCCGTGGTGCTCCTCTCGATATAAAAGCCCTCGCCGCGGCCCGCCGATGTGCGGGCCCAGATGTGGATCCTGTACTTGCTGCTGGGCCGCAGCCCGCTCAGCATGGCCGTGGTGGCGTAGGGGTCGTCAATGGGGGGGATTCGATCCTGGAGCTCGCCCAGCCTCAGCCCGTCAATCACTGCATGCAGCAGGAGGGAGGGACCAGATGTCATAATAGTCTTAATCAGATGTCATGTAGTCATAATCAGATGCCATATAATCAAAATCAGATGTCACGTAGTACAAACATCAAATGTTGTATAGTCAAAATGAGATGTCATGTATTCATAATCATGTGACATGTGGTCACACAGATGACATGTGGTCACACAGATGACATGAAGTCACACAGATGACATGTGGTCACACAGATGACATGGAACAAGTCACACAGATGACATGGAACAAGTCACACAGATGACATGGAACAGGTCACACAGATGACATGGAACAAGTCACACAGATGACATGTAGTCACAGATGACACGTGACATCTGTCTCTCACCCTCCTGATAGCCGATGTCGTAGCCCGTCAGGTCGCCTCGGTTGTCCAGCGGCGGGCGCCAGACCAGGTTGATGTGGTTGTCGGCCAGGTTCATCTCCTCCATGTACTGCACGGGGCCGGGCACTGTAAGACATGACGGGCAGTCCTAGCGCTGGGTGGGTGGGGGGGTGGGGGGTAGGGGGAGTGAGTGAGTGGGGGGTGAGGTGGTGGGTGGAGGGGGTGGGGGTGGGTGAGTGAGTGAGTGTGTGAGTGAGTGGGGGGGTGAGTGGGGGGTGAGTGGGTGGGGGGGTGGGGGTGGAGGTGGGTGGGTGAGTGGGTGAGTGAGTGAGTGAGTGGGTGTGTGGGTGGGTGAGTGAGTGAGTGAGTGAGTGAGTGAGTGAATGAGTGAGTGAGTGAGTGAGTGAGTGAGTGAGTGAGTGAGTGAGTGAGTGAGTGAGTGAGTGGGTGGGTGGGTGAGTGGGTGGGTGGGTGGGTGAGTGAGTGAGTGAGTGAGTGAGTGAGTGAGTGGGTGGGTGGATGGGTGGGTGGGTGGGTGGGTGGGTGAGTGAATAAATGAGTGAGTGAGTGAGTGAGTGAGTGAGTGAGTGAGTGAGTGAGTGAGTGAGTGAGTGAGTGGGTGAGTGAGTGAGTGAGTGGGTGAGTGGGTGGGTGGGTGAGTGAGTGAATGAGTGAGTGAGTGAGTGAGTGAGTGAGTGAGTGAGTGAGTGAGTGAGTGAGTGAGTGAGTGAGTGAGTGAGTGAGTGAGTGAGTGAGTGAGTGAGTGAGTGAGTGAGTGAGTGAGTGAGTGAGTGAGTGAGTGAGTGAGTGAGTGAGTGAGTGAGTGAGTGAGTGAGTGAGTGAGTGAGTGAGTGAGTGAGTGAGTGAGTGAGTGAGTGAGTGAGTGAGTGAGTGAGTGAGTGAGTGAGTGAGTGAGTGAGTGAGTGAGTGAGTGAGTGAGTGAGTGAGTGAGTGAGTGAGTGAGTGAGTGAGTGAGTGAGTGAGTGAGTGAGTGAGTGAGTGAGTGAGTGAGTGAGTGAGTGAGTGAGTGAGTGAGTGAGTGAGTGAGTGAGTGAGTGAGTGAGTGAGTGAGTGAGTGAGTGAGTGAGTGAGTGAGTGAGTGAAAGAACTCACGGCCAGGCGGGGTTCTAAACTTGAGCGTGTCTGAGGGAGCACTGACGAAGTAGTTGTTGAGCACGGAGATCCGCGCCTCCACGGGCGTGTTGGGCATCATGTGAGTCACGCTGGCCTTGAACACGTCTGCAGGACCATCAAGGTCAAGGTCTTTAGGCCGGACATCAACCTCTCTGATGGTCTCACCGCGTAGACCTTCAGCCCAGAACTGAACCTGTGACAGCAGGGACAGGTAAGGCGTGAGGGGCCATTGACACTCGTAAGGCGTGAGCTAACGCGGGCCATTGACACTCGTAAGTCGTGCCCCCCCCCCACCCCATCACCCAAGTTCAATGTCCCCTTAAGCCCAAGTGTCACCTTAAGCCCAAGTGTCACCTTAAGCCCCCTTAAGCCCACGTGTCACCTTAAGCCCAAGTGTCACCTTAAGCCCAAGTGTCACCTTAAGCCCCCTTAAGCCCACGTGTCACCTTAAGCCCAAGTGTCACCTTAAGCCCAAGTGTCACCTTAAGCCCCCTTAAGCCCAAGTGTCACCTTAAGCCCAAGTGTCACCTTAAGCCCAAGTGTCACCTTAAGCCCAAGTGTCACCTTAAGCCCCCTTAAGCCCAAGTGTCACCTTAAGCCCAAGTGTCACCTTAAGCCCAAGTGTCACCTTAAGCCCAAGTGTCACCTTAAGCCCAAGTGTCACCTTAAGCCCCCTTAAGCCCAAGTGTCACCTTAAGCCCAAGTGTCACCTTAAGCCCAAGTGTCACCTTAAGCCCAAGTGTCACCTTAAGACCCCTTAAGCCCATGTGTCACCTTAAGCCCAAGTGTCACCTTAAGCCCAAGTGTCACCTTAAGCCCCCTTAAGCCCATGTGTCACCTTAAGCCCAAGTGTCACCTTAAGCCCAAGTGGCACCTTAAGACCCCTTAAACCCAAGTGTCACCTTAAGCCCAAGTGTCACCTTAAGCCCAAGTGTCACCTTAAGCCCAAGTGTCACCTTAAGCCCCCTTAAGCCCAAGTGTCACCTTAAGCCCAAGTGTCACCTTAAGCCCAAGTGTCACCTTAAGACCCCTTAAGCCCAAGTGGCACCTTAAGACCCCTTAAGCCCAAGTGTCACCTTAAGCCCAAGTGTCACCTTAAGCCCAAGTGTCACCTTAAGCCCAAGTGTCACCTTAAGCCCAAGTGTCACCTTAAGCCCAAGTGTCACCTTAAGCCCCCTTAAGCCCAAGTGTCACCTTAAGCCCAAGTGTCACCTTAAGCCCAAGTGGCACCTTAAGACCCCTTAAACCCAAGTGTCACCTTAAGCCCAAGTGTCACCTTAAGCCCAAGTGTCACCTTAAGCCCAAGTGTCACCTTAAGCCCAAGTGTCACCTTAAGCCCCCTTAAGCCCAAGTGTCACCTTAAGCCCAAGTGTCACCTTAAGCCCCCTTAAGCCCAAGTGTCACCTTAAGCCCAAGTGTCACCTTAAGCCCAAGTGTCACCTTAAGACCCCTTAAGCCCAAGTGTCACCTTAAGCCCAAGTGTCACCTTAAGCCCAAGTGTCACCTTAAGCCCAAGTGTCACCTTAAGCCCAAGTGTCACCTTAAGCCCAAGTGTCACCTTAAGCCCAAGTGTCACCTTAAGCCCAAGTGGCACCTTAAGACCCCTTAAGCCCAAGTGTCACCTTAAGCCCCCTTAAGCCCAAGTGTCACCTTAAGCCCAAGTGTCACCTTAAGCCCCCTTAAGCCCAAGTGTCACCTTAAGCCCAAGTGGCACCTTAAGACCCCTTAAGCCCAAGTGTCACCTTAAGCCCCCTTAAGCCCAAGTGTCACCTTAAGCCCAAGTGTCACCTTAAGCCCAAGTGTCACCTTAAGCCCAAGTGTCACCTTAAGCCCCCTTAAGCCCAAGTGTCACCTTAAGCCCCCTTAAGCCCAAGTGTCACCTTAAGGCCCCTTAAGCCCAAGTGTCACCTTAAGCTCCCTTAAGCCCAAGTGTCACCTTAAGCCCAAGTGTCACCATAAGCCCAAGTGTCACCTTAAGCCCAAGTGTCACCTTAAGCCCCCTTAAGCCCAAGTGTCACCTTAAGCCCCTTTAAGCCCAAGAGTCACCTTAAGCCCAAGTGTCACCTTAAGCCAAAGTGTCACCTTAAGCCCAAGTGTCACCTGAAGCCCCCTTAAGCCCAAGTGTCACCTTAAGCACCCTTAAGCCCAAGTGTCACCTTAAGCCCAAGTGTCACCTTAAGCTCCCTTAAGCCCAAGTGTCACCTTAAGCCCAAGTGTCACCATAAGCCCAAGTGTCACCTTAAGCCCAAGTGTCACCTTAAGCCCCCTTAAGCCCAAGTGTCACCTTAAGCCCCTTTAAGCCCAAGAGTCACCTTAAGCCCAAGTGTCACCTTAAGCCAAAGTGTCACCTTAAGCCCAAGTGTCACCTGAAGCCCCCTTAAGCCCAAGTGTCACCTTAAGCCCCCTTAAGCCCAAGTGTCACCTTAAGCCCAAGTGTCACCATAAGCCCAAGTGGCACCTTAAGCCCAAGTGTCACCTTAAGCCCAAGTGGCACCTTAAGCCCAAGTGTCACCTTAAGCCTCCTTAAGCCCAAGTGTCACCTTAAGCCCCCTTAAGCCCAAGTGTCACCTTAAGCCCAAGTGTCACCTTAAGCCCAAGTGGCACCTTAAGCCCAAGTGTCACCTGAAGCCCCCTTAAGCCCAAGTGTCACCTTAAGCACCCTTAAGCCCAAGTGTCACCTTAAGCCCAAGTGTCACCTTAAGCCCCCTTAAGCCCAAGTGTCACCTTAAGCCCAAGTGTCACCTTAAGCCCAAGTGTCACCTTAAGCCCAAGTGTCACCTTAAGCCCAAGTGTCACCTTAAGCCCCCTTAAGCCCAAGTGTCACCTTAAGCCCCCTTAAGCCCAAGTGTCACCTTAAGCCCCCTTAAGCTCAAGTGTCACCTTAAGCCCAAGTGTCACCTTAAGCCCAAGTGTCACCATAAGCCCAAGTGTCACCTTAAGCCCAAGTGTCACCTTAAGCCCCCTTAAGCCCAAGTGTCACCTTAAGCCCAAGTGTCACCTTAAGCCCAAGTGTCACCTTAAGCCCCCTTAAGCCCAAGTGTCACCTTAAGCCCAAGTGTCACCATAAGCCCAAGTGTCACCTTAAGCCCAAGTGTCACCTTAAGCCCCCTTAAGCCCATGTGTCACCTTAAGCCCAAGTGTCACCTTAAGCCCAAGTGTCACCTTAAGCCCAAGTGTCACCTTAAGCCCAAGTGTCACCTTAAGCCTCCTTAAGCCCAAGTGTCACCTTAAGCCCCCTTAAGCCCAAGTGTCACCTTAAGCCCAAGTGTCACCTTAAGCCCAAGTGGCACCTTAAGCCCAAGTGTCACCTTAAGCCCAAGTGTCACCTTAAGCCCCCTTAAGCCCAAGTGTCACCTTAAGCCCAAGTGTCACCTTAAGCATCCTTAAGCCCAAGTGTCACCTTAAGCCCAAGTGTCACCTTAAGCCCCCTTAAGCTAACGTGTCACCTTAAGACCCCTTAAGCCCAAGTGTCACCTTAAGCCCAAGTGTCACCTTAAGCCCAAGTGTCACCTTAAGCCCAAGTGTCACCTTAAGCCCAAGTGTCACCTTAAGCCCAAGTGTCACCTTAAGACCCCTTAAGCCCAAGTGTCACCTTAAGACCCCTTAAGCCCAAGTGTCACCTTAAGCCCAAGTGTCACCTTAAGCCCAAGTGTCACCTTAAGCCCAAGTGTCACCTTAAGCCCAAGTGTCACCTTAAGCCCAAGTGTCACCTTAAGCCCAAGTGTCACCTTAAGCTCAAGTGTCACCTTAAGCCCAAGTGTCACCTTAAGCCCAAGTGTCACCTTAAGCCCATGTGTCACCTTAAGCCCAAGTGTCACCTTAAGACCCCTTAAGCCCAAGTGTCACCTTAAGACCCCTTAAGCCCAAGTGTCACCTTAAGCCCATGTGTCACCTTAAGCCCAAGTGTCACCTTAAGCCCAAGTGTCACCTTAAGACCCCTTAAGCCCAAGTGTCACCTTAAGCCCAAGTGTCACCTTAAGCCCAAGTGTCACCTTAACCCCAAGTGTCACCTTAAGACCCCTTAAGCCCAAGTGTCACCTTAAGCCAAAGTGTCACCTTAAGCCCAAGTGTCACCTTAAGCCCAAGTGTCACCTTAAGCCCAAGTGTCACCTTAAGCCCAAGTGTCACCTTAAGCCCAAGTGTCACCTTAAGCCCAAGTGTCACCTTAAGCCCAAGTGTCACCTTAAGCCCAAGTGTCACCTTAAGCCAAAGTGTCACCTTAAGCCCAAGTGTCACCTTAAGCCCAAGTGTCACCTTAAGCCCAAGTGTCACCTTAAGCCCAAGTGTCACCTTAAGCCCAAGTGTCACCTTAAGCCCAAGTGTCACCTTAAGCCCAAGTGTCACCTTAAAGCCCCCTTAAGCCCAAGTGTCACCTTAAGCCCAAGTGGCACCTTAAAGCCCCTTAAGCCCAAGTGTCACCTTAAGCCCAAGTGTCACCTTAAGCCCAAGTGTCACCTTAAGCCCAAGTGTCACCTTAAGCCCCCTTAAGCCCAAGTGTCACCTTAAGCCCCCTTAAGCCCAAGTGTCACCTTAAGGCCCCTTAAGCCCAAGTGTCACCTTAAGCCCAAGTGTCACCTTAAGGCCCCTTAAGCCCAAGTGGCACCTTAAGCCCAAGTGTCACCTTAAGCCCAAGTGTCACCTTAAGCCCCCTTAAGCCCAAGTGTCACCTTAAGCCCAAGTGTCACCTTAAGCCCAAGTGGCACCTTAAGCCCAAGTGTCACCTTAAGCCCCCTTAAGCCCAAGTGTCACCTTAAAGCCCCCTTAAGCCCAAGTGTCACCTTAAGCCCAAGTGGCACCTTAAGACCCCTTAAGCCCAAGTGTCACCTTAAGCCCAAGTGGCACCTTAAGACCCCTTAAGCCCAAGTGTCACCTTAAGCCCAAGTGTCACCTTAAGCCCAAGTGTCACCTTAAGCCCAAGTGTCACCTTAAGCCCAAGTGTCACCATAAGCCCAAGTGTCACCTTAAGCCCATGTGTCACCTTAAGCCCAAGTGTCACCTTAAGCCCAAGTGGCACCTTAAAGCCCCTTAAGCCCAAGTGTCACCTTAAGCCCAAGTGTCACCTTAAGCCCAAGTGTCACCTTAAGCCCAAGTGTCACCTTAAGCCCCCTTAAGCCCAAGTGTCACCTTAAGCCCATGTGTCACCTTAAGCCCATGTGTCACCTTAAGCCCAAGTGTCACCTTAAGCCCAAGTGTCACCTTAAGCCCAAGTGTCACCTTAAGCCCAAGTGTCACCTTAAGCCCAAGTGTCACCTTAAGCCCAAGTGTCACCTTAAGCCCCCTTAAGCCCAAGTGTCACCTTAAGGCCCCTTAAGCCCAAGTGTCACCTTAAGCCCATGTGTCACCTTAAGCCCACGTGTCACCTTAAGCCCAAGTGTCACCTTAAGCCCAAGTGTCACCTTAAGCCCCCTTAAGCCCAAGTGTCACCTTAAGCCCAAGTGTCACCTTAAGCCCAAGTGTCACCTTAAGCCCAAGTGTCACCTTAAGACCCCTTAAGCCCAAGTGTCACCTTAAGCCCAAGTGGCACCTTAAAGCCCCTTAAGCCCAAGTGTCACCTTAAGCCCAAGTGTCACCTTAAGCCCAAGTGGCACCTTAAAGCCCCTTAAGCCCAAGTGTCACCTTAAGCCCAAGTGTCACCTTAAGCCCAAGTGTCACCTTAAGCCCAAGTGTCACCTTAAGCCCAAGTGTCACCTTAAGCCCCCTTAAGCCCACGTGTCACCTTGAAGCCCATGAACTGGCCACGTATCCTGGAATCTGTCTTGCCAATCTGCGACTTGTCAAAGTTCCACTGGAGCAAGACAGTCTGCGGGCCGACCTCCAGGACCGCCAGACTGTGTGGGCTCAGCTGTGGCACTGTCAGAAGAAACAGGTAGATGTGGTCCATCTCATTTAATTGTGGTCCACCTCATTTAATTGTGGTCCACCTCATTTAATTGTGGTCCATCTCATTTAATTGTGGTCCATCTCATTTAATTGTGGTCCATCTCATTTAATTGTGGTCCACCTCATTTAATTGTGGTCCATCTCATTAAATTGTGGTCCATCTCATTTAATTGTGGTCCACCTCATTTAATTGTGGTCCATCTCATTTAATTGTGGTCCACCTCATTTAATTGTGGTCCATCTCATTAAATTGTGGTCCATCTCATTTAATTGTGGTCCACCTCATTTAATTGTGGTCCATCTCATTTAATTGTGGTCCACCTCATTTAATTGTGGTCCATCTCATTAAATTGTGGTCCATCTCATTTAATTGTGGTCCATCTCATTTAACTGATGGTGCATCATATTTAACTGATGTATCGCATTCGATTGTGTACCACCTCACTTAACTGTGGTCTACCTCAGCTAATTTTGCGAGCTATTTATTTATATGTATAGCAGACTAAAAAGTTTTTAAAAATGCATAAAAACGATAAATAACAAGCTTTTATGTAATAATGGAGAAAACAAATGATTTTCTTTGAATATATAACAATACAAAAGTCCGACAGCTAAAGACACAAGGCCGACATTCAAAAGGCCGACTCACATGGGCATAAGGCCGACAGACCATAAGGCCGACAAACTTAAACTACTAATATCGCAAAATATGTATTACTACATAGCTCCTATCTAGACAATCATAGAAATAAGGCATGTAATAAGGAGGAGATTTTAAAAGAAGAGATGATGCTAGTTACTATATATATATATATATATATATATATATATATATATATATATATATATATATATATATATATATATATATATATATATATATATAAGGGGAACCATCGGGTCCAAGCGACTGAAGATTACGGGATTGTCTTAAACACAAAGGATCAACACCTAACTATTGCGAAATGCGGTCACTACTGTCTTTCTTAGCTCCTAACGAGGCGAGACAACCATCGGCGAAACGCCAAGAGACAATGCTAGTTACTATCCTTATAAGGTGAATAAACCGTGAGTGATCTCCCCTAAACTTTCTCGAATATTCTTATATAACACTACGGGGGATAGCAAATCGGGATAGAGACATGATTTTTAACCCATATTTAATTACTAAAACTGTTTAAAATAGAATAAAATTTATAGAAAAAAAGAATTGCGCACCAAGTAAACACCAAACAACCTGTGTATAAAATTTGACAGAAGGCACAGAATTAGATCTTTTACTTACATGTAAAATTTCGTGTATCTATCTGAAACAATACTCAAGCTATAGGCTTTTGAAAAATTAAATGTAGAATAAGTTCCACTTCCGGTTACCGGAAATTGCTAAAAAGTTGATACGGAACTGCAAATTTGATATAATACTTATATATGAAACTTCATCAACCTAGCTGTAACGGTACTCAAGTTATCGTGTTCACACACACACACACACACACACACATACATACACACATACACACACAGAGAAATACGGACAAGATTGCAAAACTATGTTTTTCCGACTCAGGGAGGTGTAAAACGTCGAGATTTGTAAAAATCTCGATTATTTTTTTTTTTTTGCACGATTACAAGACTTCGTATACGAGAAAGTAAAAATGGGATCCATGCGACTGGGGATGACGGGAGTGTACATAGGATAAACAGATGATAGGTGGCGTTACCACCATGTGTAGCAAAGAAATGAAAGAAACCGAATGAAGTAGACAGATCACGTGCCTTGACTGGACTACATGTTAATACAGCGAAAAAAAATTAATTATATTTTACGTTCGTCCATTGCGGATTGCGTAAAACAAATTGTATAATGTATTTGTTGGATTGATTGATTCAGTTGTGGATGTGATACAAGTGTACCAAGGACAAGGAAGAGTGGAAGTTGAGATGGATGCAATATTATATTGAGCCATCAGAAGAACGAAAACAAAACACAATATTTACAGAAAGAGGACAGGATAGCTAATGTTATTGCAGAACGTGATAACAGAAGTAGACTTGAATTTCTACATGGCATAGCATACAATTTATCATTCTAGGCCCTATTTTTTTCTTTAACTTAATCATTATGTAACTGGTTTTTAAAAAAAATTAAACATGTCTGTAATTGTAGTTTGTTGCTTTATACAACTTGGATGTCGGCATTTTAGCCTTCTTTCCTGTAGGCTTTTTGTCTTGTCATCCTTTAGTCCATGTCGGCCTTTTGTCCATGTCGGCCTTTTGTCGAAGCCCATTTTAAATAACTATAAAGAAAAGCGTTGGTCTCTTGGTGACATACAGCCATGTGACATGTGACATACAGCCATGTGACATACAGACATGTGACACGTGACTTACTGCCCTCATCCGAATAGCCCCACACGGTCGGGGCCTTCTCCAGACTGTCCCCCTGTGGGTTCCTGGCACTGATGCTGATCTGGTAGCGCTGGTAGGGCGGGCCCTGACATGCAAGGGTTCAAACACCACATAAGTACACATCTTAACACTACACACCTCAACACCACACACCTTAACACTACACACCTTAACACTACACACCTTAACACTACACACCTTAACACTACACACCTTAACACTACACACCTCAACACTACACACCTTAACACTACACACCTTAACAATACACACCTTAACACTACACACCTCACGTCAACACTACATACCTCAACTCAACACTACACACCTCAACACTACACACCTTAACAATACACACCTCACGTCAACACTACATACCTCAACTCAACACTACACATCTCAACACTACACACCTCAACTCAACACAAAACACCTCAACACTACACACCTCAACTCAACACAACTCAACACTACACACCTCAACTCAACACAACACACCTCAAGGTATGTTTTACACAGCACAATCGATTATTTTTTTATTACCGCAGTTTACACCCTCCAACCAAAATGACGTTCGCCAGCCCGTGACCTACCGTGCTGGCGACAATTCGCCAGCCCATGACTTCCCGACAATTCGCCAGCAGGTGACCTACCGTGCTAGCGTAGATGAACTCGTACACCTGCCAGTCCTGTATGATCTGGGTGAAGGCGCTGCTGCTGGGGTCCCCGGCCCTGAGGATCGTCAGACGGTAGACCAGGTTCTTGTCGCCGTGATGCTCTGGTGGCACAGGCTGGGGAGACATTAGCACTAAGCCCCTACTGTCCACACAGCACCAAGCCCCTACCTCTACCACCACAAAGCCCCTACCACCCACACAGCACAAAGCCCCTACCACCCACACAGCACCAAGCCCCTACCACCCACACAGCACAAAGCCCCTACCACCCACACAGCACCAAGCCCCTACCACCCACACAGCACCAAACCCCTACCACCCACAGCACCAAGCCCCTACCACCCACACAGCACAAAGCCCCTACCACCCACACAGCACCAAGCCCCTACCACCCACACAGCACAAAGCCCCTACCACCCACACAGCACCAAGCCCCTACCACCCACACAGCACCAAGCCCCTACCACCCACACAGCACCAAGCCCCTACCACCCACACAGCACCAAGCCCCTACCACCCACACAGCACCAAGCCCCTACCACCCACACAGCACCAAGCCCCTACCACCCACACAGCACCAAGCCCCTACCACCCACACAGCACCAAGCCCCTACCACCCACACAGCACCAAGCCCCTACCACCCACAGCACCAAACCCCTACCACCCACAGCACCAAGCCCCTACCACCCACACAGCATCAAGCCCCTACCACCCACAGCACCAAACCCCTACCACCCACAGCACCAAGCCCCTACCACCCACACAGCAGCAAGCCCCTACCACCCACACAGCACCAAGCCCCTACCACCCACAGCACCAAACCCTACCGTCCACAGCACTAAGCCCCTACCACCCACAGCACCAAGCCCCTACCACCCACAGCACCAAGCCCCTACCACCCACAGCACCAAACCCTACCACCCACAGCACCAAGCCCCTACCACCCACAGCACCAAGCCCCTACCACCCACAGCAGCAAGCCCCTACCACCCACAGCACCAAACCCTACCACCCACAGCACCAAACCCTACCACCCACAGCACCAAGCCCCTACCACCCACAGCACCAAGCCCCTACCACCCACAGCAGCAAGCCCCTACCACCCACAGCACCAAACCCTACCACCCACAGCACCAAGCCCCTACCACCCACAGCACCAAGCCCCTACCACCCACACAACACCAAACCCTACCGTCCACAGCACTAAGCCCCTACCACCCACAGCACCAAGCCCCTACCACCCACAGCACCAAGCCCCTACCACCCACAGCACCAAACCCTACCACCCACAGCACCAAGCCCCTACCACCCACAGCACCAAGCCCCTACCACCCACAGCACCAAGCCCCTACCACCCACAGCAGCAAGCCCCTACCACCCACAGCACCAAACCCTACCACCCACAGCACCAAGCCCCTACCACCCACAGCACCAAGCCCCTACCACCCACAGCAGCAAGCCCCTACCACCCACAGCACCAAACCCTACCACCCACAGCACCAAGCCCCTACCACCCACAGCACCAAGCCCCTACCACCCACACAACACCAAACCCTACCGTCCACAGCACTAAGCCCCTACCACCCACAGCACCAAGCCCCTACCACCCACAGCACCAAGCCCCTACCACCCACAGCACCAAACCCTACCACCCACAGCACCAAGCCCCTACCACCCACAGCACCAAGCCCCTACCACCCACAGCAGCAAGCCCCTACCACCCACACAGCACAAAGTACCCACACAGCACACAGCACCAAGCCCCTACCACCCACACAGCACCAAGCCCCTACCACCCACAGCACCAAGCCCCTACCACCCACACAGCACCAAGCCCCTACCACCCACAGCACCAAGCCCCTACCACCCACACAGCACCAAGCCCCTACCACCCACACAGCACCAAGCCCCTACCACCCACACAGCACCAAGCCCCTACCACCCACAGCACCAAGCCCCTACCACCCACAGCACCAAGCCCCTACCACCCACAGCACCAAGCCCCTACCACCCACAACACCAAGCCCCTACCACCCACACAGCACCAAACCCTACCGTCCACATGATGTGCAGGTAACCCGGGATGTCACCGATTGTTCTCAAGTTCCTGGGGTTTTGGGTTGGTACGTTGGGTGTGGTTGTGCAATCTTTGTCTGAGGGTTGGCTGGGCGGGCTGGCACCGACCTTGTTGTAGGCCGTCACCCTGGGGAAGACAACATGGCGTCCGGAGTTTCTTTCAGGCATCTCTTGTGGTGGAGGTGGGGGACAATGTGTAGGAAACTATATTGGTATCAGAACATGGGCTGACAACTGACCGGAACTTGTATGACATGGGCTGACAACTGACCGGAACTTGTATGACATGGGCTGACAACTGACCTGAACTGACATGGGCTGACAACTGACCTGAACTGACATGGGCTGACAACTGACCTGAACTGACATGGGCTGACAACTGACCTGAACTGACATGGGCTGACAACTGACCTGAACTGACATGGGCTGACAACTGACCTGAACTGACATGGGCTGACAACTGACCTGAACTGACATGGGCTGACAACTGACCTGAACTTGTATGACATGGGCTGACAACTGACCTGAACTTGTATGACATGGGCTGACAACTGACCTGAACTTGTATGACATGGGCTGACAACTGACCTGAACTGACATGGGCTGACAACTGACCTGAACTGACATGGGCTGACAACTGACCTGAACTGACATGGGCTGACAACTGACCTGAACTGACATGGGCTGACAACTGACCTGAACTGACATGGGCTGACAACTGACCTGAACTGACATGGACTGACAACTGACCTGAACTGACATGTCTGACAACTGACCTGAACTTGTATGACACGCCAGCAGAGAGTGTGACGTTGGCCGTGGCCTCCACATACGTGACCTGTGTGGCGAACACCCAGCGGTTCGGCTCTGTGCTAGTCGTGTACTCTGTGGACACGTTCAATCTGGGTCACGTCTTCTGTCTGGGGGTGGGGAGGGGGTGGGGGGGGGGGGGGGGTAGGGGGAGGTGGTGGAAGGGAAGACGGTGGTGGAGGTGGTGGAAGGGAAGACGGTGGTGGAGGTGGTGGAAGGGAAGACGGTGGTGGAGGTGGTGGAAGGGAAGACGGTGGGGGAGGCGGGGGAGGGGAAGACGGTGGGGGAGGTGGTGGAGGGGAAGACGGTGGGGGAGGTGGTGGAGGGGAAGACGGTGGGGCAGGTGGTGGAGGGGAAGACGGCGGGGAGGGGGTGGAGGGGAAGACGGCGGGGAGGGGGTGGTGGGGAAGACGGTGGGGAGGGGGTGGTGGGGAAGACGGTGGGGAGGTGAGGGGAAGACGGTGGGGAGGTGAGGGGAAGAAAGTGGGGGGGGGGGTGGGGGATCTGTGTGAAAGGGACGCTACTTCGTTTATTTGTTAACTATTTTTTGATAAAGCTAGTTACGTCCCTTCACAAACTTTGTGACAATTCCAAGTGTCGTGTGTGTCTGCGATGCTAACAACTGATAAACATGTGTTTTAAATTAGACATGACGTACAGAACACACTAGGTAGGAGACTGGACACTAGGACGACCGGTCAAGTGTAGGACAAGACATGGACTGACCGACTGTGAAGTACTGTATGGGAGCGTTGTTAAAGGTGCCAGCGATCCAGGTGATGCGCGCCTCCTGTCCAGCGATGCACGTGTTGTTGATGCTCACCTGTGTGGGTGGGAAGGGGAAGTCTGGGGAGAGATCTGAACATTGTACGCAGTTGCATCCATGACCCCCACCTGTTACCCTATAAACCCAACTGCAACCTCTGACCCATTTGTGACCCCTTTGACCAACCTGTGACCCCTGTGACCCACCTGTAACCCACCTGTGACCAACCTGTGACCTACCTGTGACCCACCTGTGACCTACCTGTGATCCACCTGTGACCCACCTGTTACCCACCACCTGTGAACCACCTGTTACCCACCACCTGTGACCCACCTGTGACCCACATGTGACCCACCTGTGACCCACCTGTGACCACCAGTCTGGCTGATGCCGTGTCGTTGTCCAGACCGTTAGTGACGACACATGTGTAGGTACCCGTGTCACGCTGCTCAGTGCCACTGATGGTCAAGGAATTGTCCTGCAAATGACAGGTATACATCACAACCTGACAACCATCACAACCTGCCAACCATCACAACCTGCCAACCATCACAACCTGCCAACCATCACAACTTGCCGAACATCACAACCTGCCAAACATCACAAACCTGTGGATTGAGGAACATTCTGGTTCCAAGATCAACCGGCTTCCGGTCCTTCATCCACAAGGTCCGCATACCGGAAATCTCCTCGGGATCCGTGGTACCGGAACAAGAGAACTTGGCCTTGACCCCGCGCTGTACCTGTGCAGGTAAAAAAATATGACGTCACGGCATCATAGACGAGCTTGGGATAGGCTGATGACGTCAATGACAACAAAGACGAGCTATGGCTAGGCTGATGACGTCACTGACCTCAATGTCCAGCGGCTTGACCTCAATGAGCGTTTTCCTGCGGACGATGACGCTGCCCGTGCTCCTCTCCTCACCCTTCACGTTCTGCGCGTGACACGTGTACTCACCAGCGTCAGACAAGACGGCCACCTGCAAGGTCAAGGGGTCAGTTCAACGTGACGTCACATAGTAACCTGCAGGGTCAAGGGGTCAGTTCAACGTGACGTCACATAGTGACCTGCAAGGTCAAGGGGTCAATTCAACATGACATCACATAGTGACCTGCAGGGTCAAGGGGTCAGTTCAACATGACGTCACAAAGCCACGGGTGAAGAAACTTACCGGCACGTAGAGACTGCCGGAAGATTTGATGACGTAACGACCCCCTGTGATCTGAAAGTCATCTTTGTACCACGTGATGATGGGGTCGGGCTTGCCTGTGATCTGACACACCATCTCGAAGGGCTGACCCTCGGCCACGCGGACAGATTGGGGGTGCTGGACGATGGTCGGGGCCTCAGCTGGAGGGGGCAAACACAACATGACTTACACGACATGACTTATACAACATGACTTATACAACATGACTTATACAACATGACTTATACAACATGACTTATACAACGATGGTCGGGGCCTCAGCTGGAGGGGGGCAAACACAACATGACTTATACAACATGACTTATACAACAATACTTACACAACATGACTTACACAACATGACTTATACAACATGACTTACACGACATGACTTATACAACATGACTTACACGACATGACTTATACAACATGACTTATACAACATGACTTATACAACATGACTTACACAACATGACTTACACGACATGACTTATACAACATGACTTATACAACATGACTTATACAACATGACTTATACAATGATGGTCGGGGCCTCAGCTAGAGGGGGCAAACACAACATGACTTATACAACATGACTTACACAACATGACTTATACAACGTGACTTATACAACATGACTTATAAATATAACTTTAAAAAGCTTGACTTAAATGAAAACTTGACACCAGAAATAGATCACAAAGAACTTAAAACGAAGCATAACTCACATAGAACGTAAAACGAAGCATAACTCACAAAGAACGTAAAACGAAGCATAACTCACAAAGAACGTAAAACGAAGCATAACTTTCAAAGAACGTAAAACGAAGCATAACTCACATAGAACGTAAAACGAAGCATAACACACAAAGAACGTAAAACGAAGCATAAATCACAAAGAACGTAAAACGAAGCATAACTTTCAAAGAACGTAAAACGAAGTATAACTCACAAAGAACGTAAAACGAAGCATAACTCACAAAGAACGTAAAACGAAGCATAACTCACAAAGAACGTAAAACGAAGCATAACTCACATAGAACGTAAAACGAAGCATAACATACAAAGAACGTAAAACGAAGCATAACTCACATAGAACGTAAAACGAAGCGTAACACACAAAGAACGTAAACCGAAGCATAACTCACAAAGAACGTTAAGTGAAGCCTCTCCCCATATGTACCCATGATTGTTTGTGACGTTACATTGAAACACCATGACGTCATTCTTCGTCACCTGCTCAAACATTATTTTGGATCCGGTCACGTGACGGAAACGTTGGTCAAGCCGGGGGTCATCTCTTAGGGCATCTGTTGGACAAAATACACGGTGAACAACATCATCCCACAAACACGTGGACAACATCATCCCACAAACAAATTGGACAACATCATCAAACATACACTGTGAACAACATCATCTCACATACACGGTGAACAACATCATCTCACATACAAGTTGGGCAACATCATCTCACATACACTGTGAACAACATCATCACACATGCACGTTGGACAACATCATCACACACAAAGATGTAGCTGACCTTGTAACGGCACACCATTGACGAACCAAGAGACCTTGACCTTGGGCACCCCTGAGGCCAGACACTCAAAGTTGGCAGTTCCACCCTCACCTATCACGACGTCTTGGGGCTTTGCCTTCCAGGAGGGGCGGGCTGAAACAATGACGTCATCTCGACACTTTAGGTTCAAAGATCTCGGCATAAAATAATCCAGGACAAAAGATCTCAAGGGCAAAATATCTCAAGGTCAATATATTTCAACACAAAATATCTAAAGACTAAATATCTCATGAGAAAATATCTCAGGACAAAATATCGAAGGACAACATTGACTTTTTCGTCTAAAAATATCTGTTGAGATCTGTTGTCTGGGAACAGTGTCCAGAGATGAACATTTTAGTGTAAGCTAAGAATGTAGGTTCTGATGTAAGCTACGAATGTAAGTTGCTATGTAGGCCTTGAATGTAAGTTGTTATGTAAGATGTGATGTAAGCCAAAAATATAAGCTGTGATGTAACCCCAAGTGTAAGCTGTGATGTAAGCCACGAATGTAAGCTGAGACTGACCGTGCACGCTGAGGCTGATGGAAAGTTCGAGGCCAGTCGAGTGATGCTCCTTGGTGCCCACACACGTGTAGACCCCCGCGTCCTCCAGCTGCAGGTCCCTGATGAACAGCTCCTGACCCCGGCTGTTGCCCTGGACAACACGTGAACTGAACGGGGCGTTGTCTTTCCTTCTCCACCGGATGGACGGCGTGGGGCTGTGGGCGAGAGGTCACGGGGTCATACGACGTCATCATGATAAAAATAGATACGGTCATCAGGGTAAGTGAGTCAACAAACAACAGGTCAGTTATAAAATATGGAATTAGGTCAGCAATACAACACACTTTTTATAGTGCATTAAATACATGTGTGACGTATTAACAACACAACTGATGACTTAAATGAGTATTAAGAACAGTAGTGATACACTAGAATAAGTGATATTTACGTGTGTGGTGTGTGAGTTACGTGTGTGATGTGTTAGCTACCTGTGTGATGTATGGGCTACATTGAGTGATATATGGGCTACATTGAGTGATGTATGGGCTACATTGAGTGATATATGGGCTACATTGAGTGATATATGGGCTACATTGAGTGATGTATGGGCTACATTGAGTGATATATGGGCTACATTGAGTGATGTATGGGCTACATTGAGTGATATATGGGCTACATTGAGTGATGTATGGGCTACATTGAGTGATATATGGGCTACATTGAGTGATGTATGGGCTACATTGAGTGATATATGGGCTACATTGAGTGATGTATGGGCTACATTGAGTGATGTATGGGCTACATTGAGTGATGTATGGGCTACATTGAGAGATGTATGGGCTACATTGAGTGATGTATGGGCTACATTGAGTGATGTCCGGGCTACATTGAGTGATGTATGGGCTACATTGAGTGATATATGGGCTACATTGAGTGATGTATGGGCTACATTGAGTGATGTATGGGCTACATTGAGTGATGTATGGGCTACATTGAGTGATGTATGGGCTACATTTAGTGATGTATGAGCTACATTGAGTGATATATGGCCTACATTGAGTGATGTCCGGGCTACATTGAGTGATGTATGGGCTACATTGAGTGATATATGGGCTACATTGAGTGATGTCCGGGCTACATTGAGTGATGTATGGGCTACATTGAGTGATATATGGGCTACATTGAGTGATGTATGGGCTACATTGAGTGATGTATGGGCTACATTGAGTGATGTATGGGCTACATTGAGTGATGTATGGGCTATATGGGCTACATTGAGAGATGTATGGGCTACATTGAGTGATGTATGGGCTACATTTAGTGATGTTTGGGCTACATTGAGTGATGTATGGGCTACATTGAGTGATGTATGGGCTACATTGAGTGATGTATGGGCTACATTGAGTGATGTATGGGCTACATTGAGTGATGTATGGGCTACATTGAGTGATGTATGGGCTACATTGAGTGATGTATGGGCTACATTGAGTGATGTATGGGCTACATTGAGTGATGTATGGGCTACATTGAGTGATGTATGGGCTACATTGAGAGATGTATGGGCTACATTGAGTGATGTATGGGCTACATTGAGTGATATATGGCCTACATTGAGTGATGTATGGGCTACATTGAGTGATGTATGGGCTATATGGGCTACATTGAGAGATGTATGGGCTACATTGAGTGATGTATGGGCTACATTGAGTGATGTATGGGCTACATTGAGTGATGTATGGGCTACATTGAGTGATGTATGAGTGAAGCCGTACTTTCCCGAGAAAATACATTTCATCTTGACGTCAGTGTTGAGAAGTCCAAGTTCATCGAAGCGTGACATGGGCCAGGCGATTCTCATGTCAGTCAGCATTTCGTCAGCTGGGGAATATAAAGTCATGTCAGTCAGCTGGGAAATATAAAGTCATGTCAGCTGGGGAATATAAAGTCATGTCAGCTGGGGAATATAAAGTCATGTCAGCTGGGGAATATAAAGTCATGTCAGTTGGGGAATATAAAGTCATGTCAGTCAGCTGGGGAATACAAAGTCATGTCAGTCAGCTGGGGAATATAAAGTCATGTCAGCTGGGGAATATAAAGTGATGTCAGTCAGCTGGGGAATATAAAGTCATGTCAGCTGGGGAATATAAAGTCATGTCAGTCAGCTGGGAAATATAAAGTCATGTCAGTCAGCTGGGGGAATATAAAGTCATGTCAGCTGGGGAATATAAAGTCATGTCAGTCAGCTGGGGAATATAAAGTCATGTCAGCTGGGGAATATAACGTCATGCGTCAGTCAGCTGGGGAATATAAAGTCATGTCAGCTGGGGAATATAAAGTCATGTCAGCTGGGGAATATAAAGTCATGCGTCAGTCAGCTGGGGAATATAAAGTCATGTCAGCTGGGGAATATAAAGTCATGTCAGCTGGGGAATGTAAAGTCATGTCAGTCAGCTGGGGAATATAAAGTCATGTCAGTCAGCTGGGGAATATATAGTCATGTCAGCTGGGGAATATAAAGTCATATCAGCTGGGTAATATAAAGTCATGTCAGCTGGGGAATATAAAGTCATGTCAGCTGGGGAATATAAAGTCATGTCAGCTGGGGAATATAAAGTCATGTCAGCTGGGGAATATAAAGTCATGTCAGCTGGGGAATATAAAGTCGTGTCAGTCAGCTGGGGAATATAAAGTCATGTCAGCTGGGGAATATAAAGTCATGCGTCAGTCAGCTGGGGAATATAAAGTCATGTCAGCTGGGGAATATAAAGTCATGTCAGCATGGGGAATATAAAGTCATGCGTCAGTCAGCTGGGGAATATAAAGTCATGTCAGCTGGGGAATATAAAGTCATGTCAGCTGGGGAATATAAAGTCATGTCAGTCAGCTGGGGAATATAAAGTCTTGTCAGTCAGCTGGGGAATATAAAGTCATGTCAGCTGGGGAATATAAAGTCATATCAGCTGGGTAATATAAAGTCATGTCAGCTGGGGAATATAAAGTCATGTCAGTCAGCTGGGAAATATAAAGTCATGCCAGTCAGCTGGGGAATATAAAGTCATGTCAGCTGGGGAATATAAAGTCATGTCAGTCAGCTGGGGAATATAAAGTCATGTCAGCTGGGGAATATAAAGTCATGTCAGCTGGGGAATATAAAGTCATGCGGCAGTCAGCTGGGGAATATAAAGTCATGTCAGCTGGGGAATATAAAGTCATGTCAGCTGGGGAATATAAAGTCATGTCAGTCAGCTGGGGAATATAAAGTCATGTCAGTCAGCTGGGGAATATAAAGTCATGTCAGCTGGGGAATATAAAGTCATATCAGCTGGGTAATATAAAGTCATGTCAGCTGGGGAATATAAAGTCATGTCAGTCAGCTGGGAAATATAAAGTCATGCCAGTCAGCTGGGGAATATAAAGTCATGTCAGCTGGGGAATATAAAGTCATGTCAGCTGGGGAATATAAAGTCATGTCAGCTGGGGAATATAAAGTCATGTCAGCTGGGGAATATAAAGTCATGTCAGCTGGGGAATATAAAGTCATGTCAGCTGGGGAATATAAAGTCATGTCAGCTGGGGAATATAAAGTCATGTCAGCTGGGGAATATAAAGTCATGTCAGCTGGGGAATATAAAGTCATGTCAGCTGGGGAATATAAAGTCGTGTCAGTCAGCTGGGGAATATAAAGTCATGTCAGCTGGGGAATATAAAGTCATGTCAGCTAGGGAATATAAAGTCATGTCAGCTGGGGAATATAAAGTCATGTCAGCTGGGGAATATAAAGTCATGTCAGCTGGGGAATATAAAGTTATGTCAGCTGGGAAATATAAAGTCATGTCAGCTGGGGAATATAAAGTCATGTCAGTCAGCTGGGGAATACAAAGTCATGTCAGTCAGCTGGGGAATATAAAGTCGTGTCAGCTGGGGAATATAAAGTCATGTCAGTCAGCTGGGGGAATATAAAGTCATGTCAGCTGGGGAATATAAAGTCATGTCAGTCAGCTGGGGAATATAAAGTCATGTCAGCTGGGGAATATAAAGTCATGCGTCTGTCAGTTGGGGAATATAAAGTCATGTCAGCTGGGGAATATAAAGTCATGTCAGCTGGGGAATATAAAGTCATGCGTCAGTCAGCTGGGGAATATAAAGTCATGTCAGCTGGGGAATATAAAGTCATGTCAGCTGGGGAATATAAAGTCATGTCAGTCAGCTGGGGAATACAAAGTGATGTCAGTCAGCTGGGGAATATAAAGTCATGTCAGTTGGGGAATATAAAGTCATGTCAGCTGGGGAATATAAAGTCATGTCAGTCAGCTGGGGAATACAAAGTCATGTCAGTCAGCTGGGGAATATAAAGTCATCTCAGCTGGGGAATATAAAGTCATGTCAGTCAGCTGGGGAATATAAAGTCATGTCAGCTGGGGAATATAAAGTCATGTCAGCTGGGGAATATAAAGTCATGTCAGCTGGGGAATATAAAGTCATGTCAGCTGGGGAATATAAAGTCATGTCAGCTGGGGAATATAAAGTCATGTCAGCTGGGGAATATAAAGTCATGTCAGCTGGGGAATATAAAGTCATGTCAGTCAGCTGGGGAATATAAAGTCATGTCAGCTGGGGAATATAAAGTCATGTCAGTCAGCTGGGGAAAGTACTACCGCCCACAAGTACTGACGCCCACAACAAGTACTACCACCCTGACAAGTAGATCTGCTTGCAGTACTTACAACCCTGAGGGACGATGTACTGTGGGGGGCCGAGGACACTTTTTCTCATGATCGGGTTGCTGACCATGCAATGGTAGGGTTGTCCGCCCCTGGCGTCAGCGCTGGTCACGTGAGTGAAGTGCAGGTTGTCTGAAAGTACACGTCATACACACCTGTCAGTCATGTGTCGTACACACCTGTCAGTCATGTGTCATACACACCTGTCCGTCATGTGTCACACCCATCTGTCAGGCATATGTCACATCCATCTGTCAGTCATGTGTCACACTCATCTGTCAGTCAAGTGTCACATCCATCTGTCAGTCATGTGTCATACACACACCTGTCAGTCATGTGTCACACCCATCTGTCAGTCATGTGTCATACACACTTTTCAGTCATGTGTCACACCCATCTGTCAGGCATATGTCACACCCATCTGTCAGTCATGTGTCACACTCATCTGTCAGTCATGTGTCAAATCCATCTGTCAGTCATGTGTCATACACACACCTGTCAGTCATGTGTCATACACACACCTGTCAGTCATGTGTCATACACACCCGTCAGTCATGTGTCACACCCATCTGTCAGTCATGTGTCACACACACACACATCTGTCAGTCATGTGTCACACACACACACCTGTCAGTCATGTGTCACACCCATCTGTCAGTCATGTGTCATACACACTTTTCAGTCATGTGTCACATCCATCTGTCAGTCATGTATCACACCCATCTGTCAGTCATATGTCATACACACTTGTCAGTCATGTGTCAGACCCATGTGTCAGTCATGTGTCATACACATCTGTCAGTCATGTGTCAGACCCATCTGTCAGTCAGACACGTGACATACCGTCATAGTCGATAGTTAGCCGATCATCCCACAAGACGGGGTTAAAGAGGCCGTTGTCAAGGACGCCCCACGTGACATGGCCGTCTGGGACGCTGTGGGGGGAGGAGCAGGTCAGGTTGTAGTGCGCCCCTAGGTAGGGGCGGTGGGTGGTGGGCTGCTGGTTCCTGAACTCGTCCAGTCTGGCCATACGGAGGTTGAACTTGATGGTGGCGGCGCTGTGGGAACAGGGGTGGTCAGACACAATCAAGACAGAAACACATAAGACACGGACTGAGACACATGAGACAGGGACTGAGACACATGAGACAGGGATTCAGACACATGAGACAGGGACTGAGACACATGAGACAGAGACAGAGACACATAAGACAGGAACGAGACACATGAGACAGCGACTGAGACACATGAGACAGGGACTGAGACACATGAGACAGGGACAGAGACACATAAGACAGGAACGAGACACATGAGACAGCGACTGAGACACATGAGACAGGGACTGAGACACATGAGACAGGGACAGAGACACATAAGACAGGGACTGAGACACATGAGACAGGGACAGAGACACATGAGACAGCGACTGAGACACATGAGACAGAGACAGAGACACATAAGACAGGAACGAGACACATGAGACAGCGACTGAGACACATGAGACATGGACTGAGACACATGAGACAGGGACAGAGACACATAAGACAGGGACTGAGACACATGAGACAGGGACTGGGACACATGAGACAGGGACAGAGACACATGAGACAGGGACTGAGACACATGAGACAGGGACTGAGACACATGAGACAGGGACTGAGACACATGAGACAGGGACTGAGACACATGAGACAGGGACAGAGACACATGAGACAGGGACAGAGACACATGAGACAGGGACTGAGACACATGAGATAGGGACTGAGACATAAGACAAGGACTGAGACACATGAGACAAGGACTGAGACACATGAGACAGGGACTGACACATGAGACAGGGACTGAGACACATGAGACAGGGACTGAGACACATGAGATAGGGACTGAGACATAAGACAAGGACTGAGACACATGAGACAAGGACTGAGACACATGAGACAGGGACTGACACATGAGACAGGGACTGAGACACATGAGACAGGGACTGAGACACATGAGACATGGACTGAGACACATGAGACAGGGACTGAGACACATGAGACAGGGACTGAGACACATGAAACAGGGACTGAGACACATGTAGTACTGACACGCCGAAGTCGTTGGTGGCGAAACACTGGTAGATGCCCTCGTCTTTGTCCTCAGGGCTGTTGATGATTAAGGTGCCCACCCCCTTCTGCTTTACCACTCGCTCGTCGTTACCCTCAGGGGAGAAATCTTTCTCCGCTCTCTTCCAGGTGTACCTGGGATGGACAGCTCGTGTGTTATCACGTGACCCACACGTGTGCTCAACTTGTACACACGTTTATTATATAACTAGTACACGTGTATCCCCCCCCCCCACCAGTGTTGTCACCTGGCTCACCTCTACCTGACCAGAGCACGTGACCTATCTGGACCTAGCCAAACCTGACCTATCTGGACCTAGTCAAACCTGACCTATCTGGACCTAGTCAAACCTGACCTATCTGGACCTAGTCAAACCTGACCTATCTGGACCTAGTCAAACCTGACCTATCTGGACCTAGTCAAACCTGACCTATCTGGACCTAGTCAAACCTGACCTATCTGGACCTTGTCAAACCTGACCTATCTGGACCTAGTCAAACCTGACCTATCTGGACCTAGTCAAACCTGACCTATCTGGACCTAGTCAAACCTGACCTATCTGCTAGTCAAACCTGACCTATCTGGACCTAGTCAAACCTGACCTACCTGGACCTAGTCAAACCTGACCTATCTGGACCTAGTCAAACCTGACCTATCTGGATCTAGTCAAACCTGACCTATCTGGACCTAGTCAAACCTGACCTATCTGCTAGTCAAACCTGACCTACCTGGACCAAGTCAAACCTGACCTATCTGGACCTAGTCAAACCTGACCTACCTGGACCTAGTCAAACCTGACCTACCTGGACCTAGTCAAACCTGACCTATCTGGACCTAGTCTACATCGAGAGCAAGACATTACCCCCCCCCCCCCCCCCCCATTACCCTAACATATCCATTATCCCCACCACTGCCAAAAAAAAACTGTCGGTAAGGTTCAGGGAACATTTTACGAAATAGGGATAGGTTAAGGATATGGTTAGATTAGTAATTGTTCTGGATGGATAAGCTAATACGGTTTCTATGTTTCGTCTTGTATAAAAATGACTGGCCAAAGTACGAAAACACGATTCATATCATTCTCTCGTCAGCCCAGACATTCTAGAACATCTCTCTACTTTTGTAGCAGACAGATATCAATAATTAACATTCTCAAGGTGCGGGGAGTGGGGTACAAACGTTGTTGTGAGGGGATAATATCGGGGCTAGGGGGGATTTATTGACAGCTTCTTGCTCCTGGCCACTGGCCAACTTACGCAGGTGTAGGCTGGCCACTGGCCACACACTCCATCTTGACCGTCTCGCCCACTTTGTAGAAGATGTCCTCTGGTCCTTGCTTGATGATCTTGGGTGGCGCCGTTACTATGGAAACATAAGGTGGCGCCGTTACTATGGAAACATAAGGTGGCGCCGTTACTATGAAAACATAAGGTGGCGCCGTTACTATGGAAACATAAGGTGGCGCCGTTACTATGGAAACATAAGGTGGCGCCGTTACTATGGAAACATAAGGTGGCGCCGTTACTATGGAAACATAAGGTGGCGCCGTTACTATGGAAACATAAGGTGGCGCCGTTACTATGGTAGCACAAAAGCTCACGTGCTGGTTCTTATTCAACAAGATTTTTACGTTCTCGTATACGAAGTATAAAGGAAGTATTGTAATCGTGCAAAAATAAACCGGGAGTGATCTCCGCTAAACTGTCTCGAATATCTATATATATAATTCTCTTCTGGGAGCCGTTAGAAAACAAGCTGCAAGCGCCTCCTTGCAGTCCCCTCTCTTTCTCTCGATCACTATCACTACCACCCCCACCCCGCCCCCACATTGTCTGGTGAGCTGTGGTCACGCTAAATGTTTACAAAGCTAAATGTTTACAAATCGTAGAGCCGTAGAGCCGGGTTTCTATTAGGGGCAGATAATTAAGTTCGATTTTAAACTTACAGGAGGTAACTAAGAAATAACTAAGAGGAGGCTGCTTTCACGGGGGGGGGGGGGGGGGGTGTAGGGTCGGGGTTAGGGGAAAGGGGGGGGGGGTTAGTGTTTTAAAGCAAATATTTTCAGTGGCAGCATTGGTACTGTCGAATTCACAAATTATGAATTACTGAAAAGTAGAAAATAAAACAACTAGATAGCGGCGTATGATACGCTGCGGGTCGGCTCGTTCCTATATATTACACTACGGGGTACGGCAACTCGGGATATAGAAATGATTTTTAATCCATTTTTAATTACTTTAACTTTTTAAAATAGAACAGAATCTCGTAGAAAATAAACCGGGAGTGATTTCCCCTAAACTTTCTCGGATATTCTTATATAAAACAACAGGGGATGGGAACTCCATTATAAATACTTAAAATTTTAAAAATAGAATAAAATCTCGTAGAAAAAAGAATTGCACACCAGGTGAACGCCAAATGAAATGTGCATAATAGTGCGCAATATTATTAGTACTTTATAAATTTACATGCGTTTTGGATAAATTGGAAATAGCGTAAATTAGTACTTCCGGTCAACGGAAATTACTCAAAATTTGATAGAAGGTAGAGAATTAGATTTTTTACTTACATTTGAAATTTCATTTATCTATCTGAAATAGTACTCAAGTTATGGGCTTTTGAAAAATTCAAAGTAGAAAAAGTCCCACTTCCGGTTATCGGAAATCGCTCAAAAGTTGATACGGATATACGATTTTGATAAAATACTTATATATGAAATTTCATCAACCTAGCTGTATCGGTACTCAAGTCATCGTGTTTACACACACACACAAACACACACTCACACACACAGACACACAGACAGACACACAGACATACGGACAAGATTGCAAAATTATGTTTTTTCCGTATCAGTGAGGTGTAAAACGTCGAGATTTGTAAAAATCTCGATTTTTTTTTTGCACGATTAAAATACTTACTCTATACTTCGTATATACGAGAAAGTAAAAAAAAAAAGAATTGCACTCCAAGTTAATGACAAACAATATCTGTATAATATTTCGGAATACTAGTACTTTAAAAATTCATATTAGTATTTTTTGAGAAATCGGAAATAGCGTAAATTACTACTTCCAGTCAACGGAAATTACTCAAATTTGCTAGAAGGCAGAGAATTAGATCTTTTACTTACATGTGAAATTTCATTTATCTATCTAAAATAGTAAGTTATAGGCTTTTGAAAAATTGAAAGTAGAATAAGTCCCATTTCCGGTTACCGGAAATCGCTGAAAAGTTGAAACCGAACTACAAATCTGATATAAAACTCCCGGTTTATTTTTTAGTTGTGTCATGTAGGACTGACATGATGTGGACGGTTTAAGATTACCTGCCAGCGTCAGTGCCATGTTGGCACCAAACAACAGAGTCCAGCACATCATGTTGACGGAAGTACCTAGAGAACACAACAACATCAGTTAGAGAACACAACATCATCAGCTAGAGAATACAACAACATCAGTTAGAGAATACAACAACATCAGTTAGAGAATACAACAACATCAGTTAGAGAACACAACATCATCAGCTAGAGAATACAACAACATCAGTTAGAGAACACAACATCAGTTAGAGAATACAACAACATCAGTTAGAGAATACAACAACATCAGTTAGAGAATACAACAACATCAGTTAGAGAACACAACAACATCAGCTAGAGAACACAACAACATCAGTTAGAGAACACAACAACAAACAGAATAACTTCAGGAAAAATGACGTCATTTTAGGGAGGTCGGGGTCTGACTTGTTGTGACGTCATGCGGCAATGTGGAAAGGGTAGGTAAAATGATTTTAAAAATTGTCCCGTCGTTTCCATTGTAAAAGAATTAATGGCAACACTAAAGCACACTTCTCAAAAACCTAAAACCTTCACAACCTACTGATACAAACCTATACAAACTTACTTATTTACAAAACCTACACAAAAACATAGAAACTACTCAAATAACAAAACCTACAAACCTGCAAACTAATACAAACCAAGAAGCTGACACAAAAGCTATCATCATGCAACAAACAAGCAAACCTACCTTCTCTATCATACCTTGTGTTGGCTGATTCACAAAGCGCCAAGTTAAAAACATGGCGGACGGTGAAGTGTTTTTGTAGAGATAAACTTTACTGACCAATCAAATCTTGGGTCACTGATAAAAGGTCACCGATAAAAGGTCACCTTATCAAACACCAAGGGGCATTAATCAGCTCTTCAATTGTTTTCAAATTTTGCCCAACTCTTGGGAGCGGCCTACAAACTGGTTAATGGGCTCTGGCCTACAAACTGGTTAATGGGCTCTGGCCTACAAACTGGTTAATGGGCTCTGGCCTACAAACTGGTTAATGGGCTCTGGCTTACAAACTGGTTAATGGGCTCTGGCTTACAAACTGGTTAATGGGCTCTGGCCTTCAAACTGGTTAATGGGCTCTGGCCTACAAACTGGTTAATGGGCTCTGGCCTACAAACTGTTTTCGCCTTTCCCAAGATCACGTAATAATGGGGTTTTTTTTTACTTTCTCGTATAGAAAAAGTCTTGTAATCGTGAAAAAAAAAATCGAGATTTTTACAAATCTCGACGTTTTACACCTCACTGATACGGAAAAATATAATTTTGCGATCTTGTCCGTATGTCTGTGTGTCTGTATGTCTGTGTAAACCGTTACAGCTAGGTTGATGAAATTTCATATATAAGTAGATCCTGATCAACTTTTGAGCGATTTCCGATAACCGGAAATGGTACTTTTTCTACTTTGAATTTTTCAAAAGCCTATAACTTGAGTACTATTTCAGATAGATAAATGAAATTTCACATGTAAGTAAAAGATCTAATTATCTGCCTTCTGTCAAATTTTGAGTAATTTCCGTTTACCGGAAGTACTAATTTATGCTATTTTCGATTTCTCAAAAATTCGCATGTAAATTTATAAAGTACTAATAATACTGCGCACTATTATGCACATTTTGTTTTGGCGTTCGCTTGGTGCGCAATTCTTTTTTTCTAGGAGATTCTATTCTATTTTTAAAACTAAGTAATTAAAAATCATGTCTATATTTCAAGTTATATAAGAATATTCGAGAAAGTTTAGGGGAGATCACTCCCGGTTTATTTTACTTTTAATTTGGAATGAGACAATCTTTGTTTAACTTTGCTACTGTTTAAATTAATGACTTAATTACTTATTGCCGACAGTAGCGGATTAGAGGAGGGGATGGGGGGGGGGGCTGAGAGAGCTGCAGTCAGGGGTCCCCGATTTTTGGGGCCTAAATTTACTGCTTAATTGTTGGTTTTCACTATAAGGTAAAATTTTAATGTTGCATAACAAGCTTCAATTTGTTTACAAAATATCAACCACGTGCACACACTTAAGTATAAATACCACCTGTCATCATCTCCTACCAAGACATTTTAATATAAAGCCGACGCTCTCTAAAATAACATATGCCGGACCAGCGTTCGCTTATGACAATAAAATGAGTTTTTTAGCGTTACAAAACACAAACAGCAGCCGAACTGCAGTAGCGTAGCGAGGGGGGGGGGGGGCGGGGGGCGGGGACACATATGTCCCCGGGCGCCGACCTTAGGGGGCGCCAAAATGGGTTGGAAAAATAAATGGAAAGGTTGAGGGGGGTGCAAATCGAAAGTTTGAGGGGGGGGGGGGGGTGCAAATGGAAATCTCGAGGGGGGTGCAAATCGAAATCTCGAGGGGGGGGGGTGCAAATCGAAAAGTTTGTCCCCGGGCGCCGGGAAGGGTCGCTACGCCTCTGCCGAACTGTGATTAACTACTGACCCATCTTTTTAAAAAAACACCCAGCAATTAAAAGTTATTTCGTCAGACCACATCAGATCGCGTTAAGCGGTGGTAAGAAAATATACAGAAAATAATACTGTAAATTAGTTCTCACTTGGGGTCCACGACAAATTCCCGAATGGACACTTGCCCGATTGCGACAAATGCTCCAATGGACACTTCCCCGAATACGACAAATGCCCGAATATATATATATATATATATATATATATATATATATATATATATATATATATATATATATATATATATATATATATATATATATATATATATATATATATATATATATATATATATATATATATATATATATATATATATATATATATATATAGGGGCCCTCGAAAAAAAATTTCAACCAGGGGCCCCGCTCAAGCTTTATCCGCCCCTGATTGCCGGGTCGGCTTTCGTCCAATTAACCACCACGGTATTCAAGGGTTACTTTTAAATTGTTTTCACCCATTCGAAGGGGTGGGGCTCCTCAAACTTCCGAATGAGGGTGGGGGAGGGGAGACTCTTAAAAGTTCGAGAGGGGGGGTCTCTTCAAACTTCCATAAGACTGCCGGGGGGGGGGGGAGCACTTGAAACGCTCGGTGACCATGTACACGAGTCAAAGTATATTTTTTCTATATAGATTAAAGTATAAAAGTATAATTTGGGGGGAGGGATGCTGTTAATTTTTGATTGATGACTTGGGTGAGGGGAGGAGAGGGGGAGAGGGAGGGGCTGCGTTAGATCATTAGAGCGTGAGGCCTGGGGCTGACTGATGTGACGTCACAGGTAGGCTGTTGGGAGCGTTAAACGAGAAAAGCGTCAGAGAAGCAGATACACAGAGGGAGAGAGAGGGTCGCAGATAAGGGGCAAAGATACAAGGACACAGATACAAGGACATAGATAGGACAGATACAAGGACCCAGATACAAGGACATAGATAGGACACTACAATGCTGATCTTAGGAAATGTCTGCGTGTGGTTGGCTCTGATATACCCAATCCTTGGGCAAATGGTAACTTCACATTTTTCATTGTACCATCATGTCAAATGGTAACTTCACATTTTTCATTGTAACATCATGTCAAATGGTAAATTCACATTTTTCTTTGTACCATCATGTCAAATGGTAACTTCACATTTTTCATTGTAACATCATGTCAAATGGTAACTTCACATTTTTCTTTATACCATCACGTCAAATGGTAACTTCACATTTTTCTTTGTACCATCATGTATCCTTTCACTTTTTTATGGCTTGTCTGTTGTTTTGTATTGCCACTGTATAGCTATACTCAACCTATACTAAATTCAAGACATATCCTCTATTTATTTCCGTTTCTAATAGAATAACGGTGCAGGCAACTTTGGTGCAACTTATTCCAACTTCAATCCACTTGGTGGATCCTATTCCAACTTCAATCCACTTGGTGGAAGTAATTCCAACTTCAATCCATTTGGTGGATCTTATTCCAACATCAATCCACTTGGTGGATCTTATTCCAACTTCAATCCACTTGGTGGAAGTAATTCCAACTTCAATCTATTTGGTGGAACTTATCCCAAGTACAGTCCATTCGGTAGGATATTTTTATCTACAAGGATAAGAAAATCGGTTGTGTGTTGTGTTGTTTTCTGTGTTAAGTTCTAAGCTTTTTATTGGGCTGAGGTCTTAACATTTTGTGTTTTAAGGTCTAAACTTTGGCTCCAAGAGCGGATCACTTGCTTATCCAGTACAGTATAAAGGTATTTAACATAACGTTTTACCTGTATCCAGTCGTTTGTGTCTTACCTGTAGCCAGTTAACTGTGTATTACTTGTAGCCAGTTACCTGTGTCTTGCCTGTAGCCAGTTACCTGTGGCTTACTTGTAGCCAGTTACCTGTGTCTTACTTGTAGCCAGTTACATGTGTCTTACTTGTAGCCAGTTACCTGCGTGTTACCTGTACTTTCAGATGACTTAAAGCTATCTGGCAGAGCCGTGTTTGCTACCTCAGACTACGGGCCAACAGGTCCTAGTTACGGGCCAACAGGTCCTAGTTACGGGCCATCATCAACTGGCCAAAAAGCAGGGCCAGCATATGGAGCCAAGACTTACAGCAACGGGCTTGCAGTCACCATCTCACAGGTATATCAGTTCACGTCGTACGCAGAGGCGGATTAAACTTGGGCGGGGCCCCCGGCTGAAAATTTTTTGGGGGCCCCCATATATATATATATATATATATATATATATATATATATATATATATATATATATATATATATATATATATATATATATAAGTGGGCTGATAGTGTGTCAGTCCTTCCTTCCTTCCGTCATCGCTATAGATTTTGGAACTATAAAAGTAATCATCGCACCATGCGGTGCTTTTCAGTGCATCGGATTGGCTTATTGTTTATATAACGACTTAAATGTATTTTATAGTTGCCACTGTTTTTACTCTTTCGCATAACGTCAAGAAAATATTAAATACACGCACACTGCTAAAACATATCAAAAGGATCAATTTCAAATATCATTTTCGTTTAGATTCTCAGAAAAAGTGGATACATTTTTATAACAGGAGGGTCCTAAAATGCTAATTAATTCAATTTTTTTTTTGGCAAGGGAGGTAATTGAAAAAAAATAAAGCCAACTCAATCTCAATAATTTAAGTTGATTTTTTTATTACTACCGCATTGATTATTATATGTTAAGGTTCAAAATTAAAATAGAAAAATGTTAAGATTATTTATATTGTTTTCTAATAAGTCTATGATCTCTCAAAATCAATGGTTTTTTTTTGTTTTTGTTTTTCGGTGTTATTAAAACAGATGGTGAAATTAGACTTATAGAAAATGCTGGAAAGGCTCTCTCTGGGCGCGGACGCATGGGAAAGCGTGATTTTAATATTTCAATATTCAACTCACTCTCAATAATTTAAGTTGATTTTTTTATTACTACCGCATTACAGTTTGTCCCCGGGCGCCGGAAAGGGTCGCTACGCCTCTGAGGGGTGACACCCGCCCTCGCCACTGGGATCTATTTATGTGACTTAAATTTTTAAGGCTGGAAAGGCTCTCTTTGGGCGTAAACTCCTAGGAAAGCTTGTTGTTCGGTGGTGATTCTAATGTTGTGGTTGTGTTGTGGTTGTGTTGTGGTTGTGTTGTGATTGTGTTGTGTTGTGGTTGTGTTGTGTTGTGGTTGTGTTGTGTTGTGGTTGTGTTGTGCTTGTGCTGTGGTTGTGATGCGGTTGTGTTGTGGTTGTGTTGTGGTTGTGGTTGTGATGCGGTTGTGTTGCGGTTGTGTTGCAGTTGTGTTGCGGTTGTGTTGTGGTTGTGTTGTGGTTGTGTTGTGGTTATGTTGTGTTGTGGTTGTGTTTTGTTTGTGTTGTGTTTGTGTTGTTTTTTTTTATGTTTTGTTCTGCTCTCAAGTTGGTACATTTAAAAAAGATTTACCGTGGCGGAGCACAGGTATGCAGCTAATATATATATATATATATATATATATATATATATATATATATATATATATATATATATATATATATATATATATATATATATATATATATACAAGCCGGCTGGTAGTGTGTCAGTCCTTCCGTCATAAAATGTTCACTGCTGCTTTTTGTGGTATTTTTTTAAACTCTAAAATCAACTCATTTTATTGACATAAACTAACGAACGCTGGTCCGGACTATGTTATATTATGGATTATCAGCTTAATGTAAACAACGTCTGAGTAGGAGGTGATGACAAGTGTGTGCACGTGTTTGATATTTTGAAAAAAAAATGAGAAGAAAAATGTGATTTTTGCATTAAAAATTATTTTTATAGAAAAAAAACGACTAAGTTATAAAGTGAAATTTACTATGGTTTGTAAGTGAAAATTTGGGGGCCCCTGACTCCAGTCCCGTCAGGCCCCCCCCCTCCCTTAATCCGCCACTGGTTGGACGACATTAAGCAGTATTACTCACAAGACGCTAGATGACGACATGGTATTCAACACACTAACGGCTATGTTCTGACATCACCTCATTTAGGAAGGTCGAGGTGGATATCTGTTCGGAGAATCTGCTAAAGGTCAAGGCCTTTCAATGAACCTACAGATCCAGAGCTCACGTGGCGGATCCTACTACATCGCGCTGACGTCATTGGCTAGAGCCCGCGACGGCTGCAACCAGGACACCCTGGGGAGCTTGTTAATTAAGTATGTTAATTAAGCAACTGATTTATTAAATCAGTTTATTTAACAAGCCATTGTTTGAATGAAAATAGCCGCTTTACATTACAATTTGCCGCATTTTTCTGGACTTTTAGCTCGTCTTGTCTGAGACTTTGTTTCTTGCTGATGTATAGTATTAGTGGAGGGGTTTCATCCGATATTAATCACGTGTCAACATGCTGTGAGCTCTATGACCCTAACAATCTGCTTTTCTTTCTCGATTGGCTTCCATAGCATCTATCCATCCAAGAAGAATTTGCAAGGCAGTAGTTGTTTGATTTTAGGATGGATCGCTGTCAAGACTCATCAGCCCATCAATATGCACATAATGATTTGCCCTAAGCCCAACCAAGATATTAACATAATCATTAGCCCAATCAAGATATTAACATAATCACTAGCCCAACCAAGATATTAACATAAACATTAGCCCAACCAAGATATTAACATAATCATTAGCCCAACCAAGATATTAACATAAACATTAGCTCAACCAAGATATTAACATAAACATTAGCCCAACCACGATATTAACATAATCATTAGCCCCAACAGAATATTAACATAATCATTAGACCCAACAGAATATTAACATAATCATTAGCCCAACCAAGATATTAACATAATTATTTGCCCCAACAGAATATTAACATAATCATTAGCCCCAACAGAATATTAACATAATCATTAGCCCAACCAAGACATTAGCCCCAACAGAATATTAACATAATCATTAGCCCCATCAGAATATTAACATAATCATTAGCCCCAACAGAATATTAACATAATCATTAGCCCCAACAGAATATTAACATAATCATTAGCCCCAACAGAACATTAACATAATCATTAGCCCCAACAGAATATTAACATAATCATTAGCCCCAACAGAATATTAACATAAACATTAGCCCAACCAAGACATTAGCCCCAACAGAATATTAACATAATCATTAGCCCCATCAGAATATTAACATAATCATTAGCCCCAACAGAATATTAACATAATCATTAGCCCCAACAGAACATTAACATAATCATTAGCCCCAACAGAATATTAACATAATCATTAGCCCAACCAAGACATTAGCCCCAACAGAATAGTAACATAATCATTAGCCCCAACAGAATATTAACATAATCATTAGCCCCAACAGAATAGTAACATAATCATTAGCCCCAACAGAATAGTAACATAATCATTTGCCCCAACAGAATAGTAACATAATCATTAGCCCCAACAGAATAGTAACATAATCATTAGCCCCAACAGAATAGTAACATAATCATTAGCCCCAACAGAATATTAACATAATCATTAGCCCCAACAGAATATTAACATAATCATTAGCCCCAACAGAATATTAACATAATCATTAGCCCCAACAGAATATTAACATAATAATTAGCCCAATCAAGATATTAACATAATTATTTGCCTTTAGTCCCAGCACCGTCTTCAGCTTCTATGGGGGATATCGAAATCCCGAGTTGCCAGATGGTGTCCTTGATCTTGTAGAGCTGAGCCCTAACGTCCAGAAGACAATCGTGATTGACAGAATTCCGGGGGTCGATAAGATCCAGGATTTAGCTGGTAGAGGTGTTGCTGTAAGTGACAGACGTGATGTGTGGTTGTAAGTGACAGACGTGATGTGTGGTTGTAAGTGGTAGGCGTGGTGTGTGGTGGACGTGATGTGTGGCTGTAAGTGGTAGGCGTGGTGTGTGGCTGTAAGTATTAGACATGATGTGTGGTTGTAAGTGGTAGGCGTGGTGTGTGGTGGACGTGATGTGTGGCTGTAAGTGGTAGGCGTGGTGTGTGGCTGTAAGTGGCTGTAAGTATTAGACATGATGTGTGGTTGTAAGTGGTAGGCGTGGTGTGTGGTGGACGTGATGTGTGGCTGTAAGTGGTAGGCGTAGTGTGTGGTGGACGTGATGTGTGGCTGTAAGTGGTAGGCGTGGTGTGTGGTGGACGTGGTGTGTGGTTGTAAGTGGTAGGCGTGGTGTGTGGTAGACGTGATGTGTGGTTGTAAGTGACAGACGTGATGTGTGATTGTAAGTGGTAGGCGTGGTGTGTGGCTGTAAGTATTAGACATGATGTGTGGTTGTAAGTGGTAGGCGTGGTGTGTGGTAGACGTGATGTGTGGCTGTAAGTGGTAGGCGTGGTGTGTGGCTGTAAGTATTAGACATGATGTGTGGCTGTAAGTGGTAGGCGTGGTGTGTGGTGGACGTGATGTGTGGCTGTAAGTATTAGACATGATGTGTGGTTGTAAGTGGTAGGCGTGATGTGTGGCTGTAAGTGGTAGGCGTGGTGTGTGGTGGACGTGATGTGTGGCTGTGGTAGACGTGACATAATGTGGAGATGTTTGGTGACGTCATGTGGCTATGCTAATTATACTGTTGTGACGTCAGATTTGTGCAGCAGACGGACGGGAAGGCGGGAAAGAGCCGTGCAGTGGTCTGATTGTTGCCTGTGTCGGCCTGGCCTACAGCAAGGATGACGTCAGCTTGGGCCCTTTACAGGTGAGACATTGGACGCAATGACCCCAGAGGTTGATCTAAGGTAGTGGACCTAGTGACCCCAGAGGTTGATCTTGGGTAGTGGACCTAGTGACTCCATAGGTTGATCTTGGGTAGTGGACCTAGTGACCCCAGAGGTTGATCTAAGATAGTGGACCTAGTGACCCCAGAGGTTGATCTAAGATAGTGGACCTAGTGACCCCAGAGGTTGATCTTGGGTAGTGGACCTAGTGACCCCAGAGGTTGATCTAAGATAGTGGACCTAGTGACCCCAGAGGTTGATCTTGGGTAGTGGACCTAGTGACTCCAGAGGTTGATCTAAGATAGTGGACCTAGTGACCCCAGAGGTTGATCTAAGATAGTGGACCTAGTGACTCCAGAGGTTGATCTTGGGTAGTGGACCTAGTGACTCCATAGGTTGATCTTGGGTAGTGGACCTAGTGATCCAAGAGGTTGATTGAAGGTAGTGGACCAACTGAGGTTAATTTCTTAATGTTTTTCTCTTTTTGTCGTATTTCAGCAACCACAGTACCAAACGTCCCAGCCCTACCAACCCACCAACCCGTCCCAGCCCTACCAACCCACCAACCCGTCCCAGCCCTACCAACCCACCAACTCTGGACAAGCTCAAGACTACAACAATCAACAAGGCTATAAGTAATTTTTAAATTGAATTTACACACAAACACACATATTTATTATCGGACTTTATATATATATATATATATATATATATATATATATATATATATATATATATATATATATATATATATATATATATATATATATATCAGTAGCGTAGCGAGGGGGGGGGGGCGAGGGGGGGGGCGGGGGGGGGGGGGGGGGGACATAGGTCCCCGGGCGCCGACCTTAGGGGGCGCTAAAATGGGTTGGAAAAATAAATTGAAAGGTTGGGGGGGGGGCAAATCGAAAGTTTGAGGGGGGGGGGGGGTACAAATCGAAATCTTGAGGGGGGTGTGCAAATCGAAAAGTTTGTCCCCGGGAAGGGTCGCTACGCCTCTGATATATATATTCCTACCTTATGCATACAATTATGCAGGCCGACCAGGACAAAAGCTCAAAGAAGTGGGGGTGGGGCATACATGTTTGTCACTATCCCATCTCTTCCCATCCTCCTGTTATTTCTACTGATCACAAAATTATTTCCATCTAAGTCCATCCCGCCCACCCACCACTTCCCCAAGAGTGCCACGTTATTCATAGAGGACCTCTTGGTATCACCAGACCCACCCCATAAGAGGACCCCACCCCATCAGACGACCCCACCCCACAAGACGACCCCACCCCACAAGACGACTACACCCCATCAGACGACCCCACCCCACAAGACGACCCCACCCCATAAGACAACCCCATCAACTGTACATGTAAGCCTCGACAAAGGGTAACTATAGCAACGTTCACGAACAAAAAAGAAATTTAAAATGTTGAACTAAATCAAAGTACAACAACACACCACATACAACACACAAGAAGATAGTCCCCTATACAGCAATAACTAACAACACGCCATGAAACATAAGACGAGACCACACACTAAACAATATAAATAATAACATCAAAATATAAACAAGACACACAAAGCAACCATAGCCAATTTTAATAAAATACTTTAAAAAAACTTTTTTTTAAAAACACGTTTTTCTTGTGGACTAAAAAGTAGAAAATAAATGTTTCTTCCGACTGCTCGTAGATTTTGTGCTTCCTCGAGCTGTGCAGGTTCTTGTGATGACTGTTCATACATTTGAGGACAAAAAACGTGGGTACGTTCACCATCAAATTTCTCGACCCATCTGCCCAACCCACGTTTTTTGTCATCACAAGAACCTGCACAGCTCGAGGAAGCACAAAATCTACGAGCAGTCATTGGTAGATCCCCTAGGGTCGGAAGAAAAAATTATTTTCTACTTTTTAGTCCACAAGAAAAACGTGTTTTTTTTAAAAAGTTTTTTTTAAGTATTTTATTTTCTCCTTTTTAGTCCGTTGCTACACATGAAAAACGTGGTTTTTAAAAAGTTTTTTATATAGTTTATTTTCTACTTTATCTAATGACTTGATTAAGTATGACTTGACTAAGTGTTTTTAAATACACGGACTAAAAATCTTGAGCGACCGATACGCTTTAAACAGAGAAGGGGCGTAATTAAATTAAGCTAATTTAGATCTCTAATTGCTAGTTTTTTATGATTGCATCTGAAATTGTTAGGCGATGACATTTGATGACACGAATTTTGGAAATTTGATGGTGAACGTACCCACGTTTTTTGTCATCAAATGCCGTGACCAGGATTCGAACATGGGTTGTCGCGGCCACAACGCGAAGTACTAACCACTATACAATCACGGCCAGCGCGCTCACATCGATTGGGGCCGAGGTAACTGTGTCAATAGGCCTCCAGTCTTGTCGGTATCTTTAAAAATCATGTCCTCAATTTTAGGGTCCTTGGGGCGTAATTTAATTAAGCTAATTTAGGTCTCTAATTGCTAGTTTTTATGATTGCATCTGAAATTGTTATGCGAAAATAGCCTGCATGCCGAATTTCAGATCTCAAGAGCAATCAGAAGTGGGCTAATTTTCGTTGTCAATTTTAACAACAAACCCACAAACAAACGCGAAGCTGAGTTAAGAAAAATGTGTTTAAAAAAAAATCAAAATCATAACCCGCGCCATAATAGCGGAATACTTAACTAAAACAATCCTCAAGAGGAAACAATAATAATAATAATAATAATAATAATAATAATAATAATAATAATAATAATAATAATAATAATAATAATAATAATAATAATAATAATAATAATAATAATAATAATAATAATAATAATGAAATAGCTCTCCAGCTCCTTACATAAAAATGCTCTGTTTCAGCGGCAACACGCAAACTTCTGGAAGCGGTAACTATGGCGACGAGGGAGTGGACACATACGATGCCTCGAGCGGACCAATCAAAATGGACTATGAGCCCAACAAGATCCAGAGACCGGCGGCCAACAATGGGCCGGTCATATATGGGACTCGACGTTGACCGATCTCAACATGGAACTTAACGTTGACCGACCATAACGTCTCTTCAAAATCATGAATAAATTTGTTTGCTTTGATTTTTTTTTCTTAGTATACTAAAATTTACCGAATGTCTGCAAGTTATTATATATATATATATATATATATATATATATATATATATATATATATATATATATATATATATATATATATATATATGGTCTCAGTCACAAACCGTCTATCTAAAAAAATTCAATATTCTGTATTTTAATGTCTGAAAATATTATAGAAATCTGGTGAGTGATTATCGAGATATAATCATTGGAACAACACGGCTATTAATATTTCTGGTGAACGGAAGAAAAATTACAAGAAAAAATACCCAGAAAAAAAATCAGTTTTTGCTAGGAAAAAAGTCACAGAAAAAAGTCACTAAGTAATTTTTTTTTAGATTTTCGAGAACCAAACTGTTCTGTTTGCATTTTTATTAGACTAACACAATGCTTTGAAACTCGATCTAAATTCTAGAATTTATTCTAGATCTAAAGATCAATTTTTAAAAATATTATCTAATTTCCATAAACTTGGGCAATAAATATATTTTTTTATTCATTCCTAGCTTTAGAATGAAGATTTATCTCAGTGTTACGAAACGTTTTACAGGGTAGGCTACACATGTTTGTAAAATCCATATATCCTTGTTTAAGACTTATAGAACACCGCGCACACAAAATACATGTTGCACACTAACATTTTCCCTTTAGAGGGAAATGTTGTTCTTACGTTATAGTAATACACTACTTATTAAATAACTATAAATAAATGCATTGGTCACTTTATTATCTATTGAATACCTTTACTAATATTTAGTTATTTAAATAGTGTATTAATTTTTTAAATGATTTTTTTCCATTTTTAGTGCAATATTACATAAAAGCGATTTATTAAAACGCTTTTTATGCATTTTTTTAAGTACTTTTAAAATAAACCGGTAGTGATCTCCCCTAAACTTTCTCGAATATTCTTATATAAAACAACAAGGGGATGGTAACTGGGGATATAGTTATGATTTTTAATCCATTTTAAATACTAAAACTTTTAATAAATTATAGACTACTATTTAAATAACTATAAAGAAAAGCGTGGGTCACTTTAGTATCTATTGGATACCTTTACTAATGTTAAGGAAGACACCCACGCTTTTCTTTATAGTTATTTAAATAGTAGTCTATAATTTATTTTCTACTTTTTAGTGCATCATTACATAAAAGCTTGTTATTAAAACGTTTTTTATGAATTTTTTTTCAGTACTTTACATGTTTTATTTACAATAGAGTTAAATGACTAAAAACCTTTGCGCGCCTACTGATCATCACGTTCAGTAGGCGCGCAATGGTTTTTGAACGCAGCCATTACGTGATGGCACAGCTATTGAATGAAGGTGATGACGCGTGTGGTGTGGTTGGCTAGACATGCCTACTAATTCGGTCCAAATTTTAATTAATCCATAAAAAATTAATTAGGCATCCAATTAAGTCAAATTTAGTTTCAGATTGCATTGTCTTCATGTCTTGACCCACGTGCCAACTGTGAATCGTGTCGGTCAAGTAGAAGTTTCCGAATTTTCACTCCTGCGTTTCCGTCTAGACTGACGACAGACCGACGACAGAGGAAGTGAGTTAAATAAAAGCTTGTAATAACATTAGTAAAGGTATCCAATAGATACTAAAGTGACCCACGCTTTTCTTTATAGTTATTTAAATAGTAGTCTATAATTTATTTTCTACTTTTTAGTGCATCATTACATAAAAGCTTGTTATTAAAACGTTTTTTTATGAATTTTTTTTCAGTACTTTACATGTTTTATCTACAATAGAGTTACATGACTAAAAACCATTGCGCGCCTACTGAATATCACGTTCAGTAGGCGCGCAATGGTTTTTGAACGCAGCCATTACGTGGTCGTGATGGCGCAGCTATTGATGACGCGTGTGGTGTGGTTGGCTAGACATGCCTACTAATTCGGTCCAAATTTTAATTAATTCATAAAAAATCAATTAGGCATCCAATTAAGTCAAATTTAGTTTCAGATTGCATTGTCTTCATGTCTTGACCCACGTGCCAACTGTGAATCGTGTCGGTCAAGTAGAACTGTCCGAATTTTCACTCCTGCGTTTCCGTCTAGACTGACGACAGACTGTCGACAGAGGAAGTGAGTTAAATAAAAGCTTGTAAAAATAGAATAGAATCTCAGTAAAAAACAATTGCGCACCAAGCGAACGCCTAATAAAGGTGTGTATAATAGTGCGCAATATTATTAGTACTTTTAAAATTTACATTAGTTTTTTGAGAAATCGGAAGTAGCGTAAATTACTACTTCCTGTCAACGGAAATTACTCAAAATTTAACAGAAGGTAGAGAATTAGATCTTTTACTTACATGTGAAATTTCATTTATCTATCTGAAATAGTACTCAAGTTATAGGCTTTTAAAAAATTCAAAGTAGGAAAAGTACCACTTCCGGTTATCGGAAATCGCTCAAAAGTTGATACGGATCTACGATTTTGATAAAATACTTATATATGAAATTTCATCAACCTAGCTGTAACGGTACTCAAGTTATCGTGTTTACACACGGACAGACAGACAGACAGACAGACACACACACACACAGACATACGGACAAGATTGCAAAATTATGTTTTTCCGTATCAGTGAGGTGTAAAACGTCGAGATTTGTAAAAATCTCGATTTTTTTTTTTGCACGATTACAATACTTTCTCTATACTACGTATATACGAGAAAGTAAAAAACCAATAGTGTCATGACTAAAAACTATTGCGCACCAAATGAACATGAAAGCGAGCGTATAATAGTAGGACAGCCTACTTTAGTAAATTTTAATTAATTCATAAAAATTAATTAAGCATCCAATAAGTCATATTTGATGTCAACCACCTGCCAAGTTTGAAACGAATCGGTCAGTTAGAAGTGCTCGAAATTACGTTCGCAGTTTCGATCTATGACGGACGACAGACAGAGGAAGCAAGTTATATAAAAGTGTGTAAAAATAAAATTGTGTACTAATTTTCCATATTAGCGTGCTACTACTAACTACTAGATAAAATGTGTGGAAGCTAATACTGTGCAACAAGAGTCTACAAAACATTCTTTTCGAACTCTCCCATCCCTCAAGTGGAATGGTCCCGTCTAAGCTGAGTGTAAGGTGTGAGGGGTGTTTTTGTTCGTGTGTTGGGGGAGGATATGGTTTTTAAACTTTTTTTTTTTTAAACTTGATTACTTTCAATGGATAATTCTTTTTTTTAAAATAAATATAAAACGTCCACGTTCAATAATATAGTGAAGTAGTAACGAGGAATAGTGATGAAAATACACCGTAGTGATTGAAACAATGCGTAAAAGGTATAGAGAAAAAGGTAGGTGTAACAAAGTATAATAGGAGAGGAGAGGACATAGTGGTTTGTGTGAAGTAGTGCAGCCGACGGACCTTTTTCAAATAGGGACTGGATTCACCGGAAAAATGAATCAAATATTAAAGATTAAAAATTTTAGCATTTCACATTAGGGGTTATTCAATTCATTTCAATTTATTCAATAACGGTAACAATAGTAGGCACGGAGGCCTTTTTTCACATTGGCCGTTTTAAAAAAAACAAATAAAGCAACAATTTAATAACATCATTTAAAGAAGCAATTGTGTAGTAACGACATAGCAGTAACATAGCACTAAAAATGTGGAATTCATTTAGGACATCAACACGGAGGCGATAAGGAGGTCCGAGCAAATCGCCTTTTGGGGATGCGTGTAGCTTAGCTAGAGTGGTGGGGACGTCATAATGAATTACCCTTTTAAAAAAAATAACAGGCAAATTGTCGTCATTTCGTTTGTGTGAAGACTGAGTGTAATAATGGTGGGTCAGGCTCTGTAAATGATTAGTTGTTAGTGCAGAAGACATACAGTTTTCCGATGGGAAACTCGGTCGCTTACTATCATACTAAAACTGACTCAATTTTGAACGTTTGTAAATTTATTTATATATATTTGTCCGAGTCAAGAGATCTGAAAATCTGCAGCATATGTAGATTTTTTAAATATCGAGTCAAGAGATCTGAAAATCTGCAGCATATGTAGATTTTTTAAATATCGAGTCAAGAGATCTGAAAATCTGCAGCATATGTAGATTTTTAAATATCGAGTCAAGAGATCTGAAAATCTGCAGCATATGTAGATTTTTTAAATATCGAGACAAGAGATCTGAAAATCTGCAGTATATGTAGATTTTTTAAATATCGAGTCAAGAGATCTGAAAATCTGCAGCATATGTAGATTTTTAAATATCGAGTCAAGAGATCTGAAAATCTGCAGCATATGTAGATTTTTTAAATATCGAGTCAAGAGATCTGAAAATCTGCAGCATATGTAGATTTTTTAAATATCGAGTCAAGAGATCTGAAAATCTGCAGCATATGTAGATTTTTTAAATATCGAGTCAAGAGATCTGAAAATCTGCAGCATATGTAGATTTTTTAAATATCGAGTCAAGAGATCTGAAAATCTGCAGCATATGTAGATTTTTTAAATATCGAGTCAAGAGATCTGAAAATCTGCAGCATATGTAGATTTTTAAATATCGAGTCAAGAGATCTGAAAATCTGCAGCATATGTAGATTTTTTAAATATCGAGTCAAGAGATCTGAAAATCTGCAGCATATGTAGATTTTTAAATATCGAGTCAAGAGATCTGAAAATCTGCAGCATATGTAGATTTTTTAAATATCGAGTCAAGAGATCTGAAAATCTGCAGCATATGTAGATTTTTTAAATATCGAGTCAAGAGATCTGAAAATCTGCAGCATATGTAGATTTTTTAAATATCGAGTCAAGAGATCTGAAAATCTGCAGCATATGTAGATTTTTTAAATATTGAGTCAAGAGATCTGAAAATCTGCAGCATATGTAGATTTTTTAAATATTGAGTCAAGAGATCTGAAAATCTGCAGCATATGTAGATTTTTTAAATATCGAGTCAAGAGATCTGAAAATCTGCAGCATATGTAGATTTTTTAAATATCGAGTCAAGAGATCTGAAAATCTGCAGCATATGTAGATTTTTTAAATATCGAGTCAAGAGATCTGAAAATCTGCAGCATATGTAGATTTTTTAAATATCGAGTCAAGAGATCTGAAAATCTGCAGCATATGTAGATTTTTTAAATATCGAGTCAAGAGATCTGAAAATCTGCAGCATATGTAGATTTTTTTAAATACGTACTTTTGTAGAAAACATCATTCTGATTATAATTAATGTATGAGCAAAATAAATTAAAACCATTAAAAACATTAATGATATTAATGACCCATTCATTCTACCAAAACACCGCCCTTGATGTCTCAGTGTTAGGAGCATAACTCTGTATGAACAAGTGAACAGTTTCACAAAATATTCGTTTTTGTCTGAATGAAATTAATAATTAAGATAAAAATTACTGCTTAATGTTTGATTTGAATCTGTCTTTCCAACAGTATTAAATAGAATGTATTATATTCGGTAGGAGCAAGGTATAAAAATAAAAAATGTCAGAGAAAATCCTAAATTCAAACTAAATTGAAAATAGGTCATTTTGGGTTAGTCAACTTTATTTATCTATGCATCGAATTTAACAGTTGAATATCAGTTTGGTTATGTTTAAGATATATACTCCTTAAAATACATGCCTAGATAAGAATGTTTTTAGGAATGTTTTTATTTTATTTTTAATTTCAAATCAACTAAAAATTAGATGAGTCTAAAATTTTGGGATGGAAAGAGACCAGTATTATGAATATCCAACTTCCTGTTTAGTTAAAAATTCGGATTTGTAGGCCAAATTTTTATGAAACAAATTAAATTTTTCTATGCATAGAATAAGCGGGTGTGTTAAGGACCATCATGGGTTGCGAGCGGCAGCGGGCGTTGTGGGTCATTATTGGTAAAATAAATGACTGATTCGAATAAAAAACACATTTAATTAAAACACCGTATAAAAATAATGAATAACGGATTTTTTTTTGTAATGAAATATTACATTTCTGAAATCGTTTATATACATTTTTGTTTCTTAGCAATGGGATAGGTTAATTAGGATTTCATTTCAAATAATGTTTGGCACGTAGTTATCCAAAGTGGCAGGTCTAGTTACATTATAAAACGTGCAATTTAGAACTAACATTTGATAACAAAATATGTTAAGCTTGTGATTACTGCATTAAAAATTCGATTTTGCGATTTGGTTGATATTTGTGTTGACTTATTTAATTTGGCCGTTTGTTTAGGCAGTCTTGTCTAACAAAATCTTGCCCTGCCCAGCCGAAGCTGTACACACCTCTCGCCGGCTAGACAGAGGGCCGCCAGCACCAGCCCCAGCCCCAGGGTGTAGCACGCGCTCTGGACGTCCAGGACCGAGATGGGCGTGGCGTCAGCAACCACGGCGCCCCCGCACCTGTTTTGTTTTCTCCACCAGCGGGCGATCCAGATGTTGACAAGACCGAACTCGCACATCTGCATCACTCTGTTGAGGGACAGTTTCTTAGCACAGATCGCTTGGATGTCAGTCTACACCACTACGCTAAAAACATAAACTCACATACCCAGCATACCACCAACTCACATACCCAGCATACCACCAACTCACATACCCAGAATACCACCAACTCACATACCCACAATACCACCAACTCACATACCCAACATACCACCAACTCACATACCCAGCATACCACCAACTCACATACCCAGAATACCACCAACTTGCCACCCACAATACCACCCACCTACCCACAAATCCACCCACCTACACACAATACCACCCGCCCACACACCACCTCCCCCCCACACACACCCCCACTTACTCCTCTGAGAAGAGCCGTGTGTAGGGCGAGTTGTTGACCAGACCCAGCCCATACTGCAGGGGAAAGAACTTCTCCTTGACCTTGACCAGCTGGCAGTCCTGCTCCATCCACAGCTCGATGCTCGTCCGGTCGCCGATGTAGGCGTAGTCGCCCCGTTGGACGGCCTTCAAGTGGGTCATCTCATCACGTGACAAAATGGCCGGATCGGATTGGTTCAAGTCAACGATGTGCTGCCAGATGGCTTGATGTATAGCTTCATCCGTGCTCTGATCAACAAACTGCAGTAGCTTCAGCTGACGTCACACTTTTAATGCTCACATAACGTCACAACTATACGTGACGTCACAAATCTTATGTCATAGAGACGTCTATTTTATTTATTTGGCCAATCACAAGCACTGACCCACCCAACCACTGACCCACCTAACCAGTGACCCACAAAACCACTGACCCACCTAACCACCCAACCAGTGACCCACCTAACCAGTGACCCACCCAACCAGTGACCCACCTAACCAGTGACCCACCCAACCAGTGACACACCCAACCAGTGACCCACTTACCAGTTACCCACCCAACCAGTGACCCACCCAACCAGTTACCAACCCAACCACTGATCCACCTAACCAGTGACCCACAAAACCAGTGACCCACCTAACCAGTGACCCACTCAACCACTGACCCGCCCAAACTGACCCACCCAACCAGTGACCCACCTAACCACCGAACCACCTAACCAGTGACCCACCTAACCACCGAACCACCTAACCAGTGACCCACCTAACCACCTAACAACAGACCCACCCAACCAGTGACCCACCTAACCACCGAACCACCTAACCAGTGACCCACCTAACCACCTAACCACTGACCCACCCAACCAGTGACCCACCTAACCAGTGACCCACCTAACCACCTAACCAGTGACCCACCCAACCAGTGACCCACCTAACCACCCAAACAGTGACCCACCTAACCAGTGACCCACCCAACCAGTGACCCACCTAACCACCTAACCAGTGACCCACCCAACCAGTGACCCACCTAACCACCCAAACAGTGACACACCCAACCAGTGACCCACCCAACCAGTGACCCACCTAACCACCCAAACAGTGACCCACCTAACCAGTGACCCACCTAACCACCCAAACAGTGACCCACCTAACCAGTGACCCATCTAACCACTTAACCAGTGACCCACCCAATCACTGACCCACCTAACCACCTAACCACTGACCCACCCAACTAGTGACCCACCTAACCAGTGACCCACCTAACCACCCAAACAGTGACACACCCAACCAGTGACCCACCCAACCTGTGACCCACCTAACCACCCAACCAGTGACCCACCTAACCAATGACCCACCTAACCACCCAACCAGTGACCAAACCAACCAGTGACCCACCTAACCACCCAAACAGTGACCCACCTAACCAGTGACCCATCTAACCACTTAACCAGTGACCCACCCAATCACTGACCCACCTACCCAGTGACCCACCCAACCAGTGACCCACCTAACCACCCAAACAGTTACCCACCCAACCACTGACACACCCAACCAGTGACTCACCCAACCAGTGACCCACCCACCCAGTTACCCACCCAACCACTGACCCACCCAACCACTGACCCACCCAACCACTGACCCACCCAACCATTGACCCACATAACCACCCGAACAGTGACACACCCAACCAGTGACCCACCCAACCAGTAACCCACCTAACCACCCAACTAGTGACCCGCCCAACCAATGACCCACCTAACCAGTGACCCACCCAACCAGTGACCCACCTAACCACCCAACCAGTGACTCACCTAACCAGTGACCCACATAACCACCCAACCAGTGACCAAACCAACCAGTGACCCACCTAACCACCCAAACAGTGACCCACCTAACCAGTGACCCATCTAACCAGTGACCCATCTAACCACTTAACCAGTGACCCACCTAACCAATGACCCACCTAACCACCCAACCAGTGACCAAACCAACCAGTGACCCACCCAACCAGTCACCCACCTAACCACCCAACCAGTGACTCACCTAACCAGTGACCCACATAACCACCCAACCAGTGACCAAACCAACCAGTGACCCACCTAACCACCCAAACAGTGACCCACCTAACCAGTGACCCATCTAACCAGTGACCCACATAACCACCCAAACAGTGACCAAACCAAACAGTGACCCACCTAACCACCCAAACAGTGACCCACCTAACCAATGACCCATCTAACCAGTGACCCATCTAACCACTTAACCAGTGACCCATCCAACCACTGACCCACCTAGCCAGTGACCCACCCAACCAGTGATCCACCCAACCCGTGACCCACCTAACCACCTAACCACTTAACCAGTGACCCACTTAACCAGTGACCCACCCAACCAGTGACCCACCTAACCAGTGACCCACCCAACCATGACCCACCTTATAGACCAACTCGTAGAGTGTGGTCCCCAGGAAGCCCCACTTGTAGCTGTCCTGGGCCAACATGTCGGCCAGCGTGTCGAAGGGCGCCCGTTGTTTGCTGACCGTCAGGAAGGCGATCAGGTTGCCGCTGTAGGTGGACGAGATGACGATCGTGAAGATCCACCAGCAGGTCAGCAGTGAGCGGCCAGTCAGTGACGTAGGCAGACGTTCACCGCCTGGACAGTAAGTTTGACGTAGGGCTAGTGAGTGTGACGTATGGCTACAGTGAGTATGACGTATGGCTAAAGTAAGTGTGACGTACGACTAGTGTGTGTGACGTATGGCTACAGTGAGTATGACGTATGGCTAAAGTAAGTGTGACGTACGGCTAGTGTGTGTGACGTATGGCTACAGTGAGTATGACGTATGGCTACAGTGAGTGTGACTGTGTGACGTATGTCTACAGTGAGTGTGACGTATGGCTACATTGAGTGTGACGTCAGCCTGTGATAGTTACCTTATGTGAACATTGAGTGTGACGTCAGCCTGTGATAGTTACCTTGTGTGAACATTGAGTGTGACGTCAGCCTGTGATAGTTACCTTGTGTGAACATTGAGTGTGACGTCAGCCTGTGATAGTTACCTTGTGTGAACATTGAGTGTGACGTCGGCCTGTGATAGTTACCTTGTGTGAACATTGAGTGTGACGTCAGCCTGTGATAGTTACCTTGTGTGAACATTGAGTGTAACGTCAGCCTGTGATAGTTACCTTGTGTGAACATTGAGTGTGACGTCAGCCTCTCATAGTTACCTTGTGTGAACAAAGCTCCAAACAGATACCAGAAGGTGTGGTAAAACCCAAGAAAACTTTCGTCACGTGACCATCTGTAAGAGTTGTCTCTGTCTCGTGTCTTGTTGTGGGGGTTGTGTCTCTCCATAAAGGTCAGCAGACACGAGGTAAAGATGAGAGACATCAAGATAGCCAGGTGTACCTGTAGACATGAGGTGAGAGACATGAAGATAGCCAGGTGTAGACATGAGATGAGAGACAGGAAGATAGCCAGGTGTACCTGTAGACATGAGGTGAGAGACATGAAGATAGCCAGGTGTAGACATGAGGTGAGAGACATGAAGATAGCCAGGTGTAGACATGAGGTGAGAGACATGAAGATAGCCAGGTGTAGACATGAGGTGAGAGACATGAAGATAGCCAGGTGTAGACATGAGGTGAGAGACATGAAGATAGCCAGGTGTAGACATGAGATGAGAGACATCAAGATAGCAGGGTGTACCTGTAGACATGAGGTGAGAGACATGAAGATAGCCAGGTGTAGACATGAGATGAGAGACATGAAGATAGCCAGGTGTAGACATGAGGTGAGAGACATGAAGATAGCCAGGTGTAGACATGAGGTGAGAGACATGAAGATAGCCAGGTGTAGACATGAGGTGAGAGACATGAAGATAGCCAGGTGTAGACATGAGGTGAGAGACATAAAGATAGCCAGGTGTAGACATGAGGTGAGAGACATGAAGATAGCCAGGTGTAGACATGAGGTGAGAGACATGAAGATAGCCAGGTGTACCTGTAGACATGAGGTGAGAGACATGAAGATAGCCAGGTGTAGACATGAGATGAGAGACATGAAGATAGCCAGGTGTAGACATGAGGTGAGAGACATGAAGATAGCCAGGTGTAGACATGAGGTGAGAGACATGAAGATAGCCAGGTGTAGACATGAGGTGAGAGACATGAAGATAGCCAGGTGTACCTGTAGACATGAGGTGAGAGACATGAAGATAGCCAGGTGTAGACATGAGGTGAGAGACATCAAGATAGCCAGGTGTAGACATGAGATGAGAGACAGGAAGATAGTCAGGTGTATACATGAGGTGAGAGACATGAAGATAGCCAGGTGTAGACATGAGATGAAAGACATCAAGATAGCAGGGTGTACCTGTAGACATGAGGTGAGAGACATGAAGATAGCCAGGTGTACCTGTAGACATGAGGTGAGAGACACGAAGATAGCCAGGTGTAGACATGAGGTGAGAGACATGAAGATAGCCAGGTGTAGACATGAGGTGAGAGACATGAAGATAGCCAGGTGTAGACATGAGATGAGAGACATCAAGATAGCAGGGTGTACCTGTAGACATGAGGTGAGAGACATGAAGATAGCCAGGTGTAGACATGAGATGAGAGACATGAAGATAGCCAGGTGTAGACATGAGGTGAGAGACATGAAGATAGCCAGGTGTAGACATGAGGTGAGAGACATGAAGATAGCCAGGTGTAGACATAAGGTGAGAGACATGAAGATAGCCAGGTGTAGACATGAGGTGAGAGACATGAAGATAGCCAGGTGTACCTGTAGACATGAGGTGAGAGTGTGACCTACTTAGGTCTAGTAATGTTTTATTTTTAGTTTGACTTTTGTTATAATACCATATATGGTTGGTGGTGCAACAACCGGTTTTTTTCCGCTGTCTTACTAAGAGAGTCTTAGACTCAGAAATTTTCCATCGAGAGATGATTGATTGTTTCAGACCAGATGACCACCCCAACCAATGGTCTTACGATCTGAAGGTGACCTTCCATGTTACCTAAGTCTATATATGGATCGCCCACAGGTGTCTCGCGGCAGTCCATTTTGGCCAGTTGAATGTGAGAGAGCATAAGTCCTGAGTGTGCTCTGTATTATTAAGTTGTTTAAGTATCCTAGTATTATATTACTTGTGGCCAAGTGATTCTTGATGCTATAGGAGTGTTATGTGAAACTGTGGCTATTTTTATAAAGTGTTAGAATCTGTGATAGTATTTATTCTTACGCTTTGTAAGTTGGGTTTTGTTATTTCTAAACTAAATATTTTATCTTGTTTAATCTAGTGTTCTGCCACAACTTTGTTCACTTATTAAAAGTTGTATGCAGATTGAATGAGTTGTTAACTTCAATAGTTTCACTAGTTTTCCCTAGACCTCGAAATCGAGCCCTAGTGAGTTGTTGAGTTAGTAGCCATTCATTTAGGCTTTAGGTCATTTGCATATAACCCTAAGAAAGAATCCGGGAGCGTTCACCATCTATCTGGCTGGTAGATAGGTGTCCGTTACAAGAGACATGAAGATAGCCAGGTGTAGACATGAGGTGAGAGACATGAAGATAGCCAGGTGTAGACATGAGGTGAGAGACATGAAGATAGCCAGGTGTAGACATGAGGTGAGAGACATGAAGATAGCCAGGTGTACCTGTAAACATGAGGTGAGAGACATGAAGATAGCCAGGTGTAGACATGAGGTGAGAGACATGAAGATAGCCAGGTGTAGACATGAGGTGAGAGACATGAAGATAGCCAGGTGTATACATGAGGTGAGAGACATGAAGATAGCCAGGTGTAGACATGAGATGAGAGACATCAAGATAGCAGGGTGTACCTGTAGACATGAGGTGAGAGACATGAAGATAGCCAGGTGTAGACATGAGATGAGAGACATGAAGATAGCCAGGTGTACCTGTAGACATGAGGTGAGAGACATGAAGATAGCCAGGTGTAGACATGAGATGAGAGCCATGAAGATAGCCAGGTGTAGACATGAGGTGAGAGACATGAAGATAGCCAGGTGTAGACATGAGGTGAGAGACATCAAGATAGCAGGGTGTACCTGTAGACATGAGGTGAGAGACATGAAGATAGCCAGGTGTAGACATGAGATGAGAGACATGAAGATAGCCAGGTGTAGACATGAGGTGAGAGACATGAAGATAGCCAGGTGTAGACATGAGGTGAGAGACATGAAGATAGCAGGGTGTACCTGTAGACATGAGGTGAGAGACATGAAGATAGCCAGGTGTACCTGTAGACATGAGGTGAGAGACATGAAGATAGCCAGGTGTAGACATGAGATGAGAGACATGAAGATAGCCAGGTGTAGACATGAGGTGAGAGACATGAAGATAGCCAAGTGTAGACATGAGGTGAGAGACAGGAAGATAGCCAGGTGTACCTGTAGACATGAGGTGAGAGACATGAAGATAGCCAGGTGTAGACATGAGGTGAGAGACATGAAGATAGCCAGGTGTAGACATGAGGTGAGAGACATGAAGATAGCCAGGTGTAGACATGAGGTGAGAGACATGAAGATAGCCAGGTGTAGACATGAGGTGAGAGACATGAAGATAGCCAGGTGTAGACATGAGGTGCGAGACACGAAGATAGCCAGGTGTACCTGTAGACATGAGGTGAGAGACATGAAGATAGCCAGGTGTACCTGTAGACATGAGGTGAGAGACATGAAGATAGCCAGGTGTAGACATGAGGTGAGAGACATGAAGATAGCCAGGTGTAGACATGAGGTGAGAGACATGAAGATAGCCAGGTGTAGACATGAGGTGAGAGACATGAAGATAGCCAGGTGTAGACATGAGATGAGAGACATCAAGATAGCAGGGTGTACCTGTAGACATGAGGTGAGAGACATGAAGATAGCCAGGTGTAGACATGAGGTGAGAGACATGAAGATAGCCAGGTGTAGACATGAGGTGAGAGACATGAAGATAGCCAGGTGTAGACATGAGGTGAGAGACATGAAGATAGCCAGGTGTAGACATGAGGTGAGAGACATGAAGATAGCCAAGTGTAGACATGAGGTGAGAGACATGAAGATAGCCAGGTGTAGACATGAGGTGAGAGACATGAAGATAGCCAGGTGTAGACATGAGGTGAGAGACATGAAGATAGCCAAGTGTAGACATGAGGTGAGAGACATGAAGATAGCCAGGTGTAGACATGAGGTGAGAGACATGAAGATAGCCAGGTGTAGACATGAGGTGAGAGACATGAAGATAGCCAGGTGTACCTGTAGACATGAGGTGAGAGACATGAAGATAGCCAGGTGTAGACATGAGGTGAGAGACATGAAGATAGCCAGGTGTAGACATGAGGTGAGAGACATGAAGATAGCCAGGTGTACCTGTAGACATGAGGTGAGAGACATGAAGATAGCCAGGTGTAGACATGAGGTGAGAGACATGAAGATAGCCAGGTGTAGACATGAGGTGAGAGACATGAAGATAGCCAGGTGTAGACATGAGGTGAGAGACATGAAGATAGCCAGGTGTAGACATGAGGTGAGAGACATGAAGATAGCCAGGTGTAGACATGAGGTGAGAGACATGAAGATAGCCAGGTGTAGACATGAGGTGAGAGACATGAAGATAGCCAAGTGTAGACATGAGGTGAGAGACATGAAGATAGCCAGGTGTAGACATGAGGTGAGAGACATGAAGATAGCCAGGTGTAGACATGAGGTGAGAGACATGAAGATAGCCAAGTGTAGACATGAGGTGAGAGACATGAAGATAGCCAAGTGTAGACATGAGGTGAGAGACATGAAGATAGCCAGGTGTAGACATGAGGTGAGAGACATGAAGATAGCCAGGTGTACCTGTAGACATGAGGTGAGAGACATGAAGATAGCCAGGTGTAGACATGAGATGAGAGACATGAAGATAGCCAGGTGTAGACATGAGGTGAGAGACATGAAGATAGCCAGGTGTAGACATGAGGTGAGAGACATGAAGATAGCCAGGTGTAGACATGAGGTGAGAGACATGAAGATAGCCAGGTGTAGACATGAGGTGAGAGACATAAAGATAGCCAGGTGTAGACATGAGGTGAGAGACATGAAGATAGCCAGGTGTAGACATGAGGTGAGAGACATGAAGATAGCCAGGTGTACCTGTAGACATGAGGTGAGAGACATGAAGATAGCCAGGTGTAGACATGAGATGAGAGACATGAAGATAGCCAGGTGTAGACATGAGGTGAGAGACATGAAGATAGCCAGGTGTAGACATGAGGTGAGAGACATGAAGATAGCCAGGTGTAGACATGAGGTGAGAGACATGAAGATAGCCAGGTGTAGACATGAGGTGAGAGACATAAAGATAGCCAGGTGTAGACATGAGGTGAGAGACATGAAGATAGCCAGGTG